TTGATCATTGAAAAATTTATAATAAGAATACAACCTGTATGGTGAGAAAATGTTTTTGTAAATCTGAAATGAATATCTTATGCATGTAAAGTTATGAGCATGTATACATGTAATCAGTAAACAATTAAAGATAGGTTTTGTTGACTATGCACAATGTAGATCTATGTACATGTCTTGTCTCTGCTTGGATGTGAAGTTGGCTACAGTTATGTTTTTTAAGTAGAAGACACATGACTACATGTAGTTAAAATGCCCCTTACATTTCAATTGAACTGTGTCTTGTAAATTAAACCAGTTAAGATCATGTATTACAAACCATGTAACAGTTAAATCATTCAGCATACTACTATATACAGGGTGTTTCCTAAAAAAGGAAACCCAACTTCAAAGAACGAGTATGGACAGACGATATATTTACTGGCTATAAAACTGGTATCATCTGAAAGTGTAATCTCTAAGCTTTTCAATGATACAGTGTTTAGGTTTTCTGAGTCATGCATCACTGAGCATCATTGTCTTGAAAACTGAATGCAAAAATGCAGTTGGTTCACTTTCATAAAAAAAAACCACTGGGCACAGTGTGCCTATTGTTACGAAAATGTGTGAAATAGCTTGAATGTTAATCCTCGGGAAAATGGCACATTGTTTTGAACGTGGCTTGGTCAAAACGAGAAATTCATGACAAACAATAAGATCCAGTTTTGAAACCAACCCGACTTGTTTTTTGGTTTGTTTTTATGCACTCGTGTCTTCTTCTTGAATACTTATTCTCATGCACACCATGCCTATTGTGTTTGACATGAAAGTGAACCAACTGCAATTTTGCATCAAAATCTCATGACAATGGCGCTCAGTGATGCATGACCCTGGAAATGTAAACAAGGTATGATTGAAAAGCATAGAGTTACACTTTCAGTTGATAACAGTTTTATAGCCAGTAGGCCTAAACATTTAGTCTGTCTATACTGGTTCTTCAAAGTTGGGTTTCCTTTTTATTGAAACACCCTGTATTATTCAAGCAAACTGGCATAGAAAAAATGTGATTTTTTTTTCTTCTTATTTGTCATGTTTGTTAATGCACAGTCTGCTGGGATTATTTGCAGAAACAAAATAGAAACCCAAAATGTTAAGCATACATTACAAGTTTGAACCTTAATCATAATCAATATAAAAACATGTCTGTGATTGCAAGAATTAGACAATGTGGTTGGACACATTACATTTAAAAGAGGAATAATTTCATGAACGATTGTGGCTCTTTTGCAGTTTGAGTTAATAGGTGCAGTATTATAAAGGCACGTCTTTATTTAAAATTTGTGATCACAAATACTTTTATTAATTTCATGGAGGCATGTCAATCACGGTGTAAGATCTTGAATTCAATCCACAAGAGTAGGAAGACAGTTTGGGTCCCCCCCCCCCCCAATTAAAAAAAAAATCCCCTTGTCTGTAAAGGTATAGTCCATCATTTGTAATTTGTGCATTTTGTTCGTTTGAAGCAACAAACATGCTCAAAATCTAAAGAAGGGTACTGAACAACTAACCTGATGAAGTTTCAGCTCAGCTTCAGCTGTATATTTCGAGAAAAACAGCATTCTAGGATCTCGATTTCAAATCAAAAGTTGCTGAACCATGTTTTGAATTGGGCCTGATCGAATTCAGCGTTCGAGACACGTTCTCACTGAGCCGATTGCAGCTACGCGATGTCACGCGCTGATCCGACAAATTATAGCAACTGCACGCGCATGTGCATCGTGTCAACACTTGCGCGCGCTTCGCGGAATTAAAAAACGAACTACTAACGGAAATTTCCAACAGTGCGTCTTAAGACAGTTGGAAAGGCCTTCTTTCGTTGATTTCTTCAAAATGACAGCTTGCCAGAAAGAATAATTTCACAGGGAGTTTAGTCCCCTTACTATCGTTCAACCAAGTATGTTTTTCAACAATAATTATGTTACTTTTTGAATAGCTGCAAATGATGGATTGTAGCTTTACTATGTTTAGAAAAATATATTTATGATACATTTTGGGACAATTGACGTGTATAAGTTCCACTTTTGTGGAATTACATGTACGCTGACCTATTATCAACAGCCTACAGTCCTGTTTTATCGACACAAATCCTGCCCAGTTCGGTTCGTGCCATCGTGTTCGTGCATGTGTGAGTAACAATAGAAGGGTATAGCAATTAATTTGTTGAGTTGACCATCAATGTCAATGTCGTGACTGATTCATTCATCTGTCTACATGGCTAGTGAACTGGTTTTCTATTTCAGTTTCCATAGTAGCTCTTGACGCACATCTTAAAGGATGAATTACTTAGATAGTGTTGCCATGACAACAGTTTATATGGGTTCATTTGTCTTGAGACTTGTATACATCATTTTCTGTCCTCTTCCTGTCATCTTTTTGTAGCTCTTTGAATTTCTCGTGGCATGATTAAATTTCTCTTGGCATAATTAATAATGACATTTACATTATCAGGACTGTTTTTAGGCACATCTAAAAATTTGCCAGAATTTCATGGTTTGTATTAAGTCATCCTGCAATTACAAGATTTAAATTAATTAATTAGATTTGTTTAAATTACAAATAATACATTGACCCTTTCCAATTTTTGTATAGGCTTCAAATTACCAGCAAATAAAAATCGCAGCATATTCACATCCCTGGAAATTACACGTCAAATTACATGAAGTACACAATTTCAAAAAGGTGTAAAATTAGGGAATTCCAACTTTCTGACACTTTGTAGTTGTCTTGCTCGCTCTTAATATACAAAGAAGCATCTTAGGCCTTTGCGACTAGTCGACTTGTCACCAATACTAAAAAACATTGGTAGTCGCAACTATCAATTTCAAAATAGTGGACTAGTCGTTATGCCATGACTAGTCGCGACTACTGACATTAGTCGTGACTGTTGACATTAGTCCTGACTTGTATTGAAATTCATTAGTCATCCATGCCTGAAAATTTGTAGTCCAAGTAATTAAAAATGGCAAAAGTGTGTTTTCTAATACAATGGGGTTATACAATGAACGATATTGTGGTGAGTTCGTCCGTGAGAAACGCAGAGAATACAAAGAGAAACGATCACTCGGATTTATATGTTTCAACTATATAATTACTGTCGCTCGGACACAGGTCGGACTGCTTCAGAATCCGAACAACAACTCCCTAATTCCTGTCTTGTAAGCTGTATTTATTTAACACAGTGTTTACAATGGAATCAAGAGTCAAACATTGTAATAATAATATTTACGATATACATGTTCATGTAATTCTATAACTTAAGGTAGCGTGTAGTGTGTGCTCCGTCAAAAGAGGGCGCTAGTGCGACCAAAACAAGTTCGCGCTGCCTACATGCGTCTTTGATTTACGCGCAGCAGGAATGCATTGTCTGTGCAGGTGCTCTGTGCTCAAAGCGCGCACGCACAAGTCATCGCTGCGTAAGTAATTCAGAGGATTATTTACCAATAATCAATAAGCAATTATTCAATAATCAATGAGTAATAAAGTCTGTGTAATTTCACAACAATATTTAGACACATACGATTCGTCATTCCCTTGAAGCACACCAAAGCCTTAATGCTTTGTAGTACCCATACATTATTCATGTGCAGGGCCCTGTTCCAATTGCACATGGAAAGTATGGACATGATGGAGAATGCTTCTGAATTTCATAGGAAAGTATGCATGAAAGCGAAAAGAAAGATGACGTTTGCTTATAAATGGTAACTCCATAATATATTCATTGAACAAATCATGTTTATTCATTACAATCTGCCTTTACTTGACACAATATAATAATCAATTCTGTCAAATAACCGCTAAATAATCACGGCACCTGCCTGTTGTTTTGAGTTTTCTGCACCAAATGCTTATTGCACACGCGCCGTATTACTGGATAAATAATGTGTTACTAGTCGCGACTAGTCGCTGCTATTTATCCCAACTAGTCGCGACTAGTCGCCCAGGCCTAAAGTATATTGGAAATGTTGTCAAGATATCCATGTGACAAGACTGTTGAGAGTCGCTGATGCCTTGGAAGCAGTGTATGAATAAAAGTTGTTATCATGAATAAGAAAACGGAAAAGATGTGACTTGCAGTTTGTTTACTCTTGCAAAATGTAGTACATGGTGTATCCAAAACAAAAGGAAAGCCAGATGTAAACTTGTAAATTATAAAAAAATCGAATAAATATTTTCAAATAAGTTAAAGATCATGTGAAACGCCAAATGTGTTTTCTGTTCTCAATGATACCTCGGTTGTGTGTTTATTGTCAGGGATGACTGAGCATTCGTTGTTTTTCTGTCAAGGGTCAAAACCTGCACTGTGCAAGTTTGTGCAAAAGAGTAACTGGTATTCTGGCGTTGTGGAATGGCTTAATTTAAAGAAAGAAGACATCCTTTTCTTCAAAACAATTTATTCAATTTTGACACAGTGATTTAACCACTCTCATTGTTGAAGTTAACCCCTCATGGCCCAATGCCTTCAATGCTGCCACCACCTCTTTCTACATAAAGCTCTGCACGAAGTCTAGTCCATTTCAACCTTTGCATTTATAACAAACCAGCCAGCAATCTGAGCCAGGTAAAACGTGGCTCAGTACAGATTTTGACACTTGACAGAATAACAATGAATGCTTAGTCATCCGTGGCCACAGACACACAATTGAGGTATCGTTGGAAAGAGGACACATTGGCGTTTCACATGATCTTTAACTTTGAAAGTATTTATTAAATGTTTTATAATTTACATCTGGGTTTCGTGATGCTACTATCTACTGAGTTAAAATATACGTGCATAGTTGCAAATACTTGCAGAATGCAAGATGATGTGTCGTCAGTGCTAGTACATGTTACTGTAGAACAACTGCAGTGCTCAGCAGTGATCTCTGATGAAAATTAACATTTTACTTGGAATAGGCATATTTGGAAGAGATTTAAAGAACATTATTCAAGGTTGTTTTTTTTTTTTTTTTTTTTTTTTTTTACAGAAAGGTGTGACACTGCACGACAGGAAGAAGTTGGTGCATGAATTAACCCAAGATGTCCAGCACTATGCTAGTCGAGTACGCATCTTGCAGGAAATGGCCAAGTGTGTGGCTACACAGATCCAGGCAGATGGATACACACTCTATCTGTTGACTGAGACAGGAACAGTAAGAAGATATTACATTCTCTTATCATATCACATTGCCTCAGGGATTTAAATTTATTTTGATCATTTCAAATTTGGATGAAATTACTTATGTTGGATGGCATTGAGGGAGATACAAGAATATTGCACAAGCTATAACAATATTGCCACTATTGTTATGGCGCGTACAATATTTTTTTGGATCCCCTGAAAAAAGCCATCCAATGTTATTATTATTTATATCAGGCTGACTTGATCCGAAAGAAACAAAATTCACGTTGCTGTATTGTAAAAATCGCTGACTGCTTTCTCGGTAGTACTTAATTTAACTTGAACAAAATGCCCGCTAGTGGAAGCTTTCCAGCATCTCAAAATCCGTCAGTAGCCTCTTTTCGGACAGATATACTCACAGAATATTTACTTGTGTCATCTTGGTCGCCTTCCAGGCATTTTCAGCGTTTCCAGTTCTTAAATTTTGTTGAATTCCTCACTGACCGAAGTGAATCTGGCGCTGCTCGAAGCTGCCATTTTGTTGACAAAACAATACCAAATGCGCGTGTTAACAATTGGGACTTTCTATACTCTTCATTGAGCGGGAATTAGCGAAATTTGTTAAAATGCCCAGATGAGGACAACATCAAACATGTTTTTCAAAAATCATCTGGGTACTTTTACTGACATAATATTGCAGTCATCCGGGTACTTTTTACTCTTTTTTTTACCACTGGAAACCTGATATCAATAATAATCTGACTTATTATTCATTTTGTTTGATTTATTGCTTGAAATCAGATAGCACCATGAGGCCTGAAGATGTCAAAACCTTTTGTTAAAACAAAAAATGTGAAAAGTGAACAGTAGGCACTTCTTTCAGGTATTAAAAAACATGGTGAATCAATCTCTCACGTATGTCAAAGTATCAGCTAAGCCTTGCTAGGCAATTAGGTCAGCTACTTACAACGGTTCGATAATGGTCTCAAATCCTTCAACATGCATGGACCAGCAATATGGCAATGAAATCATATAAGACCAGCAATTCCAACACAAGACCATTGAGCACGTCTGCTAATCCGCTAACAATGGGTGCGTGCGCTGCTAGTTGTTCATGTTTTTTGGTACTTGGAAGATAAAACCTAGCAACCGGCTGGCCAAAGAAATATCAGATACTTTGACATTTGTGAAAGATTGACTTATTTTTAGTAAGTGAAAGAAGGTGCCTATTGTTCACTTTCACGTTTTTCGTTCCAACAAAAGGTTTTCAAGTCTATGGCTCTCACTGTGTAGTATGATGCAGTAAACATTTCAGCAGAGAGGCCTAGGTTAGCATACAGTATGTGCCAAAAAAGTTTCCGTCTGACTATTTCTGAAATAACTACAAAACCATGAAGTCAATTTTGAAAATGTTTGGTTGTGCAGATACTCCTAAGCCTTGGCCTCAACCCCTATGAGTTTCACTTAATTTCAGTCACGCATCACTACACAATTGTCAGTTCATCACAACATTTTTGGACACTGCGACCAAGTTCCTTGCCTTGTTCAATTTCAGTACTGTGTGATGTAAGCTGTGTAAAATCCTGCATGTTGTGAAGAGGGTTGCAGTTGGGATTGGAATCATTTTCCTGGCTATCGGTCATCATGGCCAGACATCAGTTTAATGCTCAAGGGCAAATGATTCCAATCCCAAACCACATCAGCCTTCTTTTCTCAACATGCAGGATTTTACACAGCTTACATATACAACACTGAAATTGATTAATTGATTAAGGCTTGGTCACAGTGTCCAAAAATGTTGTTGTGATCAATTGACAATTGTGCAGTGATACGTGACTGAAATTAAATGAAACTCATAGGGGTTGAGGCCGAGGCTTAGGAGTATCTGCACAACCAACAATTTTCAGAATTGACTTGATGGTTTTGTAGTTATTTTAAAAACAGTCAGATGGACTCTCTTTTTTTTGGAACATACTGTATAAACCAAAAGTGGGAATTGCAGATGAAATAACCAGACATTCAAGATGCCTTGTACATTATGAACAACACTAGTGAAATGCTAAGTTTGAATAAGAAGAAATATTGATGATTATGTACTGCACTGTGAGCACCTGTTCGGTGGATATGTGTACTTATTACCTGGGCAATTCCATCAGAAAGTGAACATGGCTAAAAAAAAATGGAAAAAAAATATAAAATCTTCAGTCACGGGCTTTGCTAGAGGGGTGTGGGGGGGGGGGGTGACACCCCCATTAATCAGTTTTCTCTGTAACATCATTGTCCTGTCGGCAAAATCGTTTGTCCATGAGCAATGTGCATATTTTTGCATGCTTACCTATAATGTACCCATCAATATCACATGATCATTACTTTCTCTTTTTACTTAATGCATACTGGTGCCTTGCATTTAATGCAATACAGAACACTGATAAATTTACAAAATGTAGGGTAGTAAAAGCAAGTGACTGACAATCGGTATACTAGGAATCCTATTTTGTATGATCAGGGCAAACCCTCTGTGCAGTTTCAAGGGGAGGTCAACAGGGTTCAAGCAAAAGAGGGGAAATGGGGGGGGGGGAGGGATGATAATGAAAAATGGAAACAGGAGAGTGTGAACCATGCCTGATTGAAATCTGAAAGTTGTTGAATTTAACAGCAGCCATTGATAATATGTCCATGGTCAAGTAAACATTTCCGGTATCATGTACCCCAAAACACAATTTTTTTTTTTTATTTCTCGGCCATTAAAAATATAACACTCCACATTATTAGTTTTAGCTACACGTCTTGTCTCAACTGTAGATAAAGTTATTTTATGAACGTCATTTAATGTCTTACACTTTGTTTTGATAGGAACTCTATGAGTACAGTGCAGAACACAAGGGGTAAGTCATGTCAGGCACATTATGGTGATATTAGAACCAATTCCCAAAAAGTCCAATTATCGCTGTGTTCTGGAAAGATTGGTACTAAGTGTTTGCCAACAACTTGCCAAGTTGCCCCTAGCACAAGAAGTTTGTTTTGTAAAGTAAATAAACCAAAAGGGAATGAACACAAATAGTTTATAACTACATTTTAATTCCCTTCCCTTCATTTATGAAATAATTATGAATAAAGAGATAAGAAAAAGGGAATATAGTGCCCCTAGCTTCAAATGAGCTCCAGTAATTACAGCAGTGTGCGTCATAATGCCTGCGTCCTTTGCCTCACACCATTCACCCAATACATGTACATGTAGCACTCAACCAAATTTCAGTTTGTATGTTCATGCACAGCTTTTACATCACATAAAATTACAGAATAGAATGGATACATAACAATCAATCACAGAATCACGACAAATTCATTGCTGTAATTAACAGAATAAAAACAATTCACAACATTGTGCTGATGTATCGGTTCATAGTGGATGCCACATTGTATGTAATAGTAATCAAGGTGTCCAAGTACAAAAATAGCTTCACAGTTATAATTACAGATTGAAGAACATATAGAACCTGTTAGATATAGTCTCCTAAGGGTGACATATACATATTATTACAAAGATCTGTTTGTTTTTTTTGGTGCAGAGAGGAGCCGAGTGTTACCTGGCCAATAGGAAAAGGCAAATCCATTGCGGGATATGTAGCCCATTCCCTGCACACTGTCAATACCTCAGAGATACGTACGGTAAGGCTTAGCTTGACAGAACATTTACTTAAAGGGGCATGACGTCCTGAAATCGCAGAGATTTATCTGTTTTAGATTGTTTTAATACTCATCCTACTTCAAAGTTCTGGTTGAGAGGAAACTTACCAAATGTCGCACTGTTCCTGAGAAAAGACAAAAAGTCCTGGTTGTTTACTTCTGTCTCGATGGACATTTTGAGGAATACGCATACGTTGTTTCTTGCACGTCCACAGAATGCAATTCACTGGTGGAACATGTGCGGCAGGATTCACGACTAGCACCCAACAGCTCGATTTTTGAGAGTCAGAATTTTGACCTCTTATATTCCTTCTCGCAAGAATAACACAAAAAACGCCCAGCTTTTAAAGGATGGTTGTGTGGACGTTTATATCCTACTTTAAATGCTCTCTCCAATTAACATAATGTTATTTTGTAGCCCAATTGGGTGCATTCCAGGACGTAATGCCCCTTTAAGTCTTGGTATCTCCAAGACTATTCCCCCCCCCCCCCAAAAAAAAAGGGGGGGAAGAGCTTTAGTGAACTAGTGTCAAATGATGTCCAGCTACCCCTACCACTTCTCAAAATGTCCAGACATTTTTGTGAGGCTCAACAATATCTTACAAAAGGTGTGATCACATGTCTGTCTAATGTGATACCTGACCATGTTAGATGCTCATGTTGAAGCCATAACTTTAAGGATCATTTGTTTAAGCTCTGGCAGGAGCTTCTACATGTCACTTTGTGGTCGGTCGGTTGGTCTCTCTGTCTGTCTGTGCCTGAAAATTGACCAAAAATATTGGACAAAAATTGACCAAATGCCATGCCATGGTCATATAAATGCACTCTTGCCGAAAGAAGACCGGCTTTGTTTTGATCGATGCGCATGCGCGTCTATTTTGCACACGAAGTGAGACATTCCCAAACTGGGCCAGAGCATATTGTGTACTCGTGCTTGTTTTCATGCATTTTGTTTGTTTCCAATAATAACACTACTCAAAATCCAAAGACAAAAGTTCAAAACCCAACCTGTTGAAGTTTCAGCTCAGTGGATATTACACTTTTTGAGAAAACAGTGAGAAAACTGTGAGAAACCATGCACAACGATCTTAAATCCAAATAAGCTTTTCGATAATAATTTGCTAAGTTACTTTTGTGATAAATGCAAATGATCCTATTAAATGCCTTTAAAATTCCTTTGATTTGAATCGTCAATCTCAGTTTTGTCAGAAAAAAATCCCCCTTGTGTTACTTCCAATATTGTTTTTACAAATAGTAGTGAATAATGATAATTCATTTGTTTGTTTAGGCTGATTATCCTGAGGGAGTGGTAGCAGATGGTGTAACAGCCAGTGCTGTTCTTGCTCTTCCAGTTTTACAAGCCAATGAGGATTTAGTTGGTAAGGAAAAGCCTTAAAGCCGGTACATACTACTCATGAATGTGAAAGTTAGGCAAGTTTGAAAACATTTGCAGTGAAATTTGCTGTAGTCAAAATGTGTTTGGCTCTTGTGAATCTTGACATGATGTCTAGCATTCCCATTCAGGATCACGCTAAGTATAAAGTGGCCTCGATGCCATTATTATAAGAAAAGAAACTTGCATTTAGTTCTTTTGGGTGTTTTAACTTCACAGGGTAATGTGATTTCACAATACCATCCAGCCTCTAAATGAGGAAATTAGTTGTGTACTGGTTATCCTTTACGACTGAGGACTTAGAACAAATGACATAGGAACACACTGAGGACCTGGGGCCGTATTCACAAATCTCAAACTTAAGAGAATACTTAAGTCAGACTTAAATCTAAGCACCCTGCTAACTTAAGTGGGGTGCTTAATTTGGTATTCACGAAAGATCTAAGCACCACACTTAACTAAGTGCTCAACTTAACTTAAGCATGTAAAGTGTTCAAAGCAACACTCTTGGTCATGTGCAAAACTTTTATGTCATAAACGTTCCTACGCAGTGGCAATTCAAGCAATTTGTGCGTGTCTCTTTAACATAATCAGGTGCATGCATATTCAGCGATGCAGTTTCTGATCTGCTGGAACTCAATCCTTGGTAGTTTTCACATACAAAGTTATGAAACGTGGCAAGAAACATGAGGTCCAAACAGTAGGAACAAAGAAAGGGAACAGCTAGGGTCCCTGGTGGAATATATTAAACAAGCTGGGTATTGATGTCTTAAAGCTATTTTAATATGAACGTTTCTTTGCAAATGTGGTACCTCTGGAAAGCTGCATCAATACAGCAATAGATCCAATTGCAAGGGATAGATGAAATGCATGCATCATTTTCAAAGTTGGATTATAAAAGGTCCCAAAGCGTAGCAGTGACTTCTTTGCCAAGTACTAGGCCCTACCTAATAATATGACACACTGTATTGGTCTTCATTACTGATCACTAAAGACTAAAACATAAAACTACCTCTACACTATGTATAGTCCCCTTATTACAACATTCAGGTCACATTAACGTAAAACGCTTCATCATTCAACAAGTTGTGCTCTTATTTTGTTATTGTGTGAAGGCGTGATTGAGTTCTACCGTGACACTAATCATGGGCATGGCTCATTCACTGAGGATGCGCAAGAAGTAAGTGGATACTCTGCAGTCAAGATGTCTTGTTCAGATGTGCAAATAGTTAGGAACACTTTTGTTTTAGAACATTGTCATTTCTATAAAGCAGCAGATACCCCATTTAGAAACACAAGGTTTCACTTTTCAGTCCACTACTCTTTACTCTCTGTGCACATTATAAAATTTGTCATTGTCTTAAGAGTTAAAAGAGTAATTTTTCTTTGCATGCTGTAAAAGATAAACTTTTCGTTGCAATGAAAAGAAATCGCAAACCTGCAATGGTCAAGTCTTGTCACTGGTATTCTCATCATCATGACATGTAGGATCACTGTAGGCATGATTGTTTTAGGATGGGTTTTAGTCGTGTTCTCTAACTAAATTCTTAGTATATATTTGGTACCAGATTCTAGGTGTTTTTCATATCAGCTTTCTTATAATTGTGTGTGTTTGTATCCATGCAGACAGCCAGTGCGTTCCTGGTATGGGGGTGTATCGCCGTTCATTATGCTCAGGTAATGTCATTTCCATATATACAATTTAAGCCAATGTTGACATGGCTACATTAATGACCTGCTCCTATGAAATGAGATTGAGATTGCCAACTATCATTTGCTACTGTAATTGTTCAACTATACTCAATTCAGATGTTTTGTACCTGTGCATATCGTGTAAATACCTAAAGTTTTGTGTGAATCATATTTTGCAAGTGCTCAAGAAACTTAAGCATTTGTAAATATTTACATGTTTAATAATAAAAACTAAGTTTGAGTGGACAGATATGATTTGGCACGTTTGTCATTGACTTTTCTGAAAGTGACATGTGTTGGTCAGTATTTATAAAATTAGAGCACTATCCAGTACAACGGGAGCACATCTTCACAATGAATTGCTAAAGACTACAGTCAACTCCCGTTAATACAAACTCAGCTGGACCTAGCCAAAATGTTTGTTATATCAGAATTTTGTATTAAGAGGACCGATGGTCGCATTTATTGTGCACAGAAATCAGTCGGGACCAAGGCTTTTTGTTTGTTATAACCAGAATTTGTTTTAACAGTGTTTGTATTAACGAGAGTCAATTGTATATTAACCCTAACCGAACACAACCCATCAAAGTTCAACAGCAGGTTTTGTTTAAATCTGTTAGGATAGGTACAGTACCCCTAAACTGATGGTCTTTTACACTGGGGTTGGCATACCTCCAGAAACTAAGTCCAACAGTGTGTGTGTACAATTTCCCATGTGGGTGTTGGAATTTGCCTGAATGGGTATGGTTCCTAGTAAATTAGGCTGGGGAGTTATTAATATCAAGCAAATGTGAATCCTTGATCCTGTTTTGTAAATCCATGGCAACAATGATGTTGTATTATCCTTATTGCACGGTTGCTGCAGGCATGCACATACTTGAACTAGTACAGAATATGCATGTGCAGCAGCAAATGTGTCCAACCACAATGACCCCCCCCCCCAAAAAAAAGCGACTACAGCTTAAGTGTTACATCTTTACTTTGTGTCAAGTTTGCTTGAGGATAAATTCCTTTTCCTACTTGACCTTGAGAAATGTAATGCATTTGTGCTCCATATGACTCTCATTCAATGGACACAGATGCACTAGATTATTCCATGTTCCACAACAAGCACAAGTGGGATAACTAACAATGTATGGTCTAGTAGGTACAGTTGAATGAACATGCAGTAACCCAGACATATATTGATGTTATTGTAGATGTATGTCAGCATGAGTAAGCAGAGAAAGCTGAATGATTTCCTCTTGACGGTCACAAAGTAAGTCTGCCATCACAACATATCAACATATACAAGATTCTACCTTTAAGAATAACATCAACTTGATACAGTATATAATTATTCTATCAAAACATGAAAACTCAAATGTTTACTTCATAGATCGCATCAGTGCAACAAGGTCCTAACTCCGTTCTGCAACAGAGTTGTATCTCGCGCGAATATGCTCCATGCAACAAGGTCAAATCTCGACGTCCATTGACTTTGTGTGTACATTTGGGTTATTTTAAGTGAGGTACGACCTTTTGACGTTCTGAATCTCGCGTTTCACTCATGGCCCATTTTAGGAGATACGACCTTGTTGCACGGACACGACGAGATGACGGTTTTTGCATGGCACAAGACAGAATGAGCTAGATCTCAAGCATTTAAGAAGTCCATTGAAGATTTGTAGAACTGTCAGTGATGCTGAAACCCTAAGCAGTTTTACCCCATCGATGAGACAACTTTCATGGAATAATATCAATATTCAATGAACTCAATAAAAAAAATAATGCTTTCGCTGCAGTTTGTTAACTAAAATATTGAAAGATCTAGACTAAATCGTGCTTGAATAGCACGTATATTTTATCAAAGTCAATTTATTTCTGGTTTGGGTTTATGTTTCACAGTATTCTATCCACACATGTTCCTGTTATTTTTCAGGTCTGTTTTTCAAGATATAATCAGCATGGATACGGTTATCATGAAGATCATGGTAAATACTCGCAAGTAGATTTATTCCTTGGTTATTGAAGTTAGCTACGAGTGTGATCTTCATCATTGGAACCAATAAGCCAGTTTGGTATTTTAATTACACATGCTCACAACGATATGGGTCACGGGTCATTCGGGAAAATCCAAGGCGTATGAACGCGCTCGGAGACGGGTGCATGAAGCTTGTGCGCTAATTACAACCAGAATGGGCGAACGCATAGCATCACATCAGCAATTTTATCCTGAATGACCTTTGAGCTGGACTACTTCATCGAGATATTGAACTGGCTTATTGCGTGCATACAGGAGGTTTGTGTGTGCATTATCCTAAAACCTGGATTTGACCGACTTGTTTATTTGTTGCTATATCATTGAATCAATTTAATTTTTCTGTTCTCTTTACGTTCAATTTCAGAACTTTGCGCAGAAGTTGGTTTCAGCAGACCGGGCTTCACTGTTCCTTGTCGACAATAAAACCAGAGAGCTGTATGCCAGAATATTTGATGTAGGCAATGGCATAGGCATGCAGGTTGTTGAAAAGGAACAAAAAGAAATCAGGTAATGTGTTGCAACACCTGGATGTTTCTGTCTAATCAATACTCAGAAACCTTCTTGCAAAAGAAAATTGATTTTTAAATGAACCACCCAGGATAACTGAGCAGGTGCACCTGCAGTCGATTCCATGAAAGTCATCTCAACTAATGATGTATCGCAGCGCTGCGACGGGGCGTATCCCTACGATGCTGTCGCAGCTGCGACTCGTCCTGCGAATCATTTCACAAAACACGTCGTAAGTGCGATGCGCCGTAGGTGTATTTATAGCACAACACGGTGACTGTTCTATGTATTTATTCAACGTACAGTAAATAGTCATCTGATATTCAGCAAAGAGTCGTGGCATCTCCTCTCGAAAAGTTTTTAAAACATAAAACGAAATGGAGGACGTATGATGCAGTTTTAACGGAAAACAAGCTCGCGGTGAACTGTTTGCTACTTTGAAATTTCAAGTGCAATATTCCAGGCTAATTCATATTTACTTCGATGCATTTTCCATTTACAACTGCACACACATTGTCTCAATATTATAGTCTCGTTTATTTAATTGTTATGGCAAAAAACTGGCTAAGAAAAGGAGTCTTTTTACTTTGCGATGACCAATAGACACATCATAACTTGCGACGTGTTTTAAGCCGTTGTCAAGGAACTTACGACGCGTTTAACTAACTTTTGTGAAATGGATCATACAACACATTGCATTGAGTTGCAGTGCTTTGTAAAATCGGGTGCTGGTCAGTTTCCCTTTGTGGTTTATTTGAAAATTTGTTATAAAAAGCTGTTCCCTCTTTGAGTGATCCCCAGTTGCTATTTCCTGGGTTTGCAGCATTGCTAATGTTGCTATAGCATCGTGGCCTTGGGCGTGATCCCTGGCTACATGGTATATATAAGGGTTTATGGCTTCTTAGTACCTTGTAGATCAATGGTCCACCAGGGACTAAACTGAAAGTTAACGAGGATACATTGACGAAACTGGAGTAGCGAGGGATATAGTGACAATTGGGGAACCGCCTGCATAGGGCTGGATAGCTCAGATGGTAGAGCGTCAGAATGGTTATCCAGATGTTTGAACATACAGAACAATTTTTTCCCAAATAATGAATTTAGCTTTTCTGTGAAGAATAGTTGGATAATAAGTTTTGGTTTAAATATTATACAGTCTAAATAAACAGTGAAATGTTAATTTGGTAACAACATTGAAATAATATAACCAGCTGGGATGTTATCCTCCATATTGTTTCAGGTTTTCCATGGACAAAGGTGTTGCTGGCCATGTTGCTTCCACTGGGCAGGTTCTTAACATCCCTGATGCATATCTAGATCAACGGTTTAACAGGTCAGCTATTGACATGTGTTGGACAAACGAACCAAGGGCGGATCCAGGGGGGGCCAAAGGGGGCCATGGGCCCCCCCCCCCCCCCCAAAAAACGAAACCATTTTTTTTTTTTATGTGACATCGCATAAAGGCAGGCAATGAGTACACCACCATCTTTTCCTCAAAAAAACATTGGTTAAAGTGGTCAGAAATTGCCTTACACGTAGATCGCACCACAGAGCATCTAGAATCCAAAAATTGTTTGACCCACTTTTTTGGGGGACCAAAATTTTTTTGGCCCCCCCAAAATTGTGTTCTGGATCCGCCCTTGAAACGAACAAGCTGTAAATACACATACATCCCTTACACAGGGATGCCAGGTGTCGGGCTATAGCCTGAAGCAGGCTTTTTCATGTTTTGAAAAAAAAAAAATTAGGCATTCCATGCCTTCACAAGCCAGAAAATAAATCCTTGTGTAGCCTGCACAGAGAAAAGTATTGTGTCTGCATTGCTCCATGGCAATTGTCATGCTAGCTTGATAGCCGAATGTGTGAATTGTAAGTTCAAAGTAGACATGTGTGGTACTGCAATGTGCTTATGGTGTATTGCAATCATTTTGCACATTTGGCCGTCTGTCACATGTCAAATTGTTCAGGCCCTGACTCAAAACACCAACTGGCATCCCTGCTTACTGTCACATTCCCCGGTTTGCCCCTCCCCAAGAAATATGACCCTCCGTAGTCTTGTTCACCCTCACACAAAATAAATTGTCAAATCACTCGAGTTCTTGTAGTTTTAACAGATATATACACTTTTATTTACAGTCACACCAGTCGATATGTACAAGAAACAAAATAAACTTAGTTTGCTGACTGATATGGTTTACCCGGGGTTTTGTCTAACCGACTCTTTTGATTACCAAGTACACACTGATAAATCCACAATAAACTTAACACTTCTTCTTTGGTTTACAATTACAATTTACGGATCATGAACCTGCACCTTTTCCCAGTTTTGTTTGCCTTACTAAACTTCTATTACAATGCGTCAGCTGTGGCGACTGTTGCAGGCGGTCAGCCGGAAGTGCGGCCTCCCTCAACGATCCTGGCGCCTCTTGGTCACTGTTCTGGCCAGGAGAGGATAGGTCCAACTTGAAGGCCTTGGGGTAGTATTGACTGTCAACCTCGGCCGTCCTGCCTCGCCTGTTCACCAGCCTGTTTCTGTCTTTCATAGAGGAACACACTATTATGGAACACACTTTTATTTTGTCTTCAACATTTGTTCATCCTTAACTAAACTCTGTTTGACAACGACCGTACTACATCCGCTATCATGCAGAACCTTAACCGTTTCGTTGCCTACATACCCGTCGCTTACTGGCATTCGATTACTGATCGTACACGCGACACTAATCATGGGGACATCATGACCATAAGACAGTTTCAAAGTTTCTCCTATTTGACCTGAACATTCGCATAGCGTAGACTTTTTGGTTATGCACCCCGCAACTTCTTGTATTTCTTGGGGAGGGGCAAACCGAGGAATGTGACACTTACATCTCTGCCTTCTCAGAGATCAGTGTTTAATACCAAAGACATTGTGTGTACAGTCGACTCTTGTTAATGCAAACTCAGCCGGACCTAACAAAAATGTTTGTTACACGTACATCAGAATTTCCTATTAAGTGGAGTGCCAGTCCCATTCATTGTGCACGTAATATGTGCAGTGGGGACCAAGGCTTTATGTTATACAACCAGTATTTGTATTAACAGTGTTTGTACATTGTTGTATTAACAAGAACCAACTGTATAATTATCAAGAGTCAACTGTATATACATGTATATGATTACCAATCGCAATCTGAGACATCACTTTTACAAGCAGTGATTGTAGTCATGAAATCTGAAGTGCCCTGCGGTAGTTTATTTGCCAGAACATTATGCATGGTACCATTGCTTCTAAAAAAAACCTGTGGTTTATGGCAAATACTTTATAGGCATTCTTTTATTTGGGGTTTTTCTGTTTGTTGCTGTTGTTGTTGTTGTTTTGGGGAGGGGGGGTGTGCAGGGTGGGGGACGGGTTATTTGTATTTTTTTTGTTTGGGGTTTTTTTTTCGGGGGGGGGGGGGTGTTTGGGTTTTTTGGTAATTTTGTTTTGTTTTGTTTTGTTTGTTACAGTACAATGTCCGTGCTTGATGCACTTGTCAATGATTGTGTAGTCTGTGTTCTTATACTAGACTAGACTAGACTAGACTAGACTAGACTAGACTAGACTAGACTAGACTAGACTAGACTAGACTAGACTAGACTAGACTAGACTAGACTAGACTAGACTAGACTAGACTAGACTATTTAATTTTATTTTATTTTATTTTATTTTATTTTATTTTATTTTATTTTATTTTATTTTATTTTATTTTATTTTATTTTATTTTATTTTATTTTATTTTATTTTATTTTATTTTATTTTATTTTATTTTGTTTTGTTTCTCGGGAAACATCAACAAATACATGTACACATATCACCAAAGATACAAGGAATAGATAAAATTAAAGCTGTAGATACAAAAACAAACAAACAAAAACAATAATACCATTCAGCTCCCGAAGGATAACCCAAAGGAAACATTGTTTCTGTCGAGGGGTTCTCCAAGCTGAATGGCATACGTGAAAACAACAAGCAATAAATATAAAATGAAGTTTTGACTGTAAAAAAAAGAGGGAAAAAAAAGTTCAATAAAGTTCTTACATTGAGTATGTAATTTCTTTGCACAGGGATGTGGATCAACAGACAGGCTATGTCACCAAGACTATTCTCTGCATGCCCATATACAACAGAGGAAAGTAAGGACATAGGAGACTGGTATCTTTTATTTTCTTTTTTTCATATTGTGTTAAAGTCTTTTACAGATTCTGATGCCCAAATGAATGGTTACCAATATTTAATATGATCTGCATGATCTTTTTTAGGGACACCATACAAGACTTGTTTATGGTTTTTAAAGTTAACTTTCAGGGCCTGTTTGCTCAGAAGTGTAGTATTAAAAGAAAATCATGAACGAAAAGCAGCATATAAAACCAAGCGGTGTTACATAAATCTAGGCAAATTATCAGAAGATGCTCCATTAAAGGCAATATACAACATTTGCAAGCATCAAAAAACAAAACTACCAAATTATTATGACATACCTTACTGGACTGTTAGTGAATGACAGTCTAAAGCATTCTGTAAAATCATGGCACCTGGTGTGCTGTCATTTTCAAGAAAAGTTGTATTTTGTATCAATTTCCAACACTGGTCGGCCGGCCAGCATTGAAAAAAAACTGGATTTTTTCAAATACTGTCCCCGGTTTACCATATTTAGTTCGCATTCTGTTTGCAATCAGTTACACACCTATGAACGTGTACAAGCCAGCTAGACTGGTTCCCTGACCTTACAATTCCCTGACGTCTATAAATTGCTCCGTTTCATCTTAAGTGGCGTCAGGGAACCAGACTACAGGAACATGATTGTTTTTTTCTTGGTTTGTGCAGCATCTACAAGCACAAAACTTCAGACGAGTCAGTATGAATATATTTGCTATACAATACTACCCCCCCCCCCCAAAAAAAAAAACCAATCCATCCATTACTGAAAATTACAGCAGAAGCAAATGTTGTGTATTCCCTTTAAGTCATGACCACAAATATGCTGAGTGGTCAGAATGCAGATTCATTGCCCAGTATTTTGGTAAAGTTTTCAAGTTTCTCAGCTTGATTGTTTGATTAGCATTAGTGGGTCCAATAGTTACGACTTGTGTGCCGTGGTACATGGGTTCGAATCCTGACCGTGGGAACATGGTGCTTGTGCTCTTGAGCAAGGCTTTTTACCACAATTGCTTCGTCCTCCGGATGGGACGTAAAGCCGTAGGTCCCATGTGTTGTGTAATGCACTTTAAAGAACCCAGTAACACTTATCGCTAAGAGAAGGGGTTTGCCCCGGTGTTTCTGGCAGTGGCTGCAATATGCGCCGCAGCACCTTGTAAACCCTTATAAGGTGCTACATAATGGGTCTCACATTTCTCATAAACTTCATTTACCTGTCTTTAAAAATAGACATCATTTCCAGTGCCTTGAGTACCTAATTGTTGGTAGATACGTGCGCTATTATATAAGACTCTGGTATTATTATTATAAAGTGTAAAGTGGCCCGTTGAAACCAGCACATTCTAATTGTTTTCCTGTGCGGATGTAAACATGCTCAAAAAGGTTTGGCCATGGCACTGCTAATTAGCTAGCTGTATCTTTGCTTGACAGTGTGATTGGTGTGGTGCAGATGGTGAATAAGAAGCAAGGACACTTCACTAAAACAGATGAACAAGCCTTTGAGACGTTCGCTGTGTTCTGTGGTTTGGCTCTACATCATGCCAAGGTAAGAATTAGGCAGTGTAGGTAAAACAAAACGTAGGATTAGACAAGATCTGTTTTGTATTCTTACTAATGATTTTGGTTATGGAAGTGTGTTATGTGTACATGTGTGTTCCAATAACAAACTGACGTCACTGAATTGTATTGTGTTTAATCCCCAACCACCTCAAGTGAAGAGTTAATCATGTGCATGCTTTTGCAGTTGAAACCATAGATTCATGTATTGTTGGAATTGATATTCAAATCTACCATTGCCAAATCCTTCAGAATCTATGGGATTCTGTAGGATCAAGGAAGGCATACCAGCCACTGTTACTTGCCATAGGACTTTATGCCTGTTGAAATTTTGGATTCAGGAAAGTTCCTGTTATAATTCCTGATATCTTGAATAAATTAGTCATGTTGAGTCATGTTGTCGATCAGGTACAGAAATATCTGCATTTTTTTGTTGATATTATTAAATGTTCAGCAGTTTGTGATATATTGCAAGGATGGCTCTGTATGAATTGTTATTATTATCAACAATTAAACACTGTTGGTTGTGTTGTCTGTATGCAGCTTTATGATAAGATCCATCGATCGGAGCAGAAGCATAAAGTAGCTCTGGAGGTCCTGAGCTATCACAGTCAGTGTCATGAAGAAGACCTGGAGAACCTCAAGAAAGTGGCTTTACCAGACCCTATGCCTCAGCTTGCAAGGTGTGTCTTCAGTCTAGCCAACCAATCAAATCATGTTTTGTTAGAGTTAGTAGTTTGTGTGGATAGTTTTTTGAGTCAATGGATTGAAATCAATGGATTGAGCTGTTTGCACATGATGCTTGGCGTTAGTTTGCTATTAATCCCATTTATTGCTACCACAGAGACATGTTTACCAATGCATTAATTGTAGACCAGTTCCAGAACATTCTCCAACAGTTAATCTTTATCATTGGGCTTTACGCTTCTATGTCAATTGACCATTAAAAAAGTGTTACTTATCGTATATATCATCCAATTTTGTGACCTCACTAATTGCAGAGACCTTTAGCAGTAATTAAGGCACAGCAAAAGGCATGCTAATATCAGGAGAAATTTGCTGACATTAGTGACATAATAATAGAAAACTCCCCAGATAGCATTGCTACATTTGGCCAATGTTGGCAGTAGGTTGAAATTTGACGAAATCCTGACGTGGCCTGCATATTGTTATGGTTTCAGATAATCTCTTGGAAGGCAAACAGAATTTACACAGGACTCACATGAAAATAAGTGGATTTTTTAAAAGTTGCCCCAAACAAAACATTAAAACAAACAAACAAATGCTATGGATATCAGGATTCCAAAGGATAAACATCCAATGTTTTAAAGTGTTGTGCAATGTTTGTAGCTATTACATGTAGTGTTTCCTTTTTTATTATTATAAGGTACTCTTGTCAAATGATTCAATGGTAAAGATATTAGATGTTTGGTTTGTGGCAACACCATGTAGTCAAATCTCTTCTGAGACTTTTAGGGCCATTTTCGTATAATTTAGTATTTGAAAATTCAAAACTGCACTTGACCGTATATTTGAATATTCGTAACTCGCCGAGTAAGTTTTACACACGCCAGCTGCAGCTGCCTTCCTCACTGGTCAAAAGTTGCATACAAAGTGTGCCAGTTCAATTTTCAATAATTAAAACTTTAAAGTTCTTAAATTAAAACAGTTAAACTTTGGCCAATGGATATTATGGGCCACTGGAGTGTTTTGCAGTAAGTACATGTACTGTATAACTGTCAAGGGACTTTACCCAGCCATCCGGTTCGTTAGTGTGACGTCAGTTCAGTTTAAACCATTAAGTAGCATTGGAACCATTGGAACCGGAAGCTAACGCAACTTGAGTGTTTATCCAATGGGTGCTAGTAATCAGTGGTGCACGCGCATGTATGACGTTTTTACTAACAAATCGGATAAGAATGGACCAAAAAATAGGCGTCGACAAAAAAGTTACCGTCAACAAAAAAGTGGCATCTGCCAATCCAAAAAGCAACTTTACGAGCAAAGTAACATCACAATAATGTGCACGTGCATAGTTTTCCTTTTCGAATATTCAAACCGGCAAAAAGCTATTCGAATATTTGGTTCATGATCGAATATTAGAATATGCGGTTTATTTGGGACAGCCCTAGTGACTTCATATGGTTCTGAAAAGATTTGGCTGGATATTCTCATAAAAGATGTGAATGCATTAACAAATTGTCGGTATGATCATATGCCTATTGATCCATACACGTATCTCTGTCTTGCTGATACTGAGTTTGATTGCTTTATCAGGTACGACTTCTCACCATGGGGACTGGATGAGGAGGCCAAACCTCTGTATGTGCTGTGCATGTTCCAGGATATGTTCACTCTTAACGGGTAAAACCATCTCTAACTTTGATAGTGAAAGAAAACTTTAAATAAGTGATGATAATAACATACAGTGCATATTCTGTATGCCAAGTCAAGCCACTGTGCAGATATTTTACGTCTCTGTACTGATGTTCCATTCATGGTGTCGATGTAATTTGTGGGCTTGGATCCATTGGGTTTCCATTTCATTCACTCATTGTCATACATACATGTACATGTAGTTGTGTGTATTTTGTCAATCATTCTTCTCATTTGTCTCCACAGTGATGATCATAATGACAACTCAGAGAGGTTAGCCCTGTTATTCCATTAATCCAAACCTTCCTACCTTCTGCTGTGCCACTCCAAAAGTTTTTGTTTGTGTGTATTTATAATGATATGTAATTAGAAAAGTTAATTAAAAGTTGTTGAGTTGTTAAACTGCCTTGTTTAACATCTTCAAGAGGAATTTTCCAATCACCTTCATAATATTGCAGTGACAATTGTAGACCTACATTGATTCTGTTGCATGTCATAGATTGATCTTACTTGGATTGCCTTCTTGATAGTGGAGATAGTGAATTTAGTGAGCTGCTGATGTAAAGCTACAGTAGATGTCCATCTATGGAGTACACGTTGTATATATTGATTTTAGTGCTGCTGAAATTGTGGAGTCTAGGCTAGCTTGTCTGTTACATGTACAATAAGAATTGGTATTCTGTTCAAGATTTGATATTAATTTAAGGGCACAGTATTACCAGGAGTCCAGGCAAGCACATGGCAAGTGATCAACAGAACTCTGTTTCTTGTTCCATAGTTGTGGGGACACACTCATCTATACGAGGTATTTGTGGGGACTGAAAACGCTGTGGGGACAGCAGAAAGTCCCCATAACTCGGTCCTAATTTGCCTAACAATAAAAAAAAACGTCCCCATAACGTGGTGTAGGCCTACCCGCTCACGTTTTTTAGTAACAAAATACAGTTCAAAACTTTATTATTTTATTATTATTTTTGGAAATGTTCACGTACCCAACTAATTTAGTTACATGTAATACCAATGTCACACTCCTGAGATATTCAGTTAGTATGCACACACTTTCATTTAAGTAACCTGGGTTGTTTCATTTATCCTGCATGTTAGAGCAAGATGCATTGTGTAAATCTCTGTTAGTAACAATGACCGCTGAAGCCATAATGGATAGAGATGATGCACTCACTAATACTAGAATTTGAATCCTAGTGGAGTCATTTCTTTGTTCTCGTGTACTAAATTTAATCTTAGAGTTTGAAAGTGTAGTTTTAAAATGCTCTTATTTTAACCAGAATTAATTTCCTGGGCTGAAATTTGGACTTAATATCCCTTACATGAAATACTTCAACTTGCGACCAATCAACACACCTTGCAAATTCCTAGTTTTTGAGTAAAATCCATATATCTATTTCGTGATAACCTTGTGGAGACGTATTCACCTATAGAAATTGCTCTGCGGAGACGTATTCAATCTTTTGTTCCCTATTATGCACATGTCTCCACAGGGTACCGTGTACCAGATCACCTCTACAGGACTAGTTGTGTTTTAAATAATGAATGTGTGCTGTTTGTATGACAGGTTTGACTATGAAGATCTGTGTCGGTTTATCCTGACTGTAAGGAAGAATTACAGGAAGGTTCCTTATCATAATTGGACGCATGCATTCTCTGTGGCTCATAGCGTATACACTATCATCAAGACCTGCCAAGAGGATACATTTACTCCTGTTGAGGTAACTATAGCATCAACCACTTGAACACCATGGGAAGTATACATGTACTTGACTAGTCTTCACTATGAGTACGCATAATGGGTCCGCCCACGATGACATGGAAAAGAAAACAATTACTGTTGTGATCATCTGTTTGATGTTTTGGATATGCGATATTAAACACTTACAGGGCGCGAAAGCGAACGCGAATGCGAATTTGTGACGTCAGGGCAAGTTTTTGCACTGCAAATTCACAAAAGTTGAACACAATTCAACTCCGGCGAATTTCGCAGCAAATGGTTCGTGATGTCGAATTCGCATCGCATTCGCATGAAGCATGAACTGGTGTCATATGGAAATCTGACTCCTGTGAAAATCAGACTCCTTTTCCCTATTATTGGTTAATCCCTCGCATGTGACCAGTCACTGTCCTAATTATCATACTTACACATGCGCAATAGTACCAACGAGTCTATATTTCATGGAGTCAGATATTCACGCTACACCAGCCTTCATGTTATCAGAAACAACATGAATATTTCCTAGAGAGATATTATGGGATTCTTGTGATCATAATATCAATATGTGTGCCTGGAATAAAGAGCTTCCAAGTATTGATGTTTATGCTTGAAGAAATAAGGCTTTTTCTTGTTTAGCTAACCCTCCTATGGTTTGATCAGTCACGAATAGTCAAAAAGTTCTTCCAATTCCCTTGCCATGCATTTGTATAAAGACTTGTAAAAGAGAAAACAAACAGTCAGATCACATTTTTGTAAACACTGTGACTTGTCAAATTCCATCAACAGACAAAAGAGGTAACTGCTAGTATACGGTAGCTGGCATAATTAACAATCACTTCCAGTCAAAGCATGGCTATATCACATTAACAAGGGAACTCTTAACTGTTAAAAACAGTCATTTGATTAAAAAACTGAATTTGCCCACAAGAGAGGGAGGGTTAGCTTATTTGTGACATTAATTAATAGTTTGACATGCCAATTTGTTTGTTTTCCCTTCAGTGTCTGGCCCTGTTTGTTGCCTGTCTCTGCCATGACCTTGATCATAGAGGCAAGAACAATTCCTTCATGGTCAACAATGCTACACCATTAGCAGCTGTATATTCCACATCTACTATGGAGCATCATCACTTCAATATGACTATCACTATACTCCAGGTAGGTGCAGTTGCTTTCCATCAGATACTGTCGATTGATTGGTGATCTGCTGAAACCTTCAGCTCGGGCCATGAAAGTAATTTCCAGTGTCATACAATTGTTGACACAGATACATAGGATTGAAAAACCTGAAAAACCTGTAATCTGAAAACTTAAACAGTGTAAAACTTAAAGGGAATATACAACATTTGCTTTTGCTGTAATTTTCAGAATTGGAATGGACTTTTTTTTGGGGGGGGTAGTATTTTATAGCAAATATTGTTACTCTGACTTGTTAGAGTTGTGGGGCGCTGTGGTCCAATGGTTACAGTGTTTGACTCGTGTGCCGTGGTACACGGGTTCGAATCCTGACAGTGGGAACATGGTGCTTGTGCTCTTGAGCAAGGCACTTTACCATTATTGCTTCGTCCTTCGGATGGGACGTAAAGCCGTAGGTCCTGTGTGTTGTGTAATGCACGTTAAAGAACCCAGTAACACTTGTCGCTAAGAGGAGGGGTTTGCCCCGGTGTTTCTGGCAGTGGCAGCAATTATGCGCCGCAGCACCTAGCAAAAAGGTGCTTCATAATGGGTCTCATATGTTCATATACTTCATATACCTGGCTTTGGTTGCATTCTCCCCCAGCGCTTTGTATCCTCTGGCAAAAAGCGCTATATAAATACAGTTATTATTATTATTATTATTGTTAGAAGTTTTGTGTTTGTAGATGCTGGAAAAACCAAGAAAAACAATCATGTTCTTAAAGTCTGGTTTTTTGACCCCACTTAAGATGAAACAGAGCAATTTATAGATGTCAGGGAATTGTAAGGTCAGGGAACCAGTCCAGCTGGCTTGTACCCGTTCATAGGTGTGTAATTGATTGCAAACAAAATTAGGACTCACTAAATATGGTAAATGGGGGCAGTATTTGAAAAAAAAAGACATATTTCCCCAACACTAGGACAGCGAGCGTTGGAAATTGATACAAAAACGTCTCTTTTCTTGACAATGTCAGCACACCAAGTGCTATGATTTTACAGGATGCTTTAGACTGTCATTTATTAACAGTCCAGTATGGTATTTCATAATAATTAGGTACTTTCTTTTTTGATGTTTGCAAATGTTGTATATTCCCTTTAATCAATGAATCTGGTAAGCATTGAATTGTAACTTGCATCTTCTTGATTGAATAGAATGAAGGACACAACATCTTCAAGCACCTAACATCAGATGAGTACAAACAGGTACTGAGTGACATACGACACGCCATCCTAGCCACTGACTTGGCCTTGTTCTTTGGCAACAAGGCTAAACTGAAGGTCATAGTGGAGGCTGGACAGTTCTCATGGACCAATCCGGAACACAGGTGGGATAGGTTGCAGTCTGCAGACGAGGTGCATGTGTCAAAGACAAATTTATACATGGCAAAACCATGAAGAATAGACGCAGCACATGATAATGGTAGTGTGTGACTAGGCTCAAATGGAAGCTGTTTGGGTTCATGAGATGCATGTGAATATTTTGACAGGAATGTATGAATTTGCAAGATTGTGAGAGTGTATGTCCAACCAATAAGTCTACATTTTCAGGCGTGAAGTCAGCTTGTAAGTTTTTGCAGTTGTTCATCATTCTAATTGAGACACATTGTTGTGACAGAAAGCCATAGAGTTATGAAGTGGTGTGCATTTTCGGGTAGTATGGGAACTGAGTACCTGGTTAAAGACAAACACTGGTACCCAGGTACCCGTTAAAGAAACCCAAACACTGGTACCCAGGTACCCGTTAAAGAAACCCAAACACTGGTACCCAGGTACCCATTAAAGAAACCCAACCTCCAAATTCAAACCCCGAGTTGTCTGAAGGGTTTGATAGCTTTAGGGCGTAAACTGCAACTTTTGCCAGTGTCATCTTTCGCACGTTAAAATGCACATGAACTTAAAATCTGTTTTGGTTTTCAATGCAGCCTGGTTTTCATTATGAAAATTCCCCACCAATGGCATTCAAAACCTTTCTTTTTTATTGTCTGAGAAGTTGCTAAGTAATGTTAAGTTACGGGCACCGTATCCTATGATCTGGAACTGGTTCCTGATAGCAGTGGTCGGGTACCCGGGTCTGATGCACACCCCTAGAATTATGTCGTGTATGTGTATGTGTGACAACTTTGACTCAAGTGAATAAGGGAAGAATAGTGGTTGTTAAAGTTGATGTTTTATAATGAGTGAAATAATCCTAGTGGTGGGAGAGGAGTGAATGTAAATAATGCACATGGAATGGAAACCCACAAACTCTATTAACCAAAAACAAGTGACCTCTTCCCATATGTAAGGCACACAGCAACGATACTGAATCAGTGTCATCTGCTTTTTCCTCAGTCTACAAACTTCAATTAGACGATGTATACCATTAAATGGTATTTGAATAGCATTACACTCAGAATGATTCCTTCTGGAAAGATTTATCTTTCTCTTTGAACTTTGAAGTACCCCTCCCCCTAGTGGCTCACAAAGCACCAAAAAGCCTCAAATGACACATTTCATTGAAATGGTTATAGGTCACATGATATTTTGCCCAGACGGTATGAAGCAATGGTAGCACACATAGATTACAGTGCAGCACAATGTTGTGGATTTGAATAGTAGCATTAGGATGAATATACCGGTATATTATCACTTTTATGCTGCATTTGTTTTCTTACTAATTCCTATCCTGTTTGTATTCAAGCGCTTTGATTAACCGAACTAACCAACTAACTGCAATTTTAATTTGCTTTGCTCCCTGACATTTGTTTGCTACTCTTTCTCCTTTTCCCTGTGTAATTTCTCACCGTTGGTCTGTTTGATTGATCTCAATGTGTTGATGTTTGTGGCATCTTGTGTCCGTGGCAACCTGTTCTCGTGACAACATTATAGATCATATGTGAGAGCACTGACAATGACTGCATGTGATTTGGCGGCCAACACAAAGCCCTGGTTGATACAACAACAAACCGTTAAGGTTATCTTTGACGAGTTTTATCAACAGGTATGCATGATGTCTATTTAGATTTCAGCCATTTAATAGTTTCTTTTGGGAAATGCTGCACCATTCTATTCTGTAATGCACACTGCACCGTTCCTATTTCTTAAAAGTTATCTTAAGAGTCTCAACTTGAGGCAGAAACTTACCATTACTTTTTTTAATTAGCTTTATTCATGCATGGTTTTACACACATTTGAAGGTGATTTGAATTCACATTCTTGCAAATCTTTGTCAATCTGCACACATGTATACATCCAAACAATCTGTCAGTTCCAGCATTCATCCCACCAGAGTAGACATCTGTGCAGTATTGCCAACTCCTATACAACACATATAAATGGTCTTGGCATGAGTTGTCTACTTTTGTAGTCATGTAGAGAAAGGAGTCCAATCAGTTTATTTTTGAATTTCCCCCTTTTTTTTTTTTTTAAATCAATTACTCTTTTATATTTTTAATTTCAAACATTGGTGGGTTTTTTTCTCATTTGCAGTTTATGTTAGTTATTTTAAGCTGTTATCTTTTTTTATTCGGGAAAGGGTTTCAAGATGGACCGTTTAGTCTTTTCCACAAACCCTTGACATTGTCAGAAATTTATAATAATAATAATAGCCCATGATATGACAAAAAAACATACTTTTACTGTGCGATACACATTTAAATTGATACAGACATGACATATAGACAACTATAGTCCAACTTTGTTGAATTCCCACTCTATAAAAATCACCTCACTGTCAATGTGGCATTTGTCAAGCGTAATGACTGCATAATATGGATGTCATTGCTGAATGCTATATCTAATAAAGTGTGATGTAGACTCCGTGCGCAAGCACCCACACATTCAGTTACTGAGAGAGTTAGGAGAGACCTGATTGCATTGCCTCCATATGCCTCGGTCTCGAACAAACATGATATGGGTTGGTGTACATTCAGAGTCAAATGAATCCTGCACTGAGCCAGTGCATGGAAGCAATATGTCCCTCCCATGGAGCTTTCATGAAGCGCCATCTACTGTCCGTGTGCCGAGTCCATACTGCAGAAATTCTGGAATTCCTTAGTGCATCTTGAAAAGTAGATGAAGAAGTTGCAGGAATATGCAGCTAAAGTCAGCCAAGATGTTGTCCTTAATCCTAACTCCCTAGCATAATTTACAAGGAACCATACCCATCCTGGCAAATTCCAACACCATATGGGAAACTGCACACACACATTTCTGACTTTGATTCTGGAGGTGTGCCAACCTAATGTAAAAGACTGTCAGTTTAGGGGTACTGTACCCATCCTGACAGATTCCAACAAAACATGCTGTTGGGGTTTGATGGGTTGAGTTCTGTTAGGGTTACATGGATAGGTTTGATGATTTCTTGATAAGAACAACTTATATCAGACTGATGGGGGATTTTGTCTCTGTTTAGATCTTTGTTTAGGTTGAGGCAGCCCAGGCCATAGCCTCTCACAATGCTGTATCATATGCCATTCCTACCTTTGATTTCTATGAATAATATGCACTTTCATCTCAAAATACATACAATTTTGATAAGGATACTAGGTATTAAACAATGAGAAATTCCTCAAGTGCTCAAATCAGTCAACATACTGATCAAGATTCAGAATGATGCTAATTCAAACCACTGTACTTAAAAGAAAACTATTTCAGATGTTAATGGCTCTGTCAAGTAACTGTAGGAAGGGCTAAATTGACGCACTGGTTCTTCTAGAGAGCCTTGTGCTTTTGTTTTCAAGGGAACTAATTCTTTAAGAGACCTGACATAATGAGGCCATGCTTTGTTCACATGTGCGCCTTCCTCTGGGCATGATGGGAGCCAGGTGGCCAGGACGAGATTGCAAGCTCCCATATGAAAGCGCACGTGTAAGCATGACGTCATTATGTCTTAGGTCTATTGAGTAGTGTACTTAAAGCTATAGTCCATCATTTGCAGCAAACCAAAAAGTTACTGATGTAATTATTGTGGAAAAACACACTTGGTTGGAAGATAGTAAGGGAACTTAACTCCCTGTGAAATTATTCTTTCTGGCATGCTGTCATTTTGAAGAAATCAACGAAAAAAGGCCTTTCCAACACACGCGCGCGCGGTTGCTATAATTTGTCGGATCAGTGCGCGACATCGCGTAGCTGCAATCGGCTCAGTGGGAACGTGTCTCGGACGCTGAATTCAGCCCCAATTCTAAACATGATTCAACAACTTTTGATTTGAAATCGAGAACCTAGAATGTTGTTTTTCTCAAACAAGGGCGGATCCAGGGGGGGGGGCCAGAGGGGGCCATGCCCCCCCCCCCAAAAAAAAACGAAACCAATTTTTTTTTTTTTTTTGTGACATCGCAATAAAGGCAGGCAATGAGTACACCACCATCTTTTCCTCAAAAAAACATTGGTTAAAGTGGTCAGAAATTGCCTCAGATCGCACCACAGAGCATCTAGAATCCAGTAATTTTTTTGACCCACTTTTTGGGGGGACCAAAAATTTTTTTGGCCCCCAAAAATTATGTTCTGGATCCGCCCTTGTTCTCAAAATGTACAGCTGAAGCTGAGCTGAAACTTCATCAGGTTAGTTGTTCAGCATCCTTCTTTAGATTGTGAAAACTTTTGTTGCTTCAAACGAACAAAATGCACAAATGACAAATGATGGACTATACCTTTAATAGGTGATAAATATGACTAATAGGCGATATACATAGCATAAACTATTGGATGTTTATCATCAATAGCTTATATATGTATATTTTAAACTTAGTAAGAATGGGTTGATGGTTGATAATGATCAGCATGATCCCTCAGTAAATCAAGTTTCCAGTTTTCCCAATCAAAATGACTTATTTGACCCCAGCTCATTTTGATAACTCCTTGTTTTGTGAAATGAGACAATGGTGTCACTTTCTGATGTAGCACTCTTGATGTTTGAAACCAGCGTGAAGCATTTCAAGACAATATGTTGCTCTTCTGCCTCTGACAATCTGAATCTCAGCCAGTTAATTGCTTCAGCTAGTTGTGTGGCTTGAATGTGACTATATGCGTGATTCCTCTTTTACTACATTGATTTGTTCTATAAAGAATCAATGTACGAATCTGTCGATTGGCTTTGTGCTTTTCATGCACTTTTCAGTCAGTGCCTGTTTTCTTTATGATGATGAAGGCTTAAACAAGATTTTTTTAATAATCAATCATTGAAAAATGAACTTTTTTGGTGGAAACCAGTTCTCACATGCACCCGCAGAAAGACAATTTTAAGACAAATCTATCCCACTTCCATTTGGATACCCAACTGTAAAAACAAATATATATAAAAGTCCTACTGATTGTACACATGAAATTCTCTGTTTTATTTTGGTGTTGTGACAATACCTATTACTTGCACACTTGCTGAATAGTCAGCTGAAACATGATACAATTGTTGGCTGCTGTGATGGGGAATATGGCATTTTTAACACCTGAGGTGCACTTACAAAATGTAGCAACCGAGCCAAAAGCAGAGGGTGCTATGGGCCCCGAGGGAGTTGAAAATGATGTATTCCACATCACAACAGTCAACAATTGATTTGTTATATCGTGCCAATAAGTCAAAGATGAAAATTTAAACTCACTGTTCAAGACATAAATGAAATCGCTGAAGTGTAACCTTTGATTACTGTGAGCTTTCCTTCCAGACATGCATGAGATCCAGTTGCAAGGCGCACGGCTCTACACACACACACACGTGTAAATGCCGGCAATCGTGGACGCCCCATTGTCCCTAATCCTCTTTCCTTTGTTTGAACTCGTGGACGTTTGGTCAATCCTGGACGTATTGTTTGCGCCCTAATTCTTTTGTCCAACGTCCACGATTGCCGGTTTTTACATACTCACACACACACACCCTTTCATGATCATGTGTGCGCAATATACATGTATGCAACGTGGCGTATATTAAAGCTTTATATGCAACGCAGTGTATATAAGATACTTTATATGCAATGCAGTGTATATGAAATACGTTATATGCATACAACGCCGTGTATAATTCCAAAGTGAACGTGGACACGTGACTGCTCTAGACCAATGAAGTTACAGCATCCAAGACACGATATAACAATGTGATTTAGTCCATGGTAGTTTGTACACCTGAAGGGTGCCATTTGCCCCAAGGTTGTACAAAACCCTTGGGCTATATCACTACGGACACCAATGGTTTAGCTTTACCATGGTATCATATTTTGGTTGGTGTTTTTGAGTCTTTGATAATTCACTTTAAAAAAAGATAATTAAAAAAAAAACTCTTTTTTTTTCAGCAAAGACAGAATTGGGTTTTGTGTGGACAATTTGTGAAGCGAAATGCTTCCTTTGTTGATATGTCAGCTGTGGTGACATGGCCTGTGTTGATACGCACGTGTTATATGTAATAGCTGTGGTGTCAAAGCAGTAGGGATGAAAGAAATTAAAAGGTCTTTGAAAACAAGCAAGCATGTTCCTGAAGTACATGATCATGTACTTCAGATACATGAGGGGATGTACCCGTGGAGTCCATTATGTTGTAATACATGAACTTCTGAAATATGTCACATGAATAGTACACAACCAATGACATTTCACCATGATATAGCAATGACATTGGTAGTATGGTTACATTACCTCCTCCTATGAGGGTTTGCAAGAAAATACTCTGAACCTTTTGTTATTGATTTTTTCCTTTTTTTGTTGCTGCTTGCAAGTGAATGATTAGTGTTCACATGGAGTTACCCACAGATTGAGTGGCAATCTCTTTTTCTGCACCTATTAACACTGGTCTTGTTCATTATGCACATCAAGTGAATGAAAACAAAGCACTATCAATAATGTGTTAGTTGTCAATATCCTTGCATCCAGATTCTTTGACTATTACATATGCATCGGTGTTGTACTCATCAGGTCGATAGTCATGACTTTGTACAAAAGCTACCTGGAGTGCAAGTTGAATATGTTGACATCATATATCAGATTTTCTGTAAAAAAATTGTTATCACAATTTGGGCAATTCACAATGCAGTGTGCCACCAATAGTTTGCAACATGGAGTTAATTTTCCCCAGTGCATTGTGGGAGATGGTCGACAAATTTGCAGTGCGGAACATTTGAATGTGTTAGTTTTTCCGGTCAGTAATTTCATAAGCGTATGATTCAAGTATATGTTTGCCCTTTTCTTTTGTTTTTTATCAATATGCAGAACGCTATGCCCCAATCTATAACAAATTAGATCAGTTTGTCTACTGACACTCGTTAAAATGGGCCAAGGCTTGCCGACCGTAAATTGAAAAATGAGCTCCCCATGGCAAACTCTTAGTGGTGCACTTCATTGTAAATTACCTGAATCGGAAAATTTCCATTGACTAATTAGTTTCAACGTCTTGAACTTGTAGCTCCAATCGTGTTGTCTCTTGTACAATTCTTTACCTCCAAAACAAGCACATAATTTGTTTAACAACTCCAGAAAGCTGTTGAAGGCAATTGCTATGACGGCCTGTGACCTGTGTGCAGTATGTAAACCATTTGAAATTCAGCGGCAGGTGGCCAATGAGTGCTTCGAGGAATTTTATAGCCAGGTAGAGATGATGCAGTGCCATTCTCAATGTCTTTGCCAAGTAATATTGGACTGTGACTGAGTAACTAACTCACATTTCAGATTGACCAAACATATTCTGCTTTATAGACATGTATATCAATTGTAATACCCTTGTAGTAATAGATAACGATTGTAGTCACACTGACTCCATGCAGAGACTGTAGATGTTGTTGTGTCAACAACTCAAGGGAAACATCACATGCAGAGTTTGAAACCCTCAGCATCTTTACCCGTGTGACACTCAAGTCATTCAATTGGACGGATTTACAATACAGTACCCCACCAATAAGCCATTTGTTACTACATATATGTTACTGCAGGAACTGTACACTGTACATCCTACTGTATGTACTAACATGTAGGATGTGCGGTTGAAAAGTGGCCTAAGGCAAACTGTTGATGGCATGGTATTGTGAATCGTTCCTATTCATCTAATGTTTGGTATTTTCATGAAGGATGGTCATGCATGGAGTCAATTAACATTGAAAGTTTTATAGGTCCAACTAACAGATCACTCTAAATATCAAAATTGTTGTTCACTTTGAAATTATACTATTCCTTATGCATATTCATTACAGTTTTAATTCCTCAAAATGATATGCAGCCTTCGAACCACATAAAGAATTTTCATGACATCAAAATAACTACATCTTCATTATATCAAATTCAGTAGCAGCCCAGGATGCGTGTATGCATTTACAAATATAGTGCCTAGGTAGTGGCTAAATGCAACTCACAATGTGCCATTATACAAATATAGCATGGTTTGAGGGTGGACAGTCGATATTCGCTCCCCGAGGTATTGGAAGTCGACAAACTCGCTGAGGGAACTAGTTTGTCAACTTCCAATACCGGGTGGAGCTAATATCGACTGTACGTCCACCCGAAAAACCATGTTATGTTTGTTTTACTATACCTCATACATATTCGTTTGCCGAATTGTCCCGTTGCAGTATGCACTTTGCGGGCATAAAATCTTTGGAGAAACTTGTCCAGCTCACCAGGAGAATATTATTGCTCAACCTCAAAAACGTTCAGTTCGTTTGCAATACAGTAACTAAAGTTGTAAATACAGTTGTTTGTGGACTTCTTTTTAGTACAGGAGGCATCTTTATTGTCCACAACATTCTCCAGTTCGGCATCATTGAGCTCGAGAAAACGCTAATTAACTTTAACGTGTGCAACCATCTTTTCATGTGTACCTAGGGCGATGTTCGCGCATGCGTACTACACCCGTGCAACAGTTCCACGCTTGCCTCATAAAGCGCATGCCTAGTAGACTATCGCACGGGTAACCCGTGCAACAGTCTACTACGCATGCATATTTACCTTGTGCGTGAATACTCGAGCGCCCTTGGTAAACAGCAATAATAGCATCTGGCACGTGATGGTTAATGGGCCAGTGAGAATTTGGCTTTCGATCATGAATATGTATGAGGTATAGTAACAAAATATGAGGTACTAGCTAGCTACCTACACGTAGCTGCTTTGTGGGTGCACACGGCATAGGTGGGATCAAAGATGGGAGACAGTGCACAAAACAATATATTCAATACTCACTGAAAAGTGGCAACTGCCAACTTTCTTACTCAAATAAAGCTGTTACACTGTAGTCTTTATGTGATGTCACTGTTTTTACTTGTAAATATAGTAATCAACATCAGCATTAAAACTATACACCTAATTTACCCTTGACAAGACTAAGACTGAAATCAATGCAATTGAGACACATATGTGGGTCATTCTATAAATGAAGGGCCCAGAGTGTGACATTTTCCCGTCCCTGTCACCTCTGAACTTTGTAATTTGCCATTCAAGTATCATTAAAAAAATGACTTCAAGTATTTGTTGGATAGGTACGCTTCATATAATCACTGTCTAACTTAGAAACCATGAAGGAGTGCATCCATACATGTGAGATGTAACAGGGACAGGACAAAATGTGGACCCTAAATGTATAGAATAACCTAGGTACATGTACATCTCCTGAATTCTTCTGTTGTAACTAGTACCAGTCATACATTCCCTGTCATAACTAGATACTGTCCTCAGTGCTACCACAATTCAATTATATGACAATGCCATCATCAATGGCCTGTGACTGCATGTTCTGCAAACCTTCTCATACATTCAGAAAATTAAAACAATCAGACTCAAAACAATTTGCAGACTGTTCAGTTTACCAAAAGGAATATGGAAAGTGACTGATTTTGCAGCAAGCATATAAAGCATGGAACTGAATATGGGCCTTGTGCTTCAAAATGCTTGCAGTATGCATTTTGCTGATAGTTGAATCATAGGGCAATTTCCACTGGGCAGATGCAATCCTTTTACAATAACATTGGAGAACAATGTTTCATGTATGTTACATTTTGTACACAATTTCTTGTGACTATGTTTGCCGATTCCTGTGTGACTTCACTTTTGGACTGACATGTTACTGACTGTATACCATCAAGGCTTTTTCATGGTTAGATAACTGCCTAGCCCTTATGAGTAGTTCTTGCATACAGTCAGTTGGTAAAAACAAGTTCACTTCACATTTTGTCCTTCACTTTGGATAGTGCGTCCCGTGTCCCATGCTACACAGCATCCGGTATTGTGGCATATGGGACACAGACGCTTTACATTATTCTGTGTTCCACTCACGTTTATGGGATAACTAATAATAACTTTTCAGAAAAACTTTCTTTTCATAACTGTAATATTGACACATCAACAGCATTGAAAATCCATAATTTGAATCTTTGCATGCAGTAATAACACTTCTTTAACATAATTTCAAAGTTCAACCTTAGTTTGTTGCAATTTTGCAATAAACAAGGAAGATTAAGATTTGCTTTTTTGTAGTGCAAAAGCTAATGACTACCATCGGACATGTTTGTAGTTTATATCAAAGATGGGCATTATATCAAAGATAGGCATTCTTTTTTATTGTTGGAATAATGATATTTTAATTACCATGAAACATTGATGTAAATTATATTTTACCTATCGCTGGATTACAGATTATTATGAAAATTCAGCAGTGGCTTTATCGATATGATAAAGATTCCTTCAACAATATCAAGTTAATTTTTACATAAGCCAAGATCATTTGCACAAGGAAGTATTCCATCATGAAATTGGTGCAAGTACTGGATGGAAATGTAGATACATATGGAATTGCATCATTTAGTTGGAACCCTTTTTTTCAAGGACTCTAGTTTAGTCAGAAAAAATTTGATGATAAATTAACTTAAGACAAGGTGCTAAAAGGACATTTTGGCAATAAAACAACTCATTTATTTAATTTGTGAACAAGTCTTAATATTTCTTGTTTGGACTAAAAAGCAACATTTACAATGCTCTAGATTCTTATGATTTGTTTATCCTGAAATAGTCTTGTATCAAGAACAGATTTGTGCTGAGATTTTGTTCACATTTGTTTCTGTCATAAGGGTGATGAAGAAAAAGCACAGGGCAGGAATCCGATTCCCATGATGGACCGTTCCAAGTCACATGAACTGCCAACCAATCAGGTAAGATGTGACTGCCTCCTTCATGATGAGCATTGGTAACACACAACTGGCATCCAGATTAACTGGAAGCGGACAAAATCAAAATGATGGATTATACTATAATATGATCCGAAGTGACCAGCATTTAAACCAGAAATGGAACTACTCTTTCTTTGAAAAGTTACATTCTTGGTTTAATTCTACTTATAGGTCTTTTCACACTACAAAAAATCTCCGTGTTGTACACGGGTCCGACACGTTTAAAATGGACTAACCTTTTCACACTACAACATTTGAACACAGCACTGACCCGTGTAGAGCGCTCGACCCATGTCGTAACTTACCCTACTCGGGAGGTGGGTTGAGAATTCTCGATCAGTGTCGAGAAGTCCAACACGTGTTGAAAGCCGTAGTGTGAACACTTCTGAGTTACGTTCGACCCGTGTACAACCGCATATCGACTCATCGGACGCGGACTGGCCAGAGTACGAGAGTGCATGCATGCAGCATCACACTGTAGTTGTTACTTTTTAGCATGCAACGAGCATACAAATAACCTTTGACCTGCTGCCCTGTCGCGCCACCACCGGTGTGATATGAAATCGGACTCGTATGCAAATCTGACTCCTTTTCTGTTTTATTGGTTAAACCCTTTCACTTGACCAGTCCCTCTCCAAATTATCTATGCATGATCATGCGCAATACCTTAATAAGTCCGTATTTCATAACACCTAAATTCACGCTACACCTGCCGACCACGCTTGCTTTTTCGTAAGCACTAGAAAGTAGAAGCGGCCGACCATGCTTGGTTTTTCGTGCGTAACTTCTTCGCATATACTTTCGATGGTGCTAGAAGTTCAAGTCACAGAATATTTTATTCTCCAATGTAAAATGGGCCCGAAATCAAAAAAAAAAGACTGACATGAAATGCGGGTCCGTTGTTGGGCTGACCGTCCATGGAGCTTCAAAACACATGTAGGGCGGATGGCCTTGTGTGTAGTGTGAAACGATCACACGATACACGGGTCAAAACATTACACGTGTAGCAAAAACGCTGGGTTTGCGATGAGTAGTGTGAAAACGTAGCGAAATTGAACCGTGTTGAAATTTGGAGAAGTCGACATGGGTTGGAACCGTGTAGATTTCGACACAGGTCGAACGTTCATAGTGTGAAAAGGCCTTATGACTGAAAAGTTTACAAGGTTGAGCTTTGGTTCATAAATGTTCGAATCATTATCATTATAAAAAATAACTGAGTATGAAGGCAGTATTCATTAGTTATCTTACATTCAGTCCATTTGTTTTGGAGGTTATATCCAAATATTGTAATTATTATTATTCTTGAAGAAATACATTCCCAGCATGCAGGCTTTAATCAGTGACTTACAGTGAGATGTGCCTTGATGTAATAAGTGCAGTTTTATGGAAGTTTACATTTGTAGTTATTTGTGTATCTCATTAGAACTCCTGAAGCAAGCAGTTTACCTTAATGACTTGACTAACAGCACTTTTTGTAAACCTTTGATTGGCAGGTGTCATTTATTGTGGGTATCTGCCTGCCCTGCTATGATCTCCTTGGCCAGCTTGTTCCCAGTGCTAAGCCGATGTATGATGGAGCAGCGTAAGTCATTTGCGTTCTGGCTTTCAGAGTCAAGTTTGATACGGAGTGATTTGAGGGTCAGAACTGGTTTCAAGATATGATTTATTAATGTTGAGTGACGAGTGGTGAGGAATCCTATTGAGGTTTGCCTTAAAAATGTATTCCTGTGAATTTTTGAGAATCTATTTTTGTGATAACTTGCATAAGGGACAGTTGGACAAAAATATTGTGTGAAAAGCACAAAATGATTCCTAAATAGGTAATCGTTAACTCTTTCACATACACATTCAAATTATAGGTTGACCAGTCACTGCAGTCAGAAAAGCTTCTGAACAGTAGAAATCATGTGATAACTTGGGAAATATTGTGTTTCCAGTCTTCAGTTTTGAGTTGAGTTTTAGTTATAATTGTCAAAAAAACACAAAGGGAATTGACTGGGTGAATTATAAAAAAATTTGAAAAATTCAACAAAGAAATTGACTGAGCGGGCTTTGAACCTGCGACCTCTGGATTGCCGTTCCGGTGCTCTGCCAAATGAGCTATCCAGCCCTATGTTGGCGGTTCCCCAGTATGCACTGCAGTGCACATACGGGTTTATGTCTTCTGACTAGCACCCCTTGAACAACGATATTGACAAATTGGGGAACCACCAACATAGGGCTGGTTAGCTCAGTTGGTTGAGCACCAGCACGGTAATCCGGAGGTTGCAGGTTCAAACCCCACACCAGTCAATTTTTGTTGTTCAACTTTTCAAAAATTTATTATAATTGGATAGATTAAGTTTTTCATTTTCACCTGTTCTACACAAAATGCATGACAAATTAGTATTGCGGAAGTCATGGGGTTTGACACAGGTACAGATTTCAGTTATGGTGTTAACACAAGTAATGACTTGGCAATGTTTTCTTCTTTTTCTAGGAGGAATTTACAGAACTGGTCAGCCATCGTTGCCAAGCAGAAAGCTGAAGAGGAAGAAAACCTGAAGCAGGAAGAGCTTGCAAAGCAGGAGGACCAACGTGAAGATGGAGATAACGCACAAGAAGGTCCATCTGCCTCAACAACAGAGAACAAAGATACAAGCAAGACCGCAGCTACAGCTAAGAGTCAAACAGCAAATACAGAGCAGTCTAAACAAGCTGACAAAAGCAAAGACAATCAAGGTAGGAGACGCACAGCAAGTGATGCAAATCAGAGATCTACAGGACATGGTGGGAAGGAGGTAGCAATCACAGCAACAAAGACAAATCCTGACACACATGAACAGACTAAGGTGCCAAATCAAGAGTCTAATACAACAGGCATTCAATCAAGCAATGATTCCAAGACATCTATCAATGGTGATCATCAGGTTGAGCAATAACATGTATCACTGACTTTAACCAACCCAACTCCATCCAAATCCAATCCCCCCCCCCCCCCCCCCCATTTTGGTGTATTTTGAGGGACTTGGTCCAGGAGGCCTGGCGTGACTAAATTTTGATGGAGTATGATGGACTTGGGCCTAATGGCCTGAAGCAGCGTGCTAGGGGTATTCGATTGATTTTGCCTAGCTTCCTGTACTGATATTGTGATAAAAGCCATGTGTAGCAAGTCCATGAATGTCAACCAGTGCGTCAGTGGTGGATTCCATTATGTCATGTACAGTTTTGCATTGGAAGCACAGTGATTGATGGATTTTGATGGACTTGGTCCAGTTCCTAGTAAAAGACGGTGTAGGGGGTTAGTGGTAATCCAGGGGTTTTTGAAAGATTCTTGTGTTTTTTTTATTAAGGGAGGGTACAATCATGCAGATCATTCTGTGTACCTCCTTAAAATCAGATAAGAATGTACAGGAATACACGTTGCTGAAGCTGTTTATAAGAACTGTCAGTGGTTAGAACGACTGATTGTTTTTTAAGTATTCAACATATTTACTATGGAGGACATCTTAACTAGAGTACTTAGCATTTGTCACATTTTTTTAAAAGAAGATGTTAGTTAGAATGAGGCACTTCAGTTCTTCCCAAAAATGGTTAGATTTAACAAAAGTACTGGTAAAAATAAGGTATTATTTATTTAGATACACTTTTTACTATTGTCATAAATTGTTCTAACTTGTGAGAAAGTATCCATATCTCAATACATGAAGATGGCTAATAACAGGTGTAGGTATACTTTCCATTGCATTATTGTTGAGGAACTACGGTAAAATCAACCATTTGGGATTGCTGAACTTTCATACCACACTACTTATCAATCATGTAGTGGAGGTGAGAACGTAGGAAGTGACCATCAAGTGCTCATCAGAATTGGTCTCCAGATCTGATGAAGACTCTCCACCGGTAGTCTTCATCCTCGTCGTTGTTCTCCTCATCATTGGCAGCGTAAGGGAAGAAGTCAGTATAACGGCCTCCTCGTCACCAGGGCCGGGACTGGGCCATGTCATGTTTGATGACTGGTCTGGCTTATACTCGACCCTCCAGCTCCCCTCTCAAAGAACACTGCAATCTCCCACATACTCTCTTTGTATCATACAGCCCTTCATCATGCTTCATTATCAAGCTGTTGATATTAGGCCAAAAAAAGTCTCCAGTTTCTGGCATGGAGCTTGCCCCAAAAGTGGTACGGCGACACGGGGTTTTTTTTCCCCTCCTTTTTTTTCTTCACATGTTGGCTGATGTTGCAGATGACACTTCGATCCCCACTTAAAACTCTCAAAAATATCCTTCAGAGTGGACTTGAAGTGACCTCAGTAAGGCCATAAGGCTTGAGAATTCTGCACCCACTTACGATCTCAACCGACACGACCATTCTTCGGGAAATTTGGATAGTCAAGACAAAAATCAGAGAAACGGTAGTAACGTTATAACTTAGACCATACAACGAAATCGACATCATGCATGAGCTGCCAGGCTGGTCATTAGTCTGCTCCCTTACATATTGCGCCAATTAAAAATCGTTCGCTCCCTCAGTCTGGCTTCCAGACGCACAATTACAAAATTACAACACCGCCTGCAAATGGTGCCTGACTAAATTTAGTGCACAATATATGGGATCCCAGAGAGGCCACATAAAGCTTATACTCGGTCGTAACCCCATCTAAAATCACGTTAAAATTGTGCAGCAGCAGGATTCCAATCAAACCAGTGAGTTTGGTGGTTTTGAGACATCATCTTATACTGATAAAAAAACTTTCTAATTTTGCCGATGTGCACGGTTACGGCGACGCGCTCGCAGACCAGAAACTGGAGCCTTTTTTTTTTGGCCTTAACCAACTCTCTTTTCTTCAAATTCTCCTACAAAATCTGCTCTTCTCGAAATTTAAGCCTTCTAATTGCTGGGCATGTACCATCGATGGTAGGTATGAACAGCAATAGTCTTGCAGCCCTTTTATAGTTTGAGCTGCCTTTTGCTATATTTTAAGTTAAACCGTTTGACATTATGTTATATTATGCAAATAGGAAACTTAAAATAACAATATGGAATAAACACATCAGTAATGCTGCATCCAAAGCTATTAACTCTCTAATATCTTCCTGTGGCAAAATCTCAGGAATTCGCAACTCACACTTCAAGCAACTGATGACTTATAAGTCTCTTGTAAGTCCACTAATGGAAACTAGCCTGAGTTCTGTTGTCTGGGACCCTTACACAAAAAAATCTCATCAGTTAAGAAAAAAAAATTATTAATTAAAAATTAGCAATTTTTTTTGGCACAGGGAATGTAACTAAAAGGATCTTAATGCAAAGAAGCCTAACATTTTTGAAGGAGAGAAATATCAGAGTGTGGCACAAAGAGCAATGACATTAAACTATTTGTTGATGTCCATTTAGTGAGTTTTTAACATGCTTTTTAAGTTAGCAATGAATGTGATAGCAACAATAATATAAGCTATTCAAACACACATTTATTTCCTCTTCATGACAGAAATGAAAAATAATATAAGTATTGAACAAGATATAAAGGCCACTAGAGGTGCCAAACCTTGAAAGCACAGCTTGTATTAGGCACGTCATTACACAAAAACGGACGAGTTAAGCTAAGACTTGTTTTAGTAGTAGTCTTGATTGACATTATTTTATTCAAAAACAGTTTCTCAATTATTTTGAAAATCTTACTGAAAACTCTTGGAATTTATCCTGTTTTCAAAGTGAGCATTAACTAAAAGATTCACTTGTCATAGGCCACCATGATTGTTCATTTACTTGATTAATCGATCAGTGTACCAATTACTGAATGAATATTTCAATTAAATTACTCCAAAAACACTTTGTAAAATTGAAGGCTTGTCAGAGGGTGCAAAAGAATGTGCAAAACATTCTAAACACCCCCCCCAAAAAAAAAAACTACCATACATGTATCTCAGAGACAAGATATGCATTTGAAATCATTTTTTCATCACTTATGTTTAAAGATCAATATTTTAATACTATTAAATTGAATTTCTGAAATATGCCCAACAAGTAGGTGAAAATTGCTGTGAAAAGTGGGTTTCCTTCTTTTTGCACCACCCTGTATGTAAAAGATATCGACCAGTTGCCTTACAGGTTACCTACATTATGCAGATAACATGAGTGAGATACAAGATATTGTGACAATAATCATTGGCTAGGGGGAAGTATACTGTACAGGGAATCAAAAAAATGTCGGAGGAGGTTGAGGGTATTGATCTTTGCCATTGCAAAGTGCTTTGACACATCATAATCAGTAAAATATTGATATTATAAAGGTGTGTTAAGGCACAGAGATACAGGACAATTGACCTATTCGCATTTGCAAGTTAGCCACGCCCTTAGACAACCCTATGGAATTGTGTACGTTAAGTTTTGTTTGTCTCAGTAATTGGACAATATTTCACAAGCTGCGTTGATGCGATTCTACAGCGGATAATTAAACCAGGAGATATCATTATTTTACTACCTGTAATACAGTAATAGTGCAATAATTTAAGTATTATCTAATAAATACCATATATGTATATTGCTACATAGTATTACATGTCATATCAGCCAATTATTAGTGGACATTTTTACATGTTCAATGTAAATGTGAATGTTCATAACAGTTAAATGTACACATCTATTTTAGTAGCTCACTAAGTTATTAAAATGAGGGTTAATTCCTCAAAAAATGTATATATATGTATAATACATTTAAATATATATGTGATGTGTAATAAACCAGCATTCTAATAGTTTTCATTTCAAATTTGGCCAGAGAAACATTTAAAAATGCATGTAAACACAAATTCAAATATTTTCATGGATATTTATATGCATGTATGTACCTTTTGCATTTTCCAAAAATTAAGATTTTAACATACAGTTATCTATAGGCTTATTTTTGTAAATGAATAAATTAAGAATGTTGATTTGCCTAACGGCATGTGAATTAGTGTCCAGCTGGCCGAGGATATGTCAAGTGACAAAAGTCTCTTGAATATTTCATTGTTTCTATAAGACTATTCAGAAAAGTGCAATTGATTGGAGCAAAGTATTCACTTGCATCTCAGGAATTCAGTCTGAAATGCAAATCTGATCTGGTCATGCATGCAACTCGAGCCATGTCTTAAAGGCAATACACAACAATTGCTTTTGCTGTAATTTTCAGAAATGGTTGGATTTGGGGGGTTAGAATTTTAGAGCGAATATTATTACCTGACTTGTTTGAAGTTATGTGTTCGTAGATGCTGAAACAAAACAAAAATACACTCACGTTCCTGTAGACTGGTTCCCTGACCCCACTGAAGAAGAAATGGAGCAATTTATAGACGTCAGGGAATTGTAAGGTCAGGGAACCAGTCTAGCTGGCTTGTACCCATTCGAAGGTGTGATCGCAAACAAAATGTGGACTAACTAAATATGGTAAATTGGGGGAAGTATTTGAAAAAATCAAGTTTTTTTTTCCTTGGACATTGATACAAAAATACCACTTTCCTTGGCAATGTCGGCACACCAGGTGCCATGATTTTAAAGGATGCTTAAGACTGTCATTCACTAACAGTCAAGTAAGGTATTTCATAATAATTTTGTAGTTTTTTTATCAAGTAAATAAACGATACCTTTTGGGAATTGAGTTACAGGTTTCTTATGTTTGCAAATGTTGTATATTCCCTTTAAATTCACTTCTGATTAAACTAACTCTCTTTTTATTTTACCTTTTTAAAGGTGTCCTGCTTTTTTTCATGGAGAATATCCTTTTATTTCATGGAAAAGTTTTGCCATTACTAAATTATAAACCTTTTATCAAGGAGTGCAAGCTTCAAGTACCGGTCTATTAAGTAATTACTTTTTTCCTTTTACTTTTCCAATTTCAAGGATTTTTTTTCATAAGTGATTTACTGAAAAGCTCACCAATTTTTTCAAACTCTCAAATGGCCAGCACTTATCTTTTTAAAATGGAAGCAAACATGTATACTTTGTAATAATCTTAACAGGTCATTGATTTTAGATTGTGTGGTGCCAAATTAGAATATTATGTGATGCTAGTTTAAGCTTCTGCTTCTACTCCATGCAATAGAACTTAGCAGGGGACTAAATTATTATGAATCAAATCTAAAGTTTTTAAAATCTGTAGTCCTTGTAGTACAGGCAATATAAGGTTTGACCTCAAACAAATTGCAACAGAATTTTTTTCACCACAGTGCATTTCTATAAGGTCCCTAAAATGACATACTAAAAGTCTTAAAAAATCGAGGTGGTGGAAATATGCCTAATTTGCATAAATCCAAAATGGCCGCATATGTTAGGACTTTCGCATTGATTTGGTCATATTTCTCATACTAGGTGGATTTTAGAGGTACTTTAAACAACAGTTTTAGTCCTTTTACATTGATTTACTCATTATTTAAGTCCTAGGTAAATTCCAAGATCCCTATGTTTCTGAAATTTTTCAAATGCCGTATAATTTGCATAAATGCCGTATATCAATTTGCCTAATTAAAGTTAAAATAATGGATGCCATGTGTGGAAATGTACCAATTGAGTGTTCCCTGATAATCCAAGTCAAATTTGACACCACAGTTCATTGCTATAAGGTCCCTAAAAAAGTTGTTAAAAATCCAAATGGTGGAAATATGCCTAATTTGCATAAATTCAAAAGGCCGCTAATTACATGATTTTCATATGATTTGGCGCGGCCATAATAGTATATAGGCCGTTATGTACTTTTGCTTTTTTTTTGTTTAAGAAGTAATTTTTACCATATTTGGAAAGAGTTTACCTCCCTAAGCCGGAAATGCATTGAAGACATTTTTTCCCAGCTACCGTGTGGCGGCCATCTTGGATTTCAAAATGGCCGCCATTTCGAGCCTAATTTGTATCATAACTTCGGACTTGATTGTCACATGAAGTTTATTTTGATGGCAAACCCCATGTTTTTGATACCAAGGAACCTGAGTACATTATTGTTTATGGTGTACTCCAAATGGATGGCAGCCATCTTGGATATTTCAAATATATGGCCGCCATTTTCGGCTTATTTGCATAATAAATTTGGACTCGAATGGCGTACGAAGTCAATTTCGGTGGCAAACCCCATACATTTGATACCAAGTAATCTTAATGACCCATTGCTGATGATCTATCCCAGATGGATGGCAGCCATCTTGGATTTTTTTTCAAAATAGCCGCCATCTTGGATCTTATTTATAATAACATTGCACCTGAATGTCCAATGAAGTCCATGTATTTGAATGAATTCAAGTAAATCACTGTGGACGGGGTACTTACAGTTGATGGCAGCCATCTTTGATATTTCATAATTGCCGCCATTCTGAACTATTTGCATAATAAATTTGGACTTCAATGTCGTATGAAGTCACTATTGGTGTCGGCAAAGCCCATAAATTTGATACCAAGGAATCCAATTAGCACATTTAGGCATCCCAAATGGATGGCAGCCATATTGGATATTCAAAAATAGCGGCCATCTTTGATTTCATTTAAATAATAAGGTGGCACCTGAATGTCGTATGAAGTCCATTTTGGTGGCAAACTGCATATGTTCTTGATACCAAGGAATCCAAGTTAATCATTGTTGATGGGGTACTCCACTGGGAGTATACCCCATCAACAATGATTTTCGTGGGTTCATTGGTATCAAAAACGTGGGGTTTGCCACCAAACTGAACTTCATATGACAATCAGGTCCGAAGTTATATACAAATTAGGCCCAAAATGGCGGCCATTTTGAATTCCAAGATGACCGCCACATGGTAGATAGAAAAAAAAATGTTACCAACGGATTTCCAGCTTAGGAAGGTAAAGTCTATCCAAATAATTATGAGAAAAATTCCTTCTTTAGCAAAGAAAAATGCAGTGGCCAAAAATATGACATAATATGCTATCTAGTAATAACTCTCGTCCTAAGTTGCTTTTCGGGGTACTTTAAACAACATTTTGTCATTTGACATTGGGGTCATTCAGTGTCAAATCACCCCCCAAAATTTTAAATTTGAAACCCCAACCTCTTCAAATTGGATCATATTTAGTTTCTGGGGTAATTTCGGCTGAAAAGCCGAAATTTTAAGTTTTAGCACCATCGGACAAACAGTTTTCGCGCTACCGCCCAGGCAATTTTGGTCAAAATGGACATTGTTGCCATTTTTAAATGACCATATTTCTATAATCTGTGAGCCAAATGTGTTAATCTTAATTTCTTTTGAAAGGTTACATCATGAGAAATCCAAATGTACCATTGTTTTTTTCATGTCGGGGTTATTTTAAGTAAAATGACATTTTGACCTTGAATTTGACCTTGAATTTGACCTAGTGGATCACCCGACATTGAGACAAACGCGGATGAAAATTAAACCCCAAGATGTTCGCTGCAAAATATCAAAAAATTGGGAAAGATATTTTTTGTTCGGTTTTTGGCTCATCTCAAAATTGGCATACGCGTTGCAAAATTTGATATCCCTATGCAGTGTACTAGTGGATTTAAAGGAGGCATTGTTTTGTCTCTGAAATTTGTTAAAATTATTCCTCCTATTTCTGAGTTAATTCATCAATCACTATTTTTTTTACGGCCGTAAAGTGTTATGTAACTTCGGAGGTGGGTGCTAGGTGAATTATGCAAATCGTAATTCCTTTTCCCTTTGTTGCATACCAATTCCGCCCACGTATTTTCGGATTGAGGTTTGCGGTTTTTTGGTTTATTTCTTTCTCGTATATATAATATGATTTTTGTGATTTGTAACTCCTGTGTTGAATCCTCTGTTCTCTTGAGTTATTCCTTGATTTTTGGTCCGAGTGGAGCGGCACAAGGATTCGCTCTGCGACACAGGGATATCACATTTTCCAACATTAATACCAACTTTGACAAGAGCTAGAAACGTTAACAAAAAAATTATACCCCATAGGAAACATAGGATCTCATAAGGTACCTCGGACTGGAATGATGATGAAATCAATGTCAAAGGACAAATTGTTGTTCAAAGTACTCCAAAAAGCAATGCAGGACAAGAGTTATGGCCCAATCAAAAATCATGTAATTAGTGGCCATTTTGAATTTATGCAAATTAGGCATATTTCCACCACTTGGATTTCTTTCCTTTTTTAAGGAACCTTATAGCAATGCACCATGGTGTGAAATTAATTTATGTACATGACTGGACTTGGATTATCAGGGAAAATTTTATTGTGACATGTCCACACATGACAGCCATAATTTTAACTTTAATCTATGCAAATTAATAAATGGCATTTATGCAAATTATTATCGGCATATCGCAAATTTGGGAAACATAGGGATATTGAAACTTACCAAGGTCTAGAATAATGAGTAAATTCGCCTGATGATCGCCACGCAGTGTGCGTGTGCGTGAAACCAATGGTAGCAGAATAGACTGAACCTATATGTTATATATAGATTCATATATGTATCATATTGCAGATAGTATATATATATATTACAGCATAAAAAAATGAATATAAATCATCTACAGATCTTTTCTGAAGTCAATGGGCATCTCAATAATAAATTAAGATCAACTCTCTGTGTTTAGTATTAAATATATTGTTGCAGCATCACTAAATATTCCATTATAAAGTAGCAAAAAAAGTGGTACTGGGTGTGGTTAAGAAACACATTAGAAAACTACTTTCCACCACTCGGATTTCTTAAGACTTTTAATATGTTATAGAGGAGATTTTTCTGAGTAATAACCTTTTTAAATGGTTTCTGTTGCAATTTGTTTGAGGTTACCCCTTAATTTTTCACATAATGCCTGTACTATTGAACAAGTATTATTACTTACATTTATCATGCATGTTGTAGTTGAATTGATCATGCATGCTGTAAATAATATAAGAAGTTGAAGTAAAGTATAAAAGTGTAAACAATGCCTCTGTATGTTTATTGCGTGTCATAGTGGTGTTTTGTTTTCAATAATTGGTCTAAAATACTTCATGTATATATGCCATGAAACTTTTGAAAATGTAAGCAGGCAAACCATATTCCTTCAAGCACAGCCAACAAACATTTATTTAAAGTATTGTTTTTAGTCCAGGGCCAACACTGAAGCTACTGCAACAAATTTAATCCTGGTACAGCGGATTTGGTGACACCACGGCATTCGCCCATTCTTGTTACGTATTTAACTCTGGGCAGTGGCGTAGCACGGTCATTTTTATTGGGGGGTAATTTTTTTTTTTAAAGGCACTTGCACATATCCGTGTTGAAATGTAGACACGTTTTGTCCCCGGACACTTGGTCTCCGTAAAATCAAATAGGGTTTGGGGGGGGGGGGGGGTGGTACCATCTGTCGATGGGGGCGCTGTTCAAAACCGACGATTATGCACACTAACTGACAATACTGGTGTTTCTAACAAAAAACGCACCCGCATTGGCCGATGGCACCAAAAAAGCCACCACATACTTTTAAAAAGGGCACTTGTTCAGAAAAAAAAGGCACTTGTTAAAAAAAATGGCACTCTTTACACGCCTATGCACACCTTAACTTGGATCATTAAAGGGAAGAAGTGTCACTTATTTCGTGACCGGATCTTGTACCCATGTGGTCAGCTCGGAATCAGTTTGATGATGATAAAATTCAACGGATTGAGGACAGGCCAGTGCCACGTTCTGCTGAGCAGTTGAGATCTTCAAAGGCTAGCAAGCTATATAGTCCTTCATTTGCAGCCATCCGAAAAAGTAACTGGCGTATTATTGTTGAAAAACATACTTGGTTGAAAGATAGTAAGTGGACTAAACTCCCTGTGAAATTAATCTTTGTGGCAAGCTATCATTTTGAGGTAATCAACGAAAGAAGGCCTTTCCAACGGTGCGTCTTAAGACGCACCGTAGGAAAATTTAAATTCGCACGACGCACAGGCAGGGCGCGCGTGCCTCGCCGTCGCATTTTCGTATTGCCGCTTGAGGGCGCTGTTTCTACTTGCAAAACGAAAACAAACATGGCGACTGGAAGTGGGTAAGTGACGTCAAATGTTATGTCGATTTTCGCAATGAACAGTATCGGTTTAGGGCCTTCTCTGCAAACGAATAAATGAACAAAATTTCGAACTCGCTATCTTCATGTTTCAATTAACAAAAAATGATCTACCGAACTGCATTTCGTCCATGTTTAACAGAAATAGGGACTTTCATAGATATTTATTAACATGTTGAACTCGACAGGCCACCGAAATTCATTTACCATTTGTATGGACGGCTCTAGCCTCTGCTCTAGCCAAAAAAAGTGTTAAATTTGAAGGGCCCAAATTGTGGAACTCCCTAGACAATACAATAAAAAAATCGTTATCTATTTCTACTTTCAAAACCAACTTTAAACAGATTCTTCTCAACAACTTAGTACTCGAATTCATGAACTCAGAATTTCATCGCTTATCATTGTATCAAATTGTCTTTTCTTGTCAATACTGTTCTGCAAGTGCAATAATGCAACATTCCTTCTAAATCCTTCGTACTACCTGTTTATCTTCAGCTTCATAGATCATGGTTTTGTGTTATTTTGTATTATTTTATATCTTGTTGGTGTGGCTGTCTTGCATGCTCCTTTTGTATTACTTTTGCTTGTTTTGGAACCTTTTATTTTATTTTGTAAATTCATTCATTTCCCTGTAAAAATTCACCCGTTTGTTATTGTTTGTCCTATTGTGACTTTCGCGTAGCTTATTATCATATTCATTTTCATTTAAAATTCACCTCTAATTTAACTATTATGTTACGTTATTATTGTGTATGTATGTTTTTTGTTTAGCTTTCATACTGTCTTTGTTTATAATCGTTCTTGTCATCCTGTATCTTCTTTGTTGTTTATGTTCAGGGGACTCGCACTCGACAAGCTTTGCTTTTTGTGGGTCCCCTGCATCTCTAGGTGGTGTTATTCAAATGTTATTATTCTTATCCTTATATTCTAAAAAAAATGCATAAATCATAATAAATTAGTACAAACTGTATTCTTTTATGCCTTGAGATGAAATAAAGTAAAGTAAAGATGAAAGATGAATGTTGCAACCTGAAGCCACGTGTTTCTTCATATATTTATAATCATGTCAATTCTCAATGTATAGTCGTGTTCCCTAACGTGGCGCACTTCGAAGCCTACCAGACTTTCCTTGTGTAGTGTTGCCAAACCTCTTTGTTGACAAACCTCAAATTCATGCAGTAAAATACTAGTACTTTTACCTTATTAATGCTTGGTATTTAACCTCTGTGAACAATTTCGGTTTCATAAAATTTAATCAGAAATTCAAAAACGGTGGCGTCCGGAAATTTGGCACAAATTGGCGGAGTGTTCCCTAACGTGGCGCACTTGAATAAATCTCAGAAAATTCCAAATTAACATTTTAAGAATTTCTGTAAACTTGATAAATTCTGATAAACAATTATTATCTTTAGTTACATACCCAGCCAGATGTTTGTCAGAAAATTATTTTCTTATTTTTCGGGGCATTTTCAAAGGGTTCACTTTGCACTTGAAAATAAAAAATAAAATCAGAAAATCACGCCAATATAAATATTTTATTTCTAACTTTGTTACGGGTAAATAAACTCGCGATTTATGAACAGGAGTGTTTAGAACTTATTGAAATTTCACTTTCTGTGACATTTCAGTTAAAACTTTTGCTCTAGGTAGGCGCTACAGGCGAAAAATCAAAGTGCGCCACATTGGGGGCTGCGCCACATTAGGGTACATCAACAATAGCCCCATAAAAATGTGGCCAGTTTTACTGGACTAGCTGACTAGGCCTAGACCCTACCTCCATTATAAATGCCACACTTCCACCAGTACCATGTACAAAAACATGTCGAATTTTGTCAAATGTTTATTTTCACATTTAGGCTTAGTTTGTAGTTTATTTCTGCTTAAGAAGCATACTCACCCTCTTTATAGGCTAATCAGAAAGTGCTGCCTTTTTCAGATGTCTATTTTTCGTGAAATTTCCAGATTCGTTTGCACACGTTTGCATATCAAAATTTCAACATGAAATTTCACGAAAATTAGACATCTGAAAAAGGCAGCACTTTCTAATTTGCTATAAAGAGGGTGCGTATGCTTCTAAAGCAAAAATAAACTACAAAATGTGAAAATCAAAATTTGACAAAGTTCGACATGTTTTCGTACATGGTGGAAGTGTGGCCTCTATTTACGGAGGTAGTCCAGTAAATTGGCCACATTTATGGGGCTATTTTCAATGAAGGTCGTTCATTGCAATTTAAATGGGGTCCTACTAAAATCGATGATTAAGATGGTTGTACTGAAGTTTACTTACGATCCGGATGAAAAGTAAAATTTCCCGTTCAATTCTGAGAGCTCCCCCCGCAATCGTTAACACGTTACAATTCCGACTCGTGTTTGAACTGCAATCTGGTCTTCATGCCCAGCGTTCACTCGATGGTCCCCATATCCCGAGTGCGATTCCGTTACCGAGTGCGCGCGATGCATCAATTATGATAGCTTTGAAGCTCTGTGAAGTGCCCGTTTGCAATACCTCCTGGTGAAATTTGTCTCTTAATTTTTATTTAACACTCTCGATTTATTTCAATATGGCGGACAGGGAAAAAAAAGTTTTCAGTGCTACGGCTTCATGTACATATATACGTCTTGTGCCCATGGACGTATGCACAGAAGAGATTCAGGGCAAAAATTAACCCTAACTGCCATGAATCCTTCAAAATCCTCTTTGCCAAAGTGGAGGAATTTTGAGGATTGAGGTTACATGGCAAAAGTGCATTACTGATTTTGTAGGATGCACTTTGTCAAGGTCTTGGGCCAGACCTCGTGTTGTTTTGCTCAGCCATGCATAAATATAGGCCTGGATTATGCTTGAAATCCTCCGTACTGCTCCAGGATGTCACTGGCTCTGCCTCAACATATTGACAGTCACTGCCGCAGGATTGTTTGCAGGATTCAGGCAGTGGTCACCCCTCCACAGACCATTTTCAAGAAATAATGGAGGAATTTGCAAGATTGAGGCTATTTGCCATTTTTACAAGGAGGCAGTTGGAGAATTTTGCAGGATTGAGGCTAGGCCTATATCCTAGCAAAAAGGCCTAGGGAGTTGGGGTTAAGAAACTCATTTCACCAGAAGGATAATGGGGAGTTTAAATTTGTGGAAAAAAGTGACTAATTGGGTAAGTGAACCCATATGGGGAATATCAGGCCAAATGATTCCATTGAAAAAAACACCTTTTTGAACACACCTGTTAGCTAAACACTGGCTACTTCCATAGTTAAATGCACTGTAGGCCCTACATGTACATGTAGTTGCCAGCTTACTACATTCTTTCCTTTGCATGCTTTGCTATTTACAAAAATGTCATAGTGTTTAGTTTAATATGCATATACTATAGCAGCGATAATTCTTATACTTTGAAGAGAATTCAGAGCCAAAGTTTCTGAGAGGAAGGTTGTGATATAGACTGTAGTGACTGTTGACTAGTATACAAATATTGAATGCTTCAAGTGGTGTAGTAAAACTAGCCTCCCGAGGTGATCCATGGACATTCTATTTTCCCAAGGCGAAGCCGAGGGAAAATAGAATGGTCCATGGATCACCGAGGGAGGCTAGTTTTACTTCACCACGAGATAAAGCATTCAATATTTGTTTTATAACACTTCACCCACAGATCCTGCTTGGTTATAATATTTTAAATTATTTAAATCTGAACACATTTGAAATAAACTTCAATTTCAATACAAAATTGGTGGAAAATGTATTTCTCTCTTCCAAAATACCCCTTCGCGAACATGGATGAGTCAAGGCTGCTTTTGGAGAGATTTCTGCATGAGAAAGTGACATTCTGAATGCAAGTCATTTGCCTATCATTGCTGGTTTTGAAAAGCCATAGCATTACAGCGACCCAAAAAGTGACAGTGCTAGAAGGGCACACGGGTGCTTTCTAGTTCTAGAAATAATACGAGTCTGTCCACAAATTGCAAATCACACAGAATGTACCATTCCCAGAATTGAAAGAAACTTGTTCCAAATAAGAATTTTCTTGATGAAATAAAATTTCTTAATTGTGCTGCCCTCGGCGCCCTGTATCTTGACTCCTTTATGTCTGAAATGATAGGAGCCCTTTCAGACACCTGTCTGGAAGGTGAGTATTTTTTTGAGCACCTTATTTCACTTTGCTATGTTTCTGCTTTCTTTTATATTGTGTACATTTTATTACTTTTTGCCCAACATGTTCTTAATATTGAAACATTGCAATAGTAAACACAAACAATACTTTCTTTTGGATTGTACTGTAATTAAGTCTGTTTATGTTCTTATTTCAGAGGAAACGATGAAGGAAGTTGGTGGGGAGGATGGATTCAAGCTGCCAAGGAAAAGGTTGGATATACAGCTATTCATGTACAGCCTATAACAACAGCCTACTAAGATTTTATAGGAAATTCACCGTCTTTGCTGTACATGTATGCAAAGAGCATTTCCTAACTAAGGCCATTTTTTAGACGTACTTTTGAGTAAAAATCTCGAGCATCAAGCGCAAGTCACTCATTCCCGGTTGGAGCTACGAATGTCCACGGTTTACCAAGAATTAATCGATCACGATGAACCGTTGAGATTCGTGGAAAAGTCGACTTTCTATGAATGCACTTCGGTTTCAGGACGGATAGCCACGACTGTCCTATGGTTTCTTTACGAATACACCACGGTTTGTCAAGAATATAGACGGATTGTTGAAAAAAAATTGATGGAATACTAAGAATAATGAAGTTAACGCCACTGTTGTCTGCAATTGGGCCACGGATGACCAAGGTTCTCCTACGAATAAAGCATGCATATTCATAGTACAACCTTAGCAGAACCCTAGCACATCCAGGCATATCCGTAGAACATTCGTGGCGAATTCGTACAGGTTTCGACCACAAATAAGCTACGAATCTCCAAGAATATGCACGAATAGCCATAAATAACACTACGAATAAATAAGGTTGTCCTACAGATATCCCAAGATTGCACTACGAATTAATTTTCGTGACGATTCACCACAGAAGTTATGAACAGTTTGAAACTTCCGTAGCCCCTCCACGAATACCCAAGGAAGATGACAGATATTACCACAGATGTACTAAGGATGAATACAGTACTCCCACGGTTTATCACGAATTTCAAACCGTGGAGATCCGTAGCTCCAAACTGTGCATGTGTGACTGGGGCTTTTCATACATTAAGTGGCATTCTTAGTTTGGAAAGTGGAATGATCAAATCATAGAAACCTTTCAAATGTTTATTTGTTGTTCAAAAAGGGCTGACAATGGTAGCTGTCTGTGTGTGGCTGCTATGACCATTGTAGTTCTGGTTGCTTCTGGCTGCTGTGGTTACTCAAGGGTTAAATGATGAAACTGATCATGTCTTCCAGGACCGGGGATCCCCTCAGGATATACCAGCTCACACATTGACACTGCTTGCTGCGACTTCCTGATTGGCATATTAACCCTAACCCCTTGGGCTCTTTTATTAGAAAGTATCCTGAATCTGCCAAAATCCATCAATTTTGCCATGCAAAAAAAATTTGGTGGCCAGTGAGTCCATCAGAATCCACCAGTTAGGCGGGAGTAAATCTGTTGAGATCCTGAATTTGCCAAAGTCCCCCAACAGCTCAATATAGAGGCATCCTGAATCCATCAAAATCCTGCAGTTCCGCTAGCCTTACAATCCTGAATCCATCAAAATCCCCCAGTTCGTGCAATATAGGGGTATCCTGAATCTGCCGAAATGCCCCGAAACAGGGGTGTGGATTTTGATGGATTCAGGTACGTTAGGGTTAAGCACTGGTTATAACATTGGTTTAGGGGAATGTCAGTGCACGTCTTGAGTGCAGTACATTTGATTGGGTACAATAATTACAATGTGGCTCATTTGTAGATTTGTAACTATACATGTTGACGTACATTACCAAAGTGCAAAAATCTCCACACAAATAATGCAGTTAAAAATATGGCCTGAGCCAAAAGCGAAGGCTATTATGGGCAACCAGGTCCCAAACCCTTTTTTTAAACATCATGTTTAAAACTGCTCCCTATTCATAAATACTGTCTCAGTCAAAAGGTTTTTTTTTTTAAGTTGAAAGATAGGAATATTGACAAATTTCCAACAATTCTGTCCTACCATTTTACTCCATTAAGGAAGCAAATTAAATTAGCCTACAATAAGGAGGCCACAATCCTCATGTACATTTTAAGACTGTTTGGAGCTCATGACTCTTAAGATCTTTTTTGCTTTGCTGACAGTAATAGTCCAGTAAGAATTGACAAATTTTGGTTGCAGTGTGTTTATTGGTATACTAGCTTTCTCAAAAAAAATTCAACACAAATCAAGGTTGGGGAAATATGTTTATTAATTAAAAAAAAACAATAGGCATGCACATTGAAAGGCATGTATTTCCGACACCTACAATCCTGGCCAAAATGGTTGGGACACTTCCTGAGCCTGCCACGGTCACCCGCTCCCCCGCTCCCCCGGTCAATGTTGTTCTCTCCAGCTGATAGGGCACATACCGCACAATGAGAGACAACATTGAACGGGGGCCAGGGGGGTTGGGGGCCCAGCGAGATTTGGCCAGGATTGTAGGCGAAATCCTATGCTTTGAGTAGTTGGGCAAGTATCGATGATCCTTGCATCTTTTCAATTTAAAATAAGATAAAATGGCACAGACACAAACCTAATTAACATTATGACCAAAATTATTATGAAAAGAGCTTTTTAAGAACATCATTGTCATCACCGTCATTGTCATAATTATTGTCATCATCATCAAAATATGCCTACTGTCCTCAAAACTGTTCAAAACTTCAAAAAAGAGATGGCCCTAATACATACTGAAAAACCAATTCCATTTTTTTTTCCTGCCGAAACCACTTTAGAGTGCTGTAATGGGAGAGGTAAGGGGGGGGGGGGCATTGAGGACTTACCTCCCTCCCCCCTCCCACTTTTGCTCCCCATCCTCACCTCAGCTCCCTCACAATTAGGGGAGACCAAAATTAGCTTTTTGTCTTTGTAATTAGTTGAGTGCCCCTACTGAAAATGAGGCCACCCTCCGTGCCCCCCTCCCATGCAAAAAATCGCACAAAAGTACAAAGACACAATCACTCTGTAGTGACTGACTGCCATCGGGTGTGTATTTAAACCTAGTGCTTTGTTAATTTACCTCAACTGTACTTCAAAGTTTGTAGGATGTTACAAAATTTAGCATCTTCCAGATGCTAAAATGAATTTTTTTTTAATTGTCAGTCATCATCATTTTCCCGTCAGATTCTTCTGTAAATCTCCCTGAACTGAGTAGGATAAAAGTAACACAATTTTAGGAAAATGTCAACTGTAGAAAAAAAAATGGGTTAAACTTTTGTGGGAATAGCCATTAATTAAATATTCAGGGTGACCTTTCTAACAGAAATGTAAACTCTTCAAAAAGTCACACAAAAGCCTTCAATGAGATACTTAAGGGAGGGTTTGTCTGCAAAAAAATTTTCTCTGTCTCGTAATGTAAAAATAACATTAAAATATGGCAGTAACTGAGTCTGTGGTAATGTAATTAATTGCTTCATAAGTTTCACGTGCTTCTGAAGCCGCCATGCTCAACTGCCCATTTTGGAATCTGACCAACTTATGATGAGCCTGTATTGGCTAAGCATTGATACTTGGGTATCAGTAATTGGGTCAGAGCTTAAAAATCACATTTCCTCCAGGAAAAAAGTGGTTAAAGTTTTGAGTGTATCATGGTAACCACATAAGTACAAATTTGGTTGTTAACTAAAATGTCAGGATTGGGCATTGTTCATGTCAATACTTACTGGACTATGACTAGTCGAATACCTGGCAGAAGGGCATGCGCGTACGCCCTTTTGCGTGAACGCGTAGTCACCAAAATGTTCCGAGCAAAAGGCATGGAGTACCGAAGTGTGACGTCATTTAGAACCAGAAAGTGTAGTGCAAACGAATGGAGTACGCGCGCGTTTTGGTTCATGGGCTGAATCACGCGCTAATGTTTTTCACACACATTTTGTGGGCGTGACGTATTCACTTGGGTACTCTATGCCGAAAACTGCCTCTATTTTAATGGAATTCTTACAAAACCCCATTAACACAAGTTGCTCCAAAAATGATAATTCAGACGTGTGACAAATTTAGAATGTTAATGATTTATGATATGCGTTGGAGAACATTGGACTCGTAACACGCGTGGGGGAACATTGGAGCCTTTCAATGCAATTATCTTGAAATTGATTTTCGCGTCAAAATGTTCATATGCCCTTCTGTCGGGCACCCAACGAACTTCAAATTGATTAAAATAATAACAATAATAACAAGCTTCAATTATTATTATTATTTAGTCTGCTGTTGCACTGGAACAGATGAAGAGAGATCTTGGTGAGTTTGGCAGCACAATACAAAGAGATACATCCTCTGCAGTTGCTACATCAGCTGGAGTTATTAGGGAGAGTTTGCAGGTAAGCCCTCCATGCTGCTTTTTGAAAAGCTTCAACGTGGTTATAAGAATTGAAGAATAGGACCGTAGTAGTAGCTCGTCTGTTAAAATCTTCTATGGTATGTTATTGTTCATCACCCACATTGGTGCATACTGCTTAGACCAAAAAAAAAAGTCTCTGGATTTTTGGTATGCGCGCACGTCGCCATAGCCATGCACATCGCCAAAATTAAACTTTTCAATGTAAGATGATGTCTTAAAACCGCCAAATCCACTGGTTTGACTGGAATCCTGCTGCTGCACAATTTAAACGTGTTTTTAGATGGGGTTACGATCGAGTATATGGCTCCTATATATTTTGCTCTAAATTTAGTCCGGCACCATTTGCAGACGGTGTTGTAATTTTGTAATTGTGTGTCTGGAAGCCAGACTGACGGAGCGATGGTTGTGTATCTGGAACCTGTAAACGCTTTTTAACCCTAACTCCTCGGCCTAATTTACTAGGAACCATACCCATTCTGGCAAATTCCAACACCCACATGGGAAATTGTACACACACACTGTTGGACTTAGTTTCTGGAGGTATGCCAACCCCAGTGTAAAAGACCATCAGTTTAGGGGTACTGTACCTATCCCAATAGATTTGAACAAAACCTGCTGTTGAACTTTGATGGGTTGAGTTTGGTTAGGGTTAATGAGCTTGATATACTTCTCAAGCCTTATGGCCTTACTGAGGTCACCTCAAGCTGCACTCTGAAGGATATTTTTGAGAGTTTTAAGGGGATCGAAGCGTCATCTGCAACATTAGCCGACATTTAAAGAGAAAAAAAAGTTGGGTAAAAAAAAAAAAAACAGCATCGCCGCACCATTTTGGGGCAAGCTCCATACCAGAAACCGGACACTTGTTTTTTGGGGGGTCTTAGCATACAACAGCTATAGCAGCATACATGTAGATTGGTTGACCATTGGTGATTTCTCCTAATGTTAAACCATTGCTATGACGTCGAATCTTTAGTAATACAATTGTTCTCCATAATGAGCATGAATAGGACCGTCTGCGTGAAAATTTGCTTTCCGAAAATTACCACTGCATAAATCAATTCACTGTCAGAAAGAAATGGTCGTATGAACTATCCATTTTGACGTAAGGAGCCTATACACACAAAATGACTTGGTTGTACGGGTGTGGCGATACACATGCTAAGCACGCCAGGAAAAAATGTTGCAACCTGATGCCACTTCCGCGCTTGTGTACAAAGTCTATGGAGAGTCATTTTCAGTATTTCTTAACAAACTTGGAACCATTTCTCAGTCCTAGATTCATGTCTTATCATTTTTGCAACGAATGACCTTCTTTGAGATGATATATGAAGAAAAAAGTGGCGTCAGGTTGCAACATTCTTTCCAATACTTCTGTTGACGCAATGGTTTAAGTCGAAGAATACACTCGCAAGTGTGGATTCTTAATTTACGAATTCACTCGGCGCTTCGCGCCTCGTGAATTCTTAAATTACGAATCCACACTTTCTCGTGTATTCTCCTTAACTTTAATTATTATTTCATGTATGTAGGTTACCACTGTACATGTACATGTATATAAGCCTAGTGGTTGAATATCGTTGCTGCTGAGCTGTGTCTGTTGTGGGTATGCTGCTTGGGGAAAAAAGTCACTTGCCAGGTGACTAAAAATAACATGCCAATAGAGAGATTTGCTATGCCACTGTTGAAGGGCAAGTTTTTAAAAATGTTGGAAGTCCCTTGTTGACTTCAATCACCAAGTTTGCCATGTCTGTGTGCATTCAACATCAATGATGTGTCTCACTTAATGAAGCACACATTGCATGCAGCTTGTCCCACAAAGAACCTAATACAGTCAAAAACCAATTAATAAAGGTATATTGCATGTGAGTTTGGGATTATTTTCAAATTACATGTACGTCTAAAAGTCTGATAACCAATGTACAGTACCATCTTTATTTCATTCAAGTTGATGCATTGAAACAAACGCTATGCTTCATCGAACTCAAGGGTTGAAAATTGTCTTGGGCCACTTTCCTTGCAAATGAAAAAACACATAGATTAGAGAAACACACAAAGGATGGGTCAAAAGTGATAGTGCTGCTTATCAGTTTATCATTTGGACAAAGATATTTTGGAGACCAGGAGATATAAATAAAAAAAGTGGCCCAAGTGGTTTTTCAAGTCCCGTATTGTGATTGCTGTATCTTTTGCATGAAACATCCTAATGAAACCAACTAAAAAGCATTTGGAAGACCAGTTATTCTACCAGTTATTCTACATTAGACACGATTTTGAATACCATCCCCACTTTTCTATAAACAATAATAATAATAATAATAAAGAACATTTGTAAAGCGCCAGTATCCGCCTAAAAAAGGCGCTCATGGCGCTTGAGGAGAAAGTCAGGTTCGACTATTAGGTTTTTGTTGAAAAACCTGTACACCGTGTGTTTGAGATGTGTGTAACATGTGCTTGAATGTGGACCAATCTCTCTTACCGCAAACAATCTCATAGTAGCGGTGAACGTGGAACAGTCCATGGCCATCTTAACATTACAAATGTGTTCATAACTTCTTGTGGTCAGATAATCCTTGGTGATTAATGATTCTTGTTGGTTTTCTTTTCAAGACTGAGCCTGATGAGTCTTCAACAAGTAGCCGTGTCAAGAAAGGCTTTTCTGATTTGCTAGGTGGACTGTCTGAAAGTCTTGCCCCTAAAAACCCTAGCAATGAGGAGACTCAAGCAGTATCTTCTAAGACTTCTCATCACATCTTTGACAGGGCAAAGGTATCATAATAACAGCCACTTCATTCCCTTTCTTAATAAGTTATGTATGAGGTCATGAGGTCATGTGGCACCAGGCATTGCTCTCACAATTGTGCATTTGTGAGGACATCATTCTGTATCGAGTCGCTGATTTTCAATTATTTCATACATATTTTGTTTTTAACTCAAAGAGACGCAACATCCTAGGTTTGTCACTTTGAGCCATTAAAAGTATCCCAATGAGTGCATAGAAAAACATGCTGAGCTGTGGCACAATACTAATGATGGATGGTGATAACAGGGTTCCCCTTTGATATGAATCGATCAACAGATGCTTGGTGGTACACTATATTTTACAGCTTTATACAGCTGAAAGAGGTAGGAGAAAACAAGAATTTGAAATAAAGACATGGGAAAATCTAGTACCATTCTGTCTAAAAAGGATACTTTTGGATCGATCCTCAAGGATTAAATTTACGGATGCCAGAAAGAGGTTTTTGGTCTGTGTACTATTGGGTAACTTAAAGGCAATATACAACATTTGCTTTTCCTATAATTTTCAAAATGGATGGATTGGGGCAGGGTTTAGTATTTTATAGTAAATATTGTTACACTGACTTGTTTGAAGTTTTGTGCTCGTAGATGCTGGAAAACCCAAGAAAAACAATCATGTTCCTGTAGTCTTGTTCCCTGACCCCACTTAATGTGAAATGAAGCAATTTATAGACGTCAGAGAAATGTAAGGTCAGGGAACCAGTCTAGCTGGCTTGTACCCGTTCACAGGAGTGTAATTGATTGCAAACAAAATATGGATTAGCTTAATATGGTAAATGGGGGCCGAGTATTTGAAAAAAGCCAGTTTTTTCCAATGCTAGTCAGCCGACCAGCATTGGAAATTGATACACAAATACCACTTTTCTTGAAAATGACAGCATACCAGGTGCCATGATTTTACAGGATGCTTTAGACTGTCATTCACTAACAGTCCAGTAAGGTATTTCATAATCATTCGGTAGTTTTGTTCTTTGATGTTTGCAAATGTTGTATATTCCCTTTAAGCTAAAGCATTTTCTTTAGGCCATCTTTGTTGTTGGTTTTCACAGGCTCGTCTACACTCCATGCAAATTGATGCAGGTACCTACTGCACTGATCCTGAAGGCCCAGCTCATGTCTATGAAGACTGGTTACTGTCCTTTGATACTGACAAGTACAAAGGAGACATCTCAGATTTACTGGTGTCTAACACAGATGTCAGAGCAATTTACACAAAGTTGGTAAGATAGTGACAAAGAATATGAAATGACCAGTCCCATGTTATGCAATGAAATGACCTATACATGTACCATGTTGTGCATTCTTTACATTACAATGAATAGACCCCTTGCATAGATTGTTCTCTCAGAGGACAGGATTTGTTATTAAGATTCAAGAGCAGTGAAAGTACAAAAGTCTTCAGTGAGGATACTCTGTGACGGGGGTCTATAATCCTCAAAGAGCTAGGGGAGCAATTTCTGTTACGGTGAAGTCAGTAAAATTAAAGGCTGTTAAACAAATGTGTAGGTTTTGTCTGAAATGGGTTAACTACCGTAATTTTCGGAATATAAGCCGCGGCTTATACGTTGATTTTGCCCATGAAAATGTTTACTGCGGCTTATACACAGGGCGGCTTATACGCCGAGCCTTGAAGAATAAAAATGAAATTCACATGTGTATTTAATGTACTGGTATAAGAAGAGATATGTTGCTGAAATGAATCATAAATTAAGAAAGTCATTAACAAACCGAAACCACGTCTCACGTAAAGGTACCGAGCGGTAAAAAAGTACGGTGATGAAAGCTGTCTTCGACACTTGCCACCAGCCGTACGTGATACTGGTACAGTGCAGCAGCGATATGCAGGCATGCTTTCCCAACAGCGGACCACACCATTTGTGGTAACAAAGGGGTGTTTTTTCTTGGGAATAATAATTACCAACATTTTTGCTGTTTAAAAAAAAAGAAAAAGGACCACTACAATTTTTATGGCGTTCGAAACATTTTTTTATTACATAATCAGTTGTTCAACGTAACAATATATTTTGTTTTCTTGAAATGTATTCAAGAAACGATGTAAAACTCAAAAGAGGGACTAAATCACCCCTTACAAAATTAATGGAATCGTCTATTAAAATGTCCGCTTCGTTTTGACTATTTCCAAAGAAAGTTACGATCGAAACTTGATTTTTTTCTCGCAACTAATCGCAACAATTTGATAAGTTTTGAGGTAAAAACGGACCTGTTTATTCTTAGGACAAAACAAATCAGCATCTGTTGCCACAAAGCAAGATTTGTAGCGCTCCAGTCAGACAACACACGGTGGGTTTCATACTCTCTCACGTGCTGTGGGAAAATGTTGTCATTCACCGGCGTGCGTGGCGCAGGCTGCCGGGCTATGACGGGGCAGCCGGCAGCAGTTCCCGGTGTTTATTTCTCATCAATTCCCATATTTGTTTGTTAAAGTATCAATTGTAAATGATTTGATATAACTTTTGTGGTCCTTTTAATAGCTTCAGTAGTGTGAATGGAACTGGTTCAGAGCATTTTGACTAGAATTTGGAGGCCTTACAAAATTGAAACCGCAGCGGTCGGTGCGGCTTATACGCCGGTGCGGCTTATACGCCGACTTCAAATCTTAATTTGCAGATTTTTGCGTGCTGCGGCTTATACGCCGCGCGGCTTATATTCCGAAAATTACGGTACATATGGAGTCTTTTGTATACTGTGTATCTCAAATTGCGCTAGTATAAGACCACAAGTGAAAACAATGGACTTTTAGATTCTAATTATTTATGGTTCTCATTTTGTGCCATCTTTTGATACCTTTGTCTCTCAACTTTCAGCCATTTTCAATTTAAAAACTTCGGAATCTATAATTGGGTTTATTATTGACTATTCCAGGAATCCAGTCTCGGGTAAAAAGCTATCAGACATCAGTGCTGTAGTAAGACTATAGGAACCAGTGCACCAACACTCATAGGACTGGACTTAGTCTTGTCCTCCAGTGGGTATCTCGAGCCGTGATCTCCGTATTCTTGTGATTAGATTATTTCAGTTGTCTCAGCAAGTGCTTGGGACAAACCTAGACTGATGCTATAATGTTGATTTCCTTTGTGTGTTTTTGCTGTTGAATGATACATTTAGGTTCCAGCTGTTGTATCTAATGCTGACTTTTGGGGACGGTACTTTTACAAAGTGCATCAGTTAGAGCAGGATGAAGCCAGGAGGACAGCTCTCAAAGAGCGCGCAGACATGACATCATCTCAGACATTTGATATAGAGGAGCTTCAATGGGACGAGGATGAAGGTAAATCCACCAATCACACCATTCCATTCCATACCCTCTCATAATATACAAATAATGAATGTTTTGCATTCGTGCAATGGTGAGAATATTTCCATGAGTTGAAAGATGGAATGTTATGGAACATGTGGGGTGCTGTGGTCCAATGGTTACTGTGCTCGACTCATGTGCCGTGGTGCATGGGTTCGAATCCTGACCGTGGGAACATGGTGCTTTTGCTCTTGAGCAAGGCACTTTACCATTATTGCTTCGTCCTTCGGATGGGTCGTAAAGCCGTAGGTCCCGTGTGTTGTGTAATGCACGTTAAAGAACCCAGTAACACTTATCGCTAAGAGAAGGGGTTTGCCCCGGTGTTTCTGGCAGTGGCTGCAATGTGCGCCGCAGCACCTTGTCAACCCTTATAAGGTGCTACATAATGGGTCTCATATTTCTCATAAACTTTATTTACCTTTCTTTAATAATTGACATAATTTCCATCGCCTTGAGTACCTAATAGTTGGTAGATACGTGCGCTGTATAAGACTCCGTTATTATTATTATTATTATTAACATTCCATCTTTCAACGAATGAAAATATTCTCACCATTGCACAAATGCAAAACATTCATTATTTGTTTTATATAACATCCAAGTAGATCTCTGTCATTCAATTGGAGGATAAAACTTTAAGAACAAATAAAAGTCACAAAATTGTATCATATCCACTATTTACAAAGGCTAACACAGTTTAAATGTCAAATCAATGACAATAAAGAAAATGAACATTGGAAGTTCTTAAAATAATGCCAAAAAATCATCAAGGCAACTGCATCAATTTTAAAGGCAACTTTTGTACTGCTGTAATGCTTGATATGGTTTAAATAGCGCAAAGATCGTATAGCGCCGGACCGCTGCGCGTCTTAACGTGCGCGCGGCGTGCAATAGATCAAAAGGGATGGGACGAAAATGCACGGTGAATGGAACCAAAAATGCACGGTTATGATGTAGGCCGTGCAATGGTTCGATTAATGAATGCCGCGTGACCTACAATCCTCCAATCAAATGACAAGGATTACTTGGGTGTTATGTAAATGCCAATAATATCAATTTCTTCTCAAATGTGACATATCAACCGCAGTACAAAGACAATCTTTGGGGCTTAGTTGTGCGTGAGTGAGTGTCATTTGCATGATGTAGCCTATGGTTGCTTACCTCCATAACACCAACTGCAAGATAAAAATGGATGATAAACATATAAACTCAATCAGTAAATACATCAGTTGATGATTTGATGAATCCCAGACACCTGGTTGTTATTTCACCTGTGTCTGTTAAAGAAAACATCACTTGGCTTGTTAAGGGTGTGCTGCTTTATCGAAAATAATGTGAAACCTTTGTTAATTAGCAGCACTTGTTGGACCAGTATAGGTTCCAGGAATGTCCACCCGAGCCATTGCAGACCATATTGACTTTCCAATGTTTTTTATAATGCTATTGGGACATGTACTCAGATGTGTATGTGTTTTTAGGCAGCTTTGCTTTCATACTTGTTGTGGTGCATTATAGCTTCCTTGTATTGTGGCAATGATTGTTGGTAATGCTTAAGTCTTTGGTGCTTGCTGTTGGTGCACCATTTAATTGAAAGTCATGAACAAAAACACCAATTTTGCATACATGTTCACTGGAATGTTTTTGTCTTTGTTATTTCAGAGGACTCATCTGCCACAGTGGGCAGTCTAGAGTGCAGAAACACTTCCATGAAACAGCAAGACTATGATGACCGAGTAGCAAGTCCAGCAGGTAGCAGGTGGGTAGATGGGGGACTGGAATGCCCAAAGCCTAACGTTGATGAGAAAGATGAACTAGTTATGATAACAGCAACAGAAAGTGCGACTGAACAACCTTGCCAACACCAGAGACTAACAAAAGAACCTGAGACACAACCAATGGAACCTGAGACTGAACCAGTGGAACCTGAGATTGAACCAGTGGAACCTGAGACTGAACCAATGGAACCTGAGACTGAACCAGTGGAACCTGAGACTGAACCAGTGGAACCTGAGACTGAACCAGTGGAACCTGAGACTGAACCAGTGGAACCTGAAACTGAACCAGTGGAACCTGAGACTAAACCAGTGGATCGGGAAGACAAGACTACAACAGTAAGAACATCATCTTCATCTGAACAGGAGCGAGATACAGGAAACCATTGTCATGAACGTACACAGAGGGTCTTGGATACACAGGGAGAATATGATACTGAGAATAATCAACAAGGAAGAGAAGGGATTCAGAATATGGAGCCATCAGATAAACATGAAGAGGACAAGGACCATACGCAATCAGAAGACAGTAATGCAACCCAAGCTACACACAGTAGGAGTATGAATGCTGGAGTGTTGATGGTACATGTACCTACTGAGGAAACTCAGTTGGATAAACAGATTGAGAAGAAGACTTCACCATCTGGCTCTGATGCAAGTAACAAAGGTAAGGCTGTCTACATACAGAGTTCCGAAACTGATTCAGCCAGTCAGATTTTATGAGACATGTTCTGATTGGACTTTACATTGTGTCGATAGACTCTATGCTAGTGTTGTAGTAAAGTCCATCACAAGTCCAATCAGAAGTCAGTCACAACTACATTCACAAGTCTTGTGACAAGTAACAGGGATGAACAGTTCATTAATAGCTTGTGACTTGACTTGTGAATAGACTTGTGATACACTTAAGGCCAAACAAAAAAATACCTTTGGTTCGGGTCACCCAACCGACTCTTTTTTTTTTAAAGCGATAAAATGCAACCCAACAAAATTGTATTGGTTATTTGGGGGAAAAAATTACGATACCGACTTCGATCAAAATTGTCAAACTCGCAGACTGCCAAAAGAATTTATAGGCATTTATCAGCAAGTGATACAAAAAAATAGTTCTGCTTCCGATTACATGCCTTTCAAAAATAGGATCTGTCGGTCGGAAATTGTTTTTTTTCGGCCATTTGTTTACTTTTTTAAAATCCATCAGGGCCAAAAAAAACAATTTCTGACCGACAGATTCTATTTTAAAATAATGGAAAATTCAGGCCGTTCGCATCATATGCACGCCAGTCAAGACGGAAAGCTGGCCAAAACTCCGAAGTGTGTGATGCACTGTGCATGTGTGGCCCGCGGCCGACAGACCTCGTTTTACAGTCGAAAATTTCGGGAAACACGCTGCATGTATCAGTCCGAATACGATTAGTGCGATCTCAAAATGAACTCTTGAACACGGAAAATACATACACAAACAAGATAGATAATTCTGTGAATTAACTTGCAAAAACGTTCTTTCTCCATCGGTGTGTTTTCTTGGCATTTTTACGATGTCGAATCCAACCAGTTGACACTGACAGTGCACGTGCCTAATGCATAGCCATGCTAGCGCTAGCGATCGCATAGCCATGACAGACTGGCTACCACACTTTCATCATGTCTTCTAAATTGGCCCCTGCGCGGTGCGGTGGGAACCAGTCGTCACTGCATTGATCAAGGTTTACGCACGTGATTATAGTCACCGTGACATTGAATTGCAAGGTATGATGACAGATCGCGAAGCGAATTTGGTTTCTTTTGAGAAAAAAAAGCGAATGTAAGTAAGAAAACAAATAAATAAAAGCATTTTTTGATGCAAATGGGTTGTTGAGAGGTATTTTGTGAAGACAGAAAAGACAACAAGCTTTTATTTTTATTTATTCAATCATTATTTTTTTATTTTATTTTTGGAATTGCCGATAAAATTTTTAGTGTCGCAGCCTAAAAATAGGGTCGGTCGGGTAACCGGAAGCAGAAGTATTATTTTTGTTGGCCTAAATAACCTGTAGTATGCATTTCTTTCCATACAAGTGTGCACAACACATGTATTTTTATTCTGTGTTATTTGGCACTTGACCCCCAAAGAGCCCTTAGGGGGTTAGGGTTAAAGACACTATGGGTATTAATACAAATTATGTTCAAACCTGCCTCTCTGTTCATACATGTTATGTGTGATCCAATCTGATGTTTCCTTCATTGTCTGCTGCACACGGACCATTCATTTAGTTACATCAAGTCCTGTACTATGACAAACAAGACTAGACCTGAATATTTCCATAGAAAGTAGTATTCATATACATGTACCTCACAGTGTTAAGGGACAGGAATACCATCAATGTTAAACATTTCTCATGAATTTCGTTTTTAACGTTACAGCATCAAATGAATGATACGTTTTCTGCCCTACCATAAGCAAGGTATTTTCAGAACGTCGGCCTGAGATGTAGATTGCTTAGTGTATGATATCTAATGGAGTGCATAATGCCTGTGTGGTATGCTTTCTTGTATGTAGATTCAAGTCTGAGTGATGATTGGGAGAGAGACTTTGATGACATTGATGTAACTGAGGAAGATCTTGCAGCAGCAGCCGCCATCCAAACCAAAGCACAGCCCAATGATGATAATGAGGATGAAGACTTGGATGACTGGGAGAGCTGGGAATAAATAGTGGAAGACTACCAACAATAACTAGCAGATAACTCTCACATGTACCTACATGTATACTTATTCATTTAACTCAGAGCTCTCATAAATACTGAATTCCATGAAGACTGGAAAAGAATCACCTGTCTAAATGTTGCATTCCTTGTCCTCAATAGTGCGCAGAAGAGCTATTAACAAAGTAGACTTGAGAAAGCATAAAGCATTTGTCCTGTTCATGCCCATGTTATATCTTTGCAGTGACCATGCAAGTTGATAAGTTAAGATGAAGTATCACGACTTTTGGGCTGTGTTACTGTGAGCATGGCCATGCATGGATGAAGGTACAGTTCTTCCTAGTTGCCTTCATTATTTGATGTGATCCAGTGCTCAGGTTCATTCATATAACATGTACAGTGGAACGCCGCTATAACGAACATCATGGGATCCACAGAAATTGTTTGAATAGCGATCGTTCGGTATAGCAATTTTGAGCTGCTGGTGCTCCAACACTCATTTTTCAATAAATAGTGCCCTTCAGAACTTCACCCTGCACGCCTTGGTATTTACTGAAATCCGATTTCAGTAAATTGAATATTTTTGAATTATGTTTACACAGTTTTTGAGCTCCTGTACCTACAGCAATGGGTGGCTTCCCCTTCTATTCCTTGGGGAAATAATAGCCACTTGTCGCTCTTCTGTTGACATTTTTTCAACAACAATGTTCGGAACGTTTTATACACAAAAATCGGGAGCCAAGCATGATGTTCGGTATAGTGACGTTCCACTGTATATGAACATTAAATTAGCACAAGTTCCATTGTCTGTACCTTTCAGAAATAAATCATGTAAACAGCCATTTGTGCACAAAGCATCACTTTGGTGCACAGGCAGTAATTTATTTTCCTGTTTTAAGTCAGTGGCATTGCTCAAGGAAAATGTCGGATCGAGAAACCTAAAATGGGATGAAGAAAAAAATTGTGTAACAAAAAATGTATAAATATGTTAATTTTGACCTTATATGATATAGATAAATTCTGCACATATGTACAAATTCTGTGCATTGACAATTTGCCTGATGAGACCAAGATGGTGTAGTAGCCGCAAGTTAGGCATAAGGCAGAGTTACAGGGCCATAGTTTGTATCGTTTGGGATTGAAAAGGAACACTTGTATGATCAAGTATATGCACATCAAGCTAAGTACATTCACATCAAGCTGTGTGGGTTAGAATCACAAAGCATAATATTTACAACGTGAACATATTTGAAAGGGGAGTTTAGGTGACCTTCGTTTCGAAAAACTTTCTATAAGGTTTATGGGCCTTAATTTTAAAAGTTTTTAAAGAACATTTTAAACACTTCTTAGTTTCATATCGATTCAAAATAATATCAGTTTTCCTTGTGTGTTTTTTATTCTTTAACCATTAAAATTGAAATTTCCTGCAACAATTTCAAGCAGCACATTTTGTGAATACAGGCAATTAAGATAATTAACTGCTCTATTGTTTTACACAATGTGAAAATTCAGCTTTTTATGTTAATGATGACTGATACATTCTTTCTCTGTATGTATAGGCACCCATTATCTTTCTGTGTTTGAAATAAGCCTAAATGTTAATTATTTGCCAATTTACATAATGAGTACGCTTTTGTGTTGCACAAAGCATGCATGTACTAGTATGATAATCCAGTCTGTTAACCTAGCAGTGGCTAGAGACGGTTAAGTTAGTCTAATTTTCAGTCTGTAGAGTTATCCAGAGGGGATAACATTGGTTGAAGAGCCCTCTATTGACAATGAGAACATACAAGTCCGTAATCAAGATTGTGGTGGAACCTTCAAATTCATTTGAGGTATTATCTCTATCATGGAGATATCAATTTGGGAATGATGTTTGATTTACTGTTTAAAAAGTGAACCACTAATTGAATCCTTAAAATTGCTGTCACTTTACAGATGTAGTAAAGAATATTTATACAGTTAGTGATCATTGGTGTTTGGTTTAACTTATAGTCTATACATGTATTGAGTCTGGAACAAGTTCCTTTCTTTATCCTTTCTTTATCCTTTTAAGATCTATCCTTTTAAAATTAGGCCATGTGTTTACTGACTTATTTGAGTTATAACACCTATAGATGATCAAAGTGTAAATCATCAGTTGTTCATTTTCATCATGAATAAATTATATTAAACGGTTATGAAACACATTTTGATAAATGTTCACAAGCCTATGTGAGGGGAATAGCAAATCAGTCTGAAGTTTGCAATTTGTCATGCAATCAAAAGAAACTGGAAACAACTGAGAAGTGTGAAAACACTCAAACGTAGTGCAGTGGCAAGTCAGAAATGACTCTTGTCACTTGGGGCACTCTCTTGTTTTGCTTGCATTCAAACAAATCATTTGAATGATTACAAGATTATTTTACATTTCACTCATGAATAATTTCAACTTTGATGATTCCATTGAAGTAAGAGTTCTCATCAACCGGAACATTCAAAATGAAGTTAACATTTCCACATAATTTTTGTTCAATCCATCAGTTTGAATGTTGCAAAAAGCACACATTTCCCCTCCTAGACCCATCCACACGGGGGGGGGGGGGATGGGGGGTATGCAGTGTCATGTGGTATGTACTATTAGAATGCAAGTCTAGTACCAAGAGTTCAGAGTCAGTGTTTTGTGACTCTAACATCAGAGTTAGTGGGTTTCTTTTTACATGCATGTAAGTGGCTTCTAAGCATTTGTGTAATAATTCCATCACGACAGAAAATCCTATGAACTTTGATGCCTACAAGGAAATACAATGAACATCTTGAAACCAAAATGTGTTTGTGACAAATATAACATTGACACACTTGACCATCTAGGGATATGCATCGAAACCGCGGATACCCGACCGTTAATGTCTGGAACCGGTTCCACATTATGGGATCGGGTACACGTAGTTTCTTCTAAGACAATGAAAAAGAAAGGTGTTGAAGTCATCTGTGGGGAATTTTCAAAATGAAAACCAGGCTACATGGGAAATTTAAAACAAAACATATTTCAGATGTATAATGCTCGCGAAAGCTGCAGTTTACACCGTAAAGCTATAAAGCTCACTGTACACACTTGTATCTGGCTATATTGATGCGCCGATGGGGTAGTATTATCGTGCAGACCTTTAAGTTGTAAACAATCTCCACAGCAACTTCTGAGATTCGAATTTTGGCATGTTTGGCGTTGCATGCGTTGGTTCTTTAACGGGTTCCCGGTTGCTGTGCTACCCGTAAATGCACATTCCTTTGACCATTACAAGTCCAATACAAAGTAAATCACTCCCAAGCAAAATCGGTTAAACAGTTACAAACTGTATTAGCCACAGTTCATTTTGACTACACCGTTTTAAAGACACTGGCGAGGGAGTAGTTTTAGTTTAAGACTGTATTTGGATTTGATTTCCCTAAGGTTACAGACCAGTAAATAAACTTCCATAGACCCCAATGGTCAATGCTCCCACTTCAGAAATTCGGGGAAATTACTCGCAACTCTCCAAGGTGTTCGAGACACACATCAAGTTAAAGCTTACTTCATCATCTTTCATTTTCTTTTCAATTTTCGGGGGATCAACTGATGACTTTTAGGAGGAATTTCTATCCGAAGATGATCAGCCCTGAAAATAGTCCTGAAGCCCATCGCCATTTTGAAAAACGGTGCCTACACTCCATTGCAAAATAGAGCGCTTTAAGGGCCCCAATTTCATCCAAATTGAACGGAACTACAAGTTCACAGTCCTGTGCACGGCTTCCACCCATATTTTTTTACAAACCCTCAAGTTCATGGCCCACAGCATGCTCAAATACTGAAGATTTTGAGGGCATGCAAATCGTGATTTGGCCGGCGTAGGCAATTTCGGACCGATTTACTGGTCTGCCACCCTAATAGTCCGAGAGCTCAGTGAGATTTAATTAGAATATCGCGGCTATCGCGTACATAAAGGTTTGATGGTGGCAGCGAGTAGGTGGGGGTGTCCAACCTTCAAAACCGTCATTCTTAAGTGTCGCACCCTGTGCGTTTGGGCGGGGGCACCGCCGGGCTCTACCTGTGCGTTTGGGCGAGGGCGGCACCGCCGGGGTCTACCCAATGTTCCCCACTACCGATGTTCCCCGAAATCCTTAGGATTAGGGTTAGGGTTAGGAATAGGAATATGTGCAGTCGGAACATAGGTGTGTCAGAGGTGTATAACCGCCGCCAGTATAGTCATGTATCTTGACTGTTTCTAATATTGTTAACGTCATCCGGGAATAATGTACTAAATGAATCAAATTAGAATGAAACAAGAATAAAATGCAGAGTTAGACACAAGTATTTAATCAGAAACAGAAATGTTTAACCGTCAAATTCACTTGGTACAAACAGAATGTATGAAATACTCTACAGGGTGAGCAAAAAAACAAAAACGAAACCCAAATATCGGGACCATTGTTTTTAGTGAAATTCTGCATGTAGCACTTTCAAAATCTAGTAAATGAAAGTCCAATTACTAAGCTTTCTTTTAGTATAAGAATCATTCCAATCACTCATGTACTTTTCAAGTGACAGAATTTTTAAAAACAAACACCGTTTTAAACTTCTGTCCACGGATCACAAAAAAAGATAAGTGTTCTCTCAGCAAAACCCAAACCTTTCGTTTAGGCCTACTGAAAAAACAACCTGTTTTGTGACAAAAGTTTTATACGGTGTTGGTGTTTAAAATTCCGTAACTTGAAATGAAAAAAAAAGTACATGAGTGATTTGAATGATTCTCTACGAAAAGAAAGCTTATTAATTGGGTTTTCATATCCTAGATTTTGTTAGTGCTGCATGCAGAACTGCACTAAAAAAATGGTTCCGACATTAAGGTATTGGGGGTATTTTTTGCTCACCCTGTGAAACATTTTAAACATAATCCCTTTAAACATAATCCGGTAATTTTGAAATATCAGGAAAGAATCATTTTGAAATTATAATTTTGAAATATTCGATACTGAAAGACACCATTCTTTTAGCTTTACACCTTTTGGAGTATTATCTAATACAGACTCAACTACTTTCTTAATTATCTGATCAATCTAATAATTCACTTTTTAATGCCAGTCTCATTCCGAGTATTTAACTTGTTAAAGTCATGAAGCCTGATGTACACTTCACAAAGTCAGATACATGCATTGTGCCTTTGCAGACATCCCTTTTATCAATGTACATAGGCTATATACTATATGTCAAAAGATCATGTAAACAAGGCATGACAAATTTTATGGAGCAAGTTTCACCCAAACTCGTCCCCAGGGTGTCGAATAGTACGCGCCCATCACTACCTGCTCTCGCACCCTGGTATTGGATCATTTGCATATGCAAGATTTTTGAACACGTATGCAAATGAGGGACAGTCTGGTGCCTGGATATGCGTTATATTAGCGTTTGTTTTTGTATGCGGTGTCTGGGGTATAAAAAATAGAGTCAATTCGTCGCAGCGCGAGCACGGCGTGAGTTACGAAAACTCGATATTTAAAATTAAACTGTAACGACCGTATCGAGACAACATGCAGTATCATATTTCATATTAATATGAGCAAATTGGAAAAGGAAATTAGTATTTTCGAGAAGGCGTGGACGAATGATCGCGAGAACACGTACTACACGTTGTGAATAACACCACCAAGTACACGATAAAAATCAATTACTAGCCAATTGCGGTATCGAATCAGGATACAGGAAGAAAGTTTTCTATCCAGGGCTTACTATTGGAAACGAGGTTGGAAATAGCTTTGTGCAAGAGGGTGATATTCAAACGCCATACGAAAAATAATATTTAGAAATACTCGCTTTCAGAATGTCAATGCAGCATTGGAGACGGTGGCGAAAGGCGCGTGCCCCGGCAGAAAGCTTCTGAAGGAATGCAGGATCACCCCTGATGTCATTGCACACCTCTTCCATCGCGTGTTGCGCCCAATGATCTAGGAGGTGTGCAATTACATCACAGGTGATCCCGCATTCCTTCAAAAGCTTTTGGTCGCAGCACGCGCCTTCCGCCACCATCTCCAGCGCTGTATCGACAATGGAGAACGCCAAGTCGAAAGTGGCAAATTCTAAAAGTTAGTATTTTTTCGCATGGCGTTTAAATCTCACCCTCTTGCACAAAGCTGATGAAACTCGTTCCATTAAATTCGCCATGTGTTGTTTACATGATCTAGAATTTTGTTTTAATTTCATTGATAACCAACAGAGTTATTTAGGATCAAAAGTAGGACATGTTTTTTTCGACACGTATAGTACTTCACCTATAGTGTCTCTTTGACGAAGTAGGGGACTGAATAATAACAGCACAAGATTAGAGACCCTGGCATGAATTTTACACTGGAGCATAATTATTTGTAGCAAATATTCCTGCCTCTGAAGTGGGTACAAACTACGAGACATCCCTTTTTAGCAAAATTTTTCAAAAGTGCACTTTTTAACATTTAAATAATAGCTTCGCTCGTACCCACCGCCCTGCAAACAGGATACTCAGATGAATTCACGCTCTGATTGGTTGGATTTTGCGTGACCAGTGACCTACGCGTCATCACTGTCATGACTCTGCAAGGTTTGAAACGGCCGTTAATTAGACTGATTCGTTACTCTTTTATTCCAGTTTAGAGATGTGGGGGTATTTTCGTTGAAAAGCGTAATAATGTAGAAAATTCTGTAAAACTTATCTGTGTTGTAAATTTACAATTCCCGTCACTTGCTCAGGCTCCGTTTCGAATCACGAACGGTCGGATTGCATTATGCGACGCTCAAAATTTTGTCCACATGGTGGTCCGCAATGAATTATGAAACAGAAATCACATCCGGTATGGAACGTGTGCATTTCTATAGAAAGTTTTCGGATAGCATTTGCGCGCATTGTCTAACTGCGGTCTTGAACAGCTGCAGCCAGATGCTTTATACATAGGTCACAGGCCACTTCGTTCACAAGATTCTGTGAAGCTCATCAGTATCCCAGCGCCCTGTTTGCAGGGCGGGGGGTACGAGCGAAAAAAAAATAGCATGCTTTTCCTGACATCTGAGGGGGCTGATGCTGTGATGTCACTTTAGGAACAAACTCTTCAGATTAAAGCTGTAGTCCATCATTTGCAGCTATCCGAAAAGTAACTGGTGTAATTATTGTTAAAAAAAACATACTTGGTTGAAAGATAGTAAGGGGACTAAACTCCCTGTGAAATTATTCTTTCTGGCAAGCTGTCATTTTGAAGTAATCAACGAAAGAAGGCCTTTCCATGGTGCTTCTAAAGACGCACTTTAGGACATTTAAATTAGTAGGCCTAGTTTGTTTTGTTATTCGGCGAAGGCACGACGCACACGCACGCGCGGTTGCTATAATTCGTCGGATCCATAGTGCGCAACATCGCGTAGCTGCAATCGGCTCAGTGACAATGTGTCTCGGACGCTGAATTCAGGCCCAATTCAAAACACGATTCAGCAACTTTTGATTTGAAATTGAAATCCTAGAATGCTGTTTTTCTCAGAATATACAGCAGAAGCTGAGCTGAAACTTCATCAGGTAAGTTGTTCAGTACCCTTCTATAGATTTTGAGCACTTTTGTTACTTCAAACGAACAAAATGCACAAATTACAAATGATGGACTATATCTTTAAGGTTTTCTGTTCAAATTGTAAATCCAGAAGTCTGCTTATAATATACTGAAAACATTTGTGTATCAAGTTTTGTCAAATTGCTTCTGTCGTATACTGGAACAACAATGAACCACAGAAAACAGAAAAATAACCACAGAAAACCCCTAAAAGTCCGGTGACCTTTAACACTGAAAATTCTGCCTTGAATGACTTCACAGTTTTGCTCATGAGTATGGAAGTCATTAGCATAAAAACCAAAAAGGCACCAAAACGCCCTGAAAATGGCAAAATGAAGATAACAATTAATGTTATACAACACTAAGTTACATTTCAAGGATTGCATTTTAAAAGAAGTATTCCAACACATAGGCCATTTGAGACTATAGATCATAAAGAATTATGATAATCTATGCTCCATCAGTCCCTTCCTGTCATGATATTTTGCTGTTTGGTTTACGTCACACACAACATATCTACGTTAATAAACAGTATGTTACAATTCATCTTTTTTAGGCCTATTTACACTAATTGACACTGAGTCGACAAGCTTTCAAAATGTTTCTCACTCGTACCAGCTACTGATCCATGTTTGCACCCAACCCTCTATGGACAGAGTTTGTAATTCAAATATTTGGGCGACTCGCAATGAAGACTTCCGTGTGCGCTTGACACGTGCACACGTAACATTGGTACATTTTATCATACTTGAATGGTATTTGATCTATCGATCCACAATTCTTTGCGGTGTCAGCGTTACCTTCACGAGACATGCGAGACTTTGTGGTAAGCTATCACCAGCGCCATTGGATCGCAAACTTCCTATACAGGGTGTATAAAAAAGGTAATCCAAAAATACTTGGCTAACATGTAAAGTTATGTATGCACCAAAATCTCTATCATACCCCTTTTAGGCCAAACAAAAAATAATAGTCGGTCTCTGGTCAGTGCATGCGTCGATTTTAATCATGCGCGTCAATCTTTTTTTCTTAAAAAAAAATGTTCCGCAGTAGCTCTATAACAGCGCCCTCTATTGCCGCATCTCCTCAAATGTTTGTACCAAAGAGAACCAGGGAATGGGAAATTGCACCAAGGCAAATGATGGAGGGCACCAAGGCAAATTATGGAGGACACCAATTTACATGAGCACACCAAAAAGCAAAACAGTCACTCACCTTGTCTGTACAATCAAAGCTTTAAAAAAAACAAAAACAAAAACAAAAAACAAAAAAGCCGCGTCGCCGCATCAATTCCGGAACTTTGGTCTGACCAGAGACCGAGTATTTTTTTTCTGTTGGCCTTAACGCGCTGTCCACAGCGACAGCGCATTCTTCCGACAGTTTAATTAGCCACTTATTCAGCAAACTTAAAAAAAAACCAGGGATTTGACATTTGTTTTGAAATCAGTGGTGCTCGGTCAGTCATGACTGAAGAAATGCAGATAAGATATCAGTTTCAAAGTAATGAACTAACCTGGAGCCACTTGGACAGTGGTCAAGTAGTTCATAACATTTTACATATTAACCCATTATTTTTGGATTACCTTTCTCTTGATACACCCTGTATAACTTGTTTGAAACTTTACTTATGAATAGTCCGCGTTTGCTAAAAAGAATTCAAGCTAGTCTAATTAAACTTATATATTTTGCCCAAAGGTTGATAGCAATTAAACGAACGCTTCACTAAAAAAAACAACCTAAGTCAGGGGCGGATCCAGGATTTTTTGCAGGGGGGGGGGGTTTCACAGCAAATCAATGCTGAAATGGAGACAGGATTTTTTCTCCGGACACTTGGCCCATAATACCCACTTAATCCAGCTGGCTTTGTTTGAATTTTGTGCACGGCGGACGGGGTGTCAGAGCAGGGAGGGTTTATGGAGCCCGGGGAGGGACAGGGTGGAATTTTTTTTTTGTAATTTGCTAATTCGTTCGCACGAATTGCTAACTCGTTCGCACGAATTACTAATTCGTTCGCACGAATTACTAACTCGTTCGCACGAATTGCTATTTCGTTCGCACGAATTGCTATTTCGTTCGCACGAATTGCTATTTCGTTCGCACGAATTACTAACTCGTTCGCACGAATTGCTATTTCGTTCGCACGAATTGCTATTTCGTTCGCACGAATTGCTATTTCGTTCGCACGAATTGCTAATTCGTTCCCACGAATTGCTATTTCGTTCGCACGATTTCCCATTTCGTGGGAACGAATTGCTAACTCGTGCATCCGGGAACGCGTTAGTAATTCGTGGGAACGAATTGGTAATTCGTGGGAACGAATTAGCAATTCGTGGGAACGAATCAATTCGTGGGAACGAATTAGCAATTCGTGGGAACGAAAAAGCAATTCGTGCGAACGAAAGAGCAATTCGTGCGAACGAAATAGCAATTCGTGCGCACGAATTAGCAATTCGTGCGAACGAATTAGTAATTCGTGGGAACGAATTGGCAAATTACAAAAAACAATTCCACCCTGTCCCTCCCCGGGCTTCATAAGGGTTCACTTAAGGGCTCACATAATTTTTAATGTATCTCTAGTGGAAAAACTTGTGGTTGCCCCCCGCCCCGTTGGATCCACGCCTGTAAATCCTTACACGACGGTTTTTTTCTTATTTAAAATCAAAATGTAAATTATATCCAGAAAGGTTTGGAATGCATCAATAGTTTGGATAGGAAATTTTATTTTCACTACACAAAAACTTAGAATATTGGAAATATATACACAGGCATCTTAGCTCAAAGTATGTCTTTGTATGGAAGCAAATATGTACAGGCATGCACAATACTATACATAACAAGAACAGTATCTCGCGTTATGTAACCGACGAACGATACTTTTTCACATTTAATCCGTGACTCTATCTGAGAAAAAGGAGAAAACATAATGCATAAACATAATGCAGCATTTTGCGCATTATACGGATAAAGCAAATTTACATGAGTTTAAAATGTGCCCATTCTCATCGAAACACGGATTTAACGAATTCGATTTCTTTTCACCCGACCAATTTTTAACTTGTGTGTTTATTTTTAAAAAAAAACATTGATCTTCTTACTCTCATCAGCCTGAAAAGGGGGCATTTATACTTGTGCACACGAACAGATTCTCCCAGGACCTTGGCTTTTTAGTGTGACTATTACAATTTACAGACTCCATCTTCATATTTAGCTGATTTTACAATATATTGTAAGTTACACGGACTCGGCTATAGCAGTTTAAGGTGGTATAGCAATTAAAGGGGCACATCGTCTTGGATTGGATCGATAGCTCTAAAACGCTTTCCATATATACGAAATGCGAAAGCACTACCATTTAATACATTACACAACTTAACCTTCAACATTGCGGTTTTCGTGTAATTATCGGGAGAAAGAAATCCGGGGTATATACAATTTGGCTCTTAAACTAGGAGCACTTGCGGAAAATGCTGTATTGCGTGATGCAGTGAGGATGAGGTTGCAAATTGATGGGCAGAAATTGACATGATTTCTCCATGTGCGACAAGGTTTTTTTTAGTTATTCTTTATGCTAATTTTCTTTCCCTGTATATCAAAACGATTTTGCAGACAAAAACGATGAGGGGGGAATACTCTCATGACATATTCACAACCCATCCCCCCTCTATTAGGGGCCATTCAGAATTTTCAGTGTTTTAAAATTTCGACTTTTTTTCCAAATTAGTTTGACCCACCCACCCACCCCTAATTTCGATTAATAAAAAACTGAACATGTACATGTACATGCACTTGCATGTACATATACTTGAACATGAACATGTATACCCATGTACATGTGTGTGTCTAATTCAGTGACGGCGTGAAGTTGTCGGTCTTCCTCTTTTGCACTGGTGACCTTCAGTTTTCGTGTGTTTTGCCAGCTGATATGCTGTTGGGAATGACAGGTTGCAGTTTTGGAAGCCACAAAGATGACCGTGGTTTTGTCGTTTTCTGGATGAGGTGGATGACATGTGACATACGAGGTTGTGCCTGTCACGCGAGGTAGCTGAGAAAAACATTCACTCGTACCCCCCTCCCCCCTGTTTGCAGGGCGGGGGGGTACGAGCGAAAGAAAAACATCAGGTTTGGGCAGACATCACATCACAGGCTGCATCCTCGTAGTCTTGGAGTCCAGTGGTTGAATAGTCCAGTTTTTATAGCGATTGGTAATCGACGCCCGAGGCATGTTATAGAGCCGATCAAGTACACATGGTACCCTGCTGCCTCTGCACGGCCTAACCGCTACAAACGCCCGGCGTCCAAGTCTACTGAAAAACCACCTCCCTCTCATGCCACAGTGGGTCTGAATCCTCCAATTTCAATATGATTTTGCACACCCCTAGGGAGTTAGGGCTATACACGTACATGACGTACATGTACAGTATATGCAGGGGACGAAGTTGCAAAAAAAACACGCATCGCGATATCGGAACGCTTGCGCGTAGTTCAGGCAAGTCAAAAGATCTATCTTTGTTTTGTTTTTGTTTTTTTCTTTTTTCCATGGAAAGTGAATTTCGATTTTCAATTATTTAGCTTGACCCACCCACCCACAATTTGGAAAAAAGATCGAAATTTTAAAACATTGAAAATTCTGAATGGCCCCTTACGCCCGTATCAGAATAGAGCGATGTTTGGTTGAATTTGAATGAGGTCGGCCAAACGGATGGGAACATGCCCAATCACCTTTAAGTGTTATATTCCACATTCTCAATATCCGGTATTTCTTGCGGCATGCTGACAAAGGAGGTCCCCAATGGTGTTTGCCAGCCTAGCTCCCTGCCGCACTGTTAGGTATCCAAGCTCTGCATGATAAAACACTTAAGTGCCAACCAGTCCTTGAAATCATCCACACCTAGAATCATCTGCAATGATTCGTCGTTGCCTTTTCTACTCAGATCACACAGTGTTTTGCCATCAATACCTTTACTCCTGAACGTATCAACCATTTGGCGACCAACCTTCAGGTACTGCAGAAGTCGGACCATGTCACTCAGTCCGTAGGCCGATATGTTGCCATCTTTGGGCGGTACCTCTGTAAAGAACACCATGAAACATGATCAGTTTTTGTACAAGAAACCCCGAATAATGCTGCAATTCTCTTACTGTGCTTCGACTACTTTCAATTAAAGGCCTTATAGATCGCAGTTAAAACTTCTGCAACCAACCTGTACCTACATCCTATATACAGTTCAGAGTTAACTTTGCGCACTGGTAATTCCACAAGGAATACAAACGCAAAGTAAAATACCCAATGAAACCGATTATGAATGGTAATTTATGGGCGATTGAATACCAACACCACGCAAACACTTGCTCCTAGATAGTCAAACAAAATTTCCTTTTTAAAAACTTCAAAGTGTATTTCCTTAAAACAAAATTACCATGCCATAGTTTTTTTTCTTGAACATTGAATGGAAAGGGAGGAAGTCACGGGAAACGATGTAGCGAGACCCACTCGAGGCTCGTGAGAGTGTCTCCCGCTCCAGGTTCGGAATTACCACCCAACCGACCAAGTGGTCCCCCTCTAAAAGTTAAAGATGTCAGCCCCCTCACAGAAAGTGGAACCAATGATATGTCATTGGTTAAGATTAATTTCTTCATAAACGAAATCAAAATATGAAATATATGATAGTGATTTCAAACGAATAGGTGGCATTGGCAGAATATTATTTCAGATTTCGTTAATTTCAGTCTGAGTATGAGGGTGTGTTGGCATTGATGTCCTAATTTACCAGATAGTTGCAACACGCTGCGACAGTCTATTTGGTATGACGTACCTTTTCCCCCAGGAAGCGGTGATTTGTCACCCGGTTTCTCGTAACCATCACCGGGTCTTTCGTAGTCGTCACCATCAGAGTCCGTCTCGTATTCTGCACCTACCGTACATATAAAAAAAAGAAGTAATAATTCATACATTGTTAAACATTCCATTTTTGTTTGTCCTGAAGAATTTATCGATTCGCATGTTTTATTCTTGTTTAAACACTTTTTATCAATTTTGGGACTATGTAACCGTCTGAAAATAGGCTTTATTGTGTTGCTTTTGCGTCGCTCATTCACAAAAGATAGGCCTACGCCTAAAAATTATCGGTGTCAAACAATTCAAAATTCGACATTTATATAAAGTAATCAAGCAATAACCGAACGAGGTAGATTTGTTGTTTGATGAATAATGTTGTTTTGCAAAATAGCCCGAAAAAAATATTTATTTCGGAGTATAAGCCCTACTCGAAAAAAACAAAACATTGACAGTATACGGATGTCAACGGGTTTGCTTTCTGGACGCCGATTTCCACAAGTCATGCTTGAGACGAATTTCCCACAAACTATAGACTAAGCTATAATTACATGTGCTGCACCAATCATGGAATCTATTAGTGCAAATTTGAAATGGATATTAACAATAAAGCCCAATGACATTCCGGAAGAAATTGAAGTATTTATTAATACAACTTTAAAAGCAACCGGGAAAACATTAAGCCTATTATCATTTTTAAAGGAATTTTTTTGGGTGAATGAGTCCATATAGAGTTGGAAGCAACATATTGATTGGCTGGTATAGAAACGTCCACGACACCAATGCATGCCCCGTGTACTTACTATGACAGGGCCGCGTCACGACACCAATGCATGCCCCACGACACCAATGCATGCCCCGTGTACTTACTATGACAGGGCCGCGTCACTTCGTAGTCTGGAGTTTCATCTTGTACCCTGACACCTTCTTTGCCAACTTCTTTATCTGTAAATAAATCAAACTGTTGGGTCAGGTCGCGGTTGACTCTATAGTAAGATGAGGATGGGGTGCCAGTGAGGTTCACAGAACTTGCTGGGAACAAACTTGGCTTTGCGTGCCCACTTCAGTGGGACGTTAGCGCACTTGGAACGTATTTTGTTACATAAGTATAGACCATTATCATGTTGCAGCCATTTGATTTTTTTCCCATTCAATACAGTGTAACCAAAGCGAGGCTGGAAGGAAAAATAATCTGGTTCCTTTTTGCACAAAAAAAACACATTCGCATTCAGTACTAGTGTTATTGGACACAGTAGGGAATATGACAGAAATGGTGGCAGCATGGTAAATGTCTAATACACGCCAACATCATTTTGCCTGGGACAAATAATGAAAACCTCCTTCTGTCTTTTTCATACTGTTAATTACGTCAGAATGACGTAGCCCCCCGAGACAAAATGTATATTAAATGAAAGATATTTCCATGCTTTATCGATTTCCCGAAAAATCCGAATTTGACCTGTTGACCAATGTTTTGCCCTACCGATCTTCTTACCCGGCGAGGTTGGGCTCAGTCTGCAGGACCGGGAGGTCCTGGGCAAAAGGATTGTGCCGGCCATGCAATAACAACATCAAAAACACTTTCCCCGATTTTCCACATGTATACAGTGTGGATAAAAAAAAACCCGAAACCGAGAGATTATTGCTAATTTGAACAGAAGTAGGACACAATGTGAATCAGAGGGAGATATCCTCTATATTAGGATAAGCATGCAATTTGCAATAATATCTCGGTTTCGTTTTTTTTATCCACCCTGTATAGGCCTATTGTTGTCGACCGTCTTAATGCTGATTAGCCTAAAATTCATCCAATAGACTATTGTTACACTGAAAAACTGCCTGGGTTAATTTTACCAAAGAAAGGGTGAAAACTGTAACTATCCAAACTTCGGTTGTTCTATTACCAATTGATTGGGTTAAAATTTCTGCTAAATTCAACCAAAACTTTGGTCATTCAAGACCAAATTTAATTTGGTCTTGTATGACTACAACTTTTGGTTGAATTTAACATAAAGTATAACCCAAACAATTGGTTATAGAACAACCCAAGTTTGGGTAGTTCCAATGTTCACCCTTTCTTTGGTAAAATTAACCCAGGCAATTTTTCAGTGTAGTATTACTTTAATTAAAAAAATGTCATGGAAAACTAGAGAAAAGTCTTAGTGTCATAATGTTACGGTCCGAAATTCAGAAAAGGTGATGTCCGGAAACTGGACACAAAATTGTGCGAACCATTGCCTATTCGCTCGTACCCCGTACCCCGCCCTGCAAACAGGACGCTGGGATACTCTGATGAGCTTCACATAATCTTGTGAAGGAAGTGGCCTATGACCTATGTATAAAGCATCTGGCTGCAGCTGTTGAAGACTGCAGTCGGGCAATGTACGCAAATGCTATCCAAAAACGTCCCATAGAAATGCACACGTTCCATACTGGATGTGATTTCTGTTTCACTGCGGACCATGTGGACAAAATTTTGAGCGTCGCATAATGCAATCCGACCGTTCGTGATTCGAAACGGAGCCTGAACAGGTGACGGGAATTGTAAATGTACAACACAGATAAGTTTTACAGAATTTCTTACATTATTACGCTTTTTTCAACGAAAAACAAACATCTCAAAACTGGAATAAAAGAATGAGTAAGTCTTAACGGCCATTTCAAACTTTTCAGAACAATCATATGACCGTGATGACGCGCAGGTCACAGGTCACGCAAAATCCAACTAATCAGAGCGTGAATTCATCAGAGTATCCCAGCGTCCTGTTTGCAGGGCGGGGGGTACGAGCGAAATTCTGTCACACTTGAGCAAATGTCAAGCAAGGTATTCTTTAAAATCTACAAATGATGATAAATCGTACGTTTCCTAAATGAGTTATCACTGAAAAATATGTTTGTCTCAAGTCTTTTGCAGCTAGGGCGCATTCAAAGGGTTCAAAATAAAAGCGTTCGAAAAGTGAACGTTTGCTTTCTTTTGTCAGAACAGTAGAAACTCAGATCGAACGTTAACGTATCCGAGGTTTCCATTTTGGTCGGAAAGTGGCCATCAGCTTCCCCTTTCAAAGTAGAAAGGCCGTAGACCATTTTTGCAACAACCTTTTTTTTTAGTTCTCCGGTTACCATGCAGAAAAGCAGGTTAAGCTGTACTTTAGCGACCGAAAACTGGCCAATTGCCTTTCGAAATTACCTTGTCGTTACCCTGGCTGACGAGAAGTCGACATCTGCTTTTCTTTTGCTTGAGGAGCAGATATTCAGATCGAACGTTTACGATGTTTCTGTGTTTCTGCTGCTCGAAAAGCATGTTTAACCAAGGCTACCGAAAAGTTGCCGTCTGCTTTTCTGCTTTCGGAAAAGCAGATTGAACCTTGTGCAACCAACTGACTTTTCTACTATTCTCCTTTATCAGCTACCGGAAAAGTATACTTTCCGGTAGACATAAAAAAGCAGAAAAACTTTACTGCCAACTCAGTAAAATCTGCTCTTCTGGTATACTATAGCATACTTGAATTGCCGAAAATCAAGGTCAATCTGAATTTCTGCTTGCAGAAAATTGTCTCCTCGCACAAGGGGAAAATAGATGTTTACTTACCGTCTGCCAGCACGGAGTGGTATAGCCTTAAATAGAAACATCGGTCTTGAACTGTCGCCATTACGTTTAAAGACCGATTTCAAAAGAGAGCAAAATTACAGCCCTATTTGCAAGGCTAATGGAGAGGACATCTGCATCTTATCTCATTTCAGAAAAGCAGAAAAGGCGATCTAACGTTTTGACAACAACCGTGTAATCCACTTTTCTGCTTTTCATACACTGGAAAAGCAGATTTTACCTCAGCTGTGGCTGTGATTTGAATTCGAATTGAGTTCGACGTTGGGGTTTAGGTTTAAATTGGTGTTGGGGTTCAGGTCGAGTTGGACTGGCGCATAAACATTACATTACCACCTTACTTTGAGTGGGCAGCGTCACCTCGTAATCGCCAGCACGATCATCTCTGCAGTCTTCCTTTCCAACCAATTTATCTGCAATAAATCATACAGATTGCCAGGTTAAATTCCGAGTGAGGATTTGGAGATATGCTTTGATTTGGGTTGGGTTCATCTATGAGGTTGAGGTTCGCGGTGGAGGATTTCTTTGGAGGATTGGAGTTATGTTTGATCTGGATTGGGTTCATCTATGAGGTTGAGGTTAGCGGTGGAGGATTTCTGTGGAGGATTTGGAGTTATGTTTGATTTGGGTTGGGTTCATCTATGAGGCTGATGAGGTTAGCGGTGGAGGATTTCTGTGGAGGATTTGGAGTTATGTTTGATTTGGATTGGGTTTATTTATGAGGTTGAGGTTCGCGGTGGAGGATTTCTGTGGAGGATTTGGAGTTATGTTTGATTTGGGTTGGGTTCATCTATGAGGTTGAGGTTCGCGGTGGAGGATTTCTTTGGAGGATTGGAGTTATGTTTGATCTGGATTGGGTTCATCTATGAGGTTGAGGTTAGCGGTGGAGGATTTCTGTGGAGGATTTGGAGTTATGTTTGATTTGGGTTGGGTTCATCTATGAGGCTGATGAGGTTAGCGGTGGAGGATTTCTGTGGAGGATTTGGAGTTATGTTTGATTTGGATTGGGTTTATTTATGAGGTTGAGGTTCGCGGTGGAGGATTTCTGTGGAGGATTTGGAGTTATGTTTGATTTGGATTGGGTTCATCTATGAGGTTGAGGTTAGCGGTGGAGGATTTCTGTGGAGGATTTGGAGTTATGTTTGATTTGGATTGGGTTCATTTATGAGGTTGAGGTTCGCGGTGGAGGATTTCTGCTCAAGATTGAGTTTGCTTACATTGGTTTTCTACAGGAGCCAGTGGTAATGCACGTTGCTGTGGATGACGAGATGTCGGAGACCTCGGAGGTGTTGGAGACGTTGGAGACGACGGCGCTTTGTTCCCAGGGTAGCGAAAGCTGTGTAACCTAACGCTTCAACAATGGCAATATAGAATTTAATTATATAGGTTTAAATAGCAGTGCGTGCCGTGAAAGCCTTTTTTTAAGGCCTAGAAACAGATTGGGAAAAAAACGTTTGCAGGTTTACAAACGGTGTTTATGCTTTTTCAACATCAGAGTTGGACAATATCTCCCTACTCAGGACAAAGCTTTTACTTTTGTCATTTTAAGTTGATGAACATAGGCCTACATGCACAACTTCAATATCAAAACAGCCTTGTTTTTGTTAAGAATTTATTATCTCGTGACCCGAATTAATTTTGTTGACTTGAATTTATGTCAACAAAATTCCGAAACAGCGGACTGTGTTTGTCCACAAACATCTAGTTTTCATTGCATTTTTTTGCGGGGGGCTAGACAAAGGTTGCCCCCTTGCCCCGTCAAACCGCGCCTGATATTTACCTCTGAACTATTAGGATCAGTCGGTCAGCCAAAAACTAAAAATCTTAAGAAAATAAATTTCAAGTTGCACCCATATAGAAGGCTAAATTAAATGATGCTATATTGCAAAGTGCTTTTTGCTATAAAGTTTTGTTTATTGAAATGAGTTTGTCATTAGTTGAACAAAATAATACAGCCATATTTGGCAAGATGTAGTCGACTAACTGCACCAATCCCCTCAGCAGCGTATCCAGCTTTTGATGTCGGGGGGCAACCGCACATCCGCGCCGAAATGTAGACATGTTTTCTTCTCCGGACACTTGGCCTCCGTAAAATCAAGGGGGGGGGGGGGGGGCTGGTACCCATTTTCCAAATGGGGGAGCTCTCCAAAACTGACCATTATTATGCATACTACATATTGTATGGACATTTTCACGGTGCGTTGTAATGGTTGTTGAGGGGTTTTTACTATTCTATGCGAGGCAACACACCCGCATCTTCTGGGATTGCACTGGTTATTATAGGCCGTTCTTTGCGTAAAAGTCGCTCTAACACAGAGTCGGCGGAACTGGAATTTGGTATTCATATTTTTTTTTCACTTGTTAATATTTTTGTTAGTTGGGGTCTTAGACAGAGCCGGCGGTAATAAAAAAGTGTCGTGCTTTTTCCTATACCGGGAACCCAAATAGGTTCGGTTGAAAATGAGAACCATAATACAAAGGGATGCCCTAATCGCTTATACGCATGCGTACATAAATTATGCTTCAAGAGTGTCTATTTTCGTTTCATGCGGTGGGATTGGAATACAGGAAAAGGACACACTGAAACAACACAAAACGAAACATGAATAAGGGAAGTTAAACAAAAAATAAAATGGAAAAAAAAAACTTCCGCGACGAAACGGTCAATTTTCTTTTCCCCTTTGTTTTAGCAAACCGAATGTATTATTTATGTCCTTCGTTTGAACAATCGAAATGCTACAAAACTGTTCTTTTTTAAATTACGAACACCAAAGATGTTCCAGGAGTCACCTCAGCGCACAGCCTGCATCAGTTTCGATCTGGTGTCCGTTTGATAAAGTGTACTAAAAGAGTGCACCGGTAAACTGTACTAAAGGAAATGTCTGAATCGCCATTGCACTCTCATGACATTTAGAACTGAAACACGGAAACAAGGGAATAGACAGACAATCAGCAGATCAAGACTATATATGCAGCGACACAGCATCGAGCAAAGCATCTCTGAAAAAGTTGATTTGAGTTGGGTGATGTACGCGTTGGATCACAGCCCGATCCTACGGAAACATTAAACTATTACGACATTCCACGTATGATTTAAAGAGCTATCTCTAAACTTGAACTAAAGCAAGACCAATCCATTTTGATAAAGGTGAACAATTCACCCATTATAAGTCTAGAAGCCACTCAGGATAAAGAGCTCAGGCATGCAACTAGGAATTTAACAACAAAAAATGAGGAAACTCCAAACCACACAAGACTTTGTACAGTATTTTTCAATTTGTAATGGCATTCATCATGAGAAGAAAAAAAAAAACGAGGAAATCAGCGGGTCCGAGGAAAAGTTGCATGCCTGGGAGCTATTAAAGAAAAGCGAAGGGGGACAGAAACAGAAAAGGAATTAAAAGAAAAAGTACACCGATACGAAAGAAAACAATTATTATATATATTTGTTTGTTTTTTAAAATTATTACAACCAAAAACCCCTGTTGTTCGTTTATTACTGAAAAAACCTTACCGAGTTGCACATGCGGGCCTATGATCATGAAGGTCTATTCAAAGGCAATTTCATTGTATGCATTTCGTAAGCATTCCTGTTACGAAAATTATTAAAACTTGGCTTTTAGTTTTCTGACAATGATCAGAAAATTAGTCCATATTGATGGAATGAACATATACGTATAATCAAACTCGAAAAGTGATTGTTGAACATGTGAATACGAAACAGAAGCAACCGATCCATTTGTAAAAACTGCAAGTTAGAATCGCAGTGTTGAATATCCAGGGTGGATAAAAAAAAAACGAAACCGAGGTTTTATTGCTAATTGGAACAGAACATGTGAATCAAAGGGAGATATCCTCTATTAGGGTGGACTCTCCTCTTTAAAATGACACTCTGATCATGCCCTTACATTCACGGTTGACTGAGCAGTGACAATTTTATGAAAGGGTCTATTTTATGAAAGGGTCTATTTAGAGAATTGCGCCACTTTTCACGGCGAAATCTCTTTTTCCCGGTCCCCCACCTGCCTTGATTGGCAATCATAGCCTTTCACACGCAGATTCGAAATAGACCTTTCATAAAATTGGTCGCTGCTCAGTCAACCATGAATGTAAGGGCATGATTAGGGTGTCATTTTAAAGAGGAGATTCAACCCTAACAGAGGATATCTCCCTTTGATTCTCACGTGCCATACTTTTGTTCCAATTAGCAATAATATCTCGGTTTCGTTTTTACTATCCACCCTGTATAACCATTTGTATCTATACTTGTGAGGTATAAACACAAGGAATTAAACTTGTGTATCGCCATAAGAAACCAATTAAATTAAAACACATTAATTAACTAACACACAATACTAACCCAGCAAGAATAGTTGTCACTAGTGATGGACGCTTGGAAGTTCGTGTAGGTGAAGGTGACGATTGGTCTTTTCTTGGAGATAAAGGTGACGATTGGTCTTTTCTGGGAGGCAAAGAAGGTACTTCTTTGTCTTTGTCTTGTTGCGTGGCCTGGATGAGATGAATGGGTTTTGGGGGTCTAGGCGGCGGTTTACCACTTGATACAACTGGCATGGTCTCGTGTCTCTCATCAACGCGTCTTGGAACTGGGGGAGGTATCTGCTCATACGTCTGTTCCTTGAAGCTGTTTAGTTGCCTTTCAGAAATTCTCAGGATGTTTGTGTTAAGTGAAGGAAGCTCGTCCCGTCTGTGGACATCTATGGTTGGTTGAGTTATTGATCGTACTTGAAGCTTGCTGAACGCAGGTATGTAAATCATGTCATCATCGCCAGACGTCTGCTGATTTGTGTTCAGCAGCTGACAAACTGTCACACTGAATTGACGTTGACCAATTATCTTCAGAGGGGACATATTAATGAGTACATCATCATTTGCGTCTGCAAGTTCTTGTGATTGAGGGCTCACATTTGGCCGAGACAGCGTTACCTCAAGAGGCAAGCTGAGCGCCAAGATCTTAGACACAGCACAGTCTCCTAACAATTTGGCATTATCGTGGAAGTTGGCTTTAGCGAACGTTGGCACAGTGATAGTGCCTACTTCGCCAACCAAAGAACGACTTCTATCCATCTGTACAACCTCGCAATCGTCATTTGGACAACAATATGGCTCTGGCTCAAAACTGGTCAATCTGACGACGTCATGTTGGTACAAATTATCCAACTCTTCCGGGACTTTGTATGTTGTCTCTACGTGGACTTCTTTACAAATGCGCGCTTGTAATAGGTCTTCCACGGTGCTCCAGGTATTCCCCAGGACCTAAAAGGAATTCGTGTTATACTCGGTTCTAATAAACGTTGAAGCACAAAAAACACCCACACACCCACTCTCAAATTTGTATCCTTGTGGACACATTCCTTTGTTCTCGTGTAGTAAAGTGTTCAATTTTGAAAGTGAAGTTTCAAAATGCTCTTATTTTAACCAGAATTAGTTTCCTTGGCTGAAATTTGGACTTAATATCCCTTTTCTAAAACTCTTCCATTTGCGACTGACCAACCCACCTTGGAAATTCCTAGTTTTTGAGTAAAACCCATATATCTATTTCGTGAAAACCTTGTGGAGACCTATTCATCTATAGAAATTGCCCTGTGGAGACTTTTACAATGTTTTGTTCCCTATTGTGTGTGTGTCTCCACAAGGATACAAATGTGTAGTCACACCCACACACTTGCATTCCGAGTACGAGTACGAGTACTTCTATTTCCGAATCAACTTTCAGCCCCCCCCCTCCCTCCCCCACACACACACACACACACAAATAACGCGACCCCCCCCCCCCCCCCCCAAAAAAAAAAACGGTCTGTATATAATTAAAATGAGATTATTATTATTTTACAAATTTCAGATTTTGTTTACAGCCCGACAATATTTCGGTACCGTCGGGACACCGCCTCCACTTTACAATCGCTAATGTAGGCGGGGTCCGGGACCCGGTCCACTCACAAGGCGCGCATGTATTTTGTGCGCAATTTCAGCAAACGGCATTTAGTCTTTTTTGGATTGAGCATACACAGTGGCGTAGCCAGGAATTTTTCAGTGGGGGGGGGGGCGTCAATCGCTTCTCAAAAGTGGGGGGGGGGGACATAACTTGATCAGAACTGATGCGAGCGCGAAGCGCGAAGCCCTTACGACGTGGGGGTTCGGGGCCCGCTTAAGGGCCCCGAAAAAAATGGATTCTCGATGCTCTGTGGTGTGATCTGAGGCAATTTCTCACCACTTTAACCAATAATTTTCTTAGCACAAAAGATAAAAATGTAAACATAATTTTCGAGGTTTTCTCAGCTAAAGGCATTAGAAAAAAAAATTGAACATTGTTTTCGAGGTTGGAGTCATTGAATCAGCTACCAGAATTCTGAGCTATAGGCGTGCGGTTCGGGGCCCGCTTAAGGGCCCCGAAAAATTGTGGATTCTCAATGCTCTGTGGTGCTATCTGAGGCAATTTCTGACCACTTTAACCAATATTTTCTAAGCAAAAGATACATTGTAGTACATAATAGGGCCCTGTAAATGAGACACGAGTTCAAAAATCTGGGGGGGGGGGACATTTGATATCGTGTCCCCCACCCTTCAAAAAGTGTGGGGGGAGGGGACCAGTCCCCCTGTCCTCCCAGGATTGACGCCCATGGCGTCATGTAGATCAATGATAAATTGTTTTAGAAACTCAACATCTCAGTGGGGGGCGACTGGGTTCCCCCCCCCCCACCCCACGCCCCGCCGTGGCTACGCCACTGATTTCAAGGAATTTTAATTGGTCTATTATTATTATTTAGCTTATATGAATGGAGGAAAAAGTTTGTGTGTGGCCGATTCGCGTGATATCGCTGACTGAAACTGTGTGACCCACGGATCACCTGTCTATAATACGTGTTTCGTGGTGTGAGCGAGCAGTGCAGTGGGTGTTAATACGCATTTTAGATTATCATTATGCGCTATGTCACGCCGGTTGTCAGCTTACTGGTCCGCGGTCGCCGGTCGAAGGGTCGTTTCTCAGTGGTCATCATGTGGATCATTCGCGACTATTTAGATTTAGATCAATGATAATTTTTTTAGAAACTCAAAATCTCAGTGGGGGGGGGGGGCGACAAGATTTCATGGGGGGGGGGCGGACGCCCCCCGGTGGCTACGCCACTGCCCATACATAACCACAATCGGAAAAAGTTTAATCGCTAAAATAAAGCATGAAAGTATAAAACTCATCAGGAAAAATAATTACAATTTGTTGAAGATAACGGACAGTCTATCTTCAGTATTCGCACTAGCCTACGAGACATCAAAACACCGTTTAAAGAATCAGAAATTAAATTCCAGAAAATATGCACGCTGCGATACAGACACTAGACTTAAAACTAGTGCCACTAAAAACATCTTTTATAATGTGGGAAAATCCTACCTTGAAAAGTGAAGGATAGGTCTTAGGAATAAGAACCCCCGTGCCACCTCTTCCCTTGGCGATAGCGTAGTCAGAGGTCTGGGAGTTGCAGACCAGTAAGATGGTGTCTTTAGGGCATCCAGGGACCGTACTCTCATCATCAACTACTACTGCAACCTTCATGGATGCAGGAGTTGCTACCTTGGCAAGTTCATGAACATCCACCACAGGTCCAATCTTCTTTCCCCAGTCTTTCCTCGGATACACAAAGACATCAGTAGTCACGGGAATTTGAATTACTCGGTCCGGATGTTCCCAAGGACAGGCTTCCACCACTTCAATTTTACTCAAATTCATTTCCCCGTTAAAATCAGGGTCTAACCCAGGGATTCCGTGAAACTTGCCTCGAATTCTCTGACCCTCATCATGAACGAGACGAACACGTTGTGGCAGTCGTTCATAAATACTATCCAGGCTTACAATGATGTGCGATTTGTCGATTTTCTTGGCGAAGGAGTCCTTCAGGTCACCGGACAGTTTGACGGTTCGACCTGATCGTACGTTCTTGCACTGAATGCTTGGCCTTCCAACCAGGGTACTTCTCGTCAGTAATTTCAAACGATCACCAACTTTGATGTTGAGATCCTTATCTGGCTTTACTGCACGAATATACTCGGGAAAATCTAGAATCATTTGATCGAGTGTTTTATAGACGTAGCCATCCTTAAACGAAGATAGAACCTCGAACTGAGATTCACTAAAGTGTCTGTCGACTGTAAGTAGCCCCTTTTTGCTTGGCCCAGCATACACGGAATCGAATGTAATGTTGACTTCCTCTTTGACGGTTAGAATGCGGAGGATGTCGCCCCTGGAAAAGTCTCTCACCTCACTATCCTTCTCGATTGAGCCATATATCCCATCTGCTATTTCAACAACTGCAGGAAGCTGGGATTTGTGCTTTTCAACAAAACTGAGAAGACTTTCTGGCGTATCAGAAGCAGCCATGGCGCACAAAAATGTGACAATTAGACGGCAAGAATATTACCAATTGCCTAGGATTCACTGTGCACAACACTCGTACAGTCCGATAACATGTTTTATTCCATTTCATTTCCGTCTATGACGTTCACTCGTTGCACCATTTCCTGAACTTTGTTCCTTTTCTACATCAGTGATCTTGAACCGACCTTTGTTATGCTTATGAACGTGCTATTGAATGTTATAAAAAGAACTTAGTTTACGGTTGGATACGAAGAAAGGTTAAGCTGTGGCAGATTCAAGTTCGATTTATAGCCATAAACTATTTAACATTCAACTCGTCTATCGGAACAGTATCAAGTTCCAAAAAATACCCCAATATATAACGCATACGGCTAAAGACCGTGTCCCACTTTATGAAAAAAAAGACAATGAATGTTGTATAGGCCTAGTCACATGATACTGACTCAAAAAAATAATTACAAAAAATAAATTCTTACCCGCGTTGGGACTGCACTGGCGATCCAAGCTCCCTCAGTATTTTAAGAGCGTTTCTAATCGACCTGATTTGACTTCACTTCATCTACAAACTTAATACGGATATTTTTTTCCATCAAATACGATTAAGGAGTGGTCGTTCGCTTGTATATTGGTGGATTATGTGATGTCGCGACTCGCGAGGTATTCTTCCTATGACTGTATAGGCCTAAGTGCACATAAAAGAAAAACACATCAATTTGCATTATCGGCAAATGACAAGAGTCAAGACGCTCCAGAGTCCAATATTACGCCTGACTCGTAATTCAAATCTTTGGAATTTGTACGGTGTGTGATGGCTTTCTGAACTGGGGATAAAACCGGCTTTTAAAATTTCCGTTCACAAAGTTGGGAAAAACAAACATTGAACTACTGCAATATTGTGTGGGCAGTACTGGGCACGCACAAGCACTAACAAACTGAAATCTCTTATTACCGTACAGAAAAGGGCTATTCGTATTTGCACACTGTCCCATCCTCGTGATCACACAGCACCCTTGTTCGCCAGATTACACACACACTAACAATCACCGACATTAATAAACTTCAAACTGGTATAATAATGTACAAATATACTAATAACCTTCTTCCTCGCACTTTCTCCTCATATTTCACCTCAATTAACGATATTCATCAATACCATACTAGATCACATAATAACTACTACATCCCTCTTGCACGCACATCATACGTAATGAACACTCTTCGTTTTTATGGACCTCGTCTATGAAATCGCAGTCCTCTGTTGGCCGATTTAAAACCACCCAGTATAGCATAGTTTGCTTTGTCTCTTGTTGGGTTTTCTACATTCATACCGATTGCTTTCATTGTGCTTTCTTTTGCTTGCATCATCCATTTTATAAACTGTGTCGTTGTATCACTAGTATGTTTCGTATGTCCGTCTGTATAGTTTATTAGTTTATGTCCACTTCGTTTGTTTGTCCGTTTCTGTTTTCATTGTTTTGTTGTGTTTCTTTGAATTTAGTCTTCCTTTTTCATTATTGTTTATATGTATATATATATATATATATATATATATATATATATATATATATATATATATATATATATATATATATATATATATATATATATATATATATATATATATATATATATATAGTTATATATATAGTTATATATAGTTATATTGTTGTGTTTAAGGCATTCCGTTTATAAGCTCCGGCTTCTTGTGTAATGCCTCCACTTAGTAGTTCTTATGTAACAATTGTTTTGTTTTCTAAAGTGCTCATTCATGTGGAAATAAATGTTTCTGAAATGAAATGAAATGAATTTCACGCGTTTGTGTACGCGACACCGTTAACGAGCGCGGCAAAAGGTGCCCCCAAAACCCAACTCCCTCATTTCTGGGCACGCTTCCAGAAACACCCACGATCCCTCCAATCCTATACCTCGAATTACAATCAAATTTCTAGAACCTATCATGACATGACACAATGTCGAACGTCCTCTAGAATCCAGCAACTTGTTACAGATACTATTATTGGAGACATAATGACGTTATGATTTGATTGCATTTGCGTTTTAAATGATGGGAACTTGATGGCTGTCGTCCGCGGGTACAAGCTTCGATCGACTCGAGTTTATTCGACTTGATTCGAGAGTCGAAGGTCCATCACCACTCGAGTCACGAAGAACTTCCAGGTCGGTTACACTGCACGTCAAGTTGTAAGCTGGCTTGTGCTCTATAATGTGTACATGAAGGCATATAGTCTGTCGTCACCCATCGCAACGATAAACCGGTGTCAATGCCAATACTTAAGCGTCTTCAGAAGATTATACCCATTCCAGCCTCAGACGTCACACAGTCGAACGTCATGCACCTAAAATGAACATATGCCATCGTACTCGACTCTGTCGACTCTGGGACAAGTTAAGCCAGTGAAGGCACAACAGGCAAGGCTAATGCCAAATATTAGTAAACTGTCACGATGAACAAGACGCCAATAATCTGTAACCCCGGCCCCACAACGTTGTGGCTTCCTCGCCTGATCTCCTGAACACACAACAGATACACCTTTTTACTTTGGAGTGGTGATATTGTGGTACATGTTCATGTACAAAGTCAGAAACTGCAAACTAAAAAAAGTAGTCCCGATTCTCATTTTTGCATGTGTTCGCCTGATTAGCTGTGGAACCTGGCTCACCACTTGTTAAAACAAATTAGTGTTTCTTAAAGTCGATGACACTTTTTTTGGCCGGGGGTGGGGGGTCATCAGTGAATCCAAACATTTCATTGCTATACAGTACACACCATCAATTCTCCTTCAGTCCTCCACCGCAGTTCCCTAAACATTAATCCTGCCCTAGTCCCAAACGACACATCCATCCTCAAACTCCCCACCCACTCCCCACCATTAGTTCTTACTCAATCCTTCCAAATTCAATCCTTCCTCTGTTCCCAAAACACCACAACATTCCCCAAGGACCCTAATAATAATAATAAGCATTTATAGAGCGCTCTTACACATAAGGTTTACAGCGCTTAACAGCAAAGTTAGTTACAGAAACTTAGACTCAAAACTGTGAAAACTGTGAAAGCAGATTAACGATTGAACAGAAAAGTCTTGACTCTTGAGACAGTTCTTGAACCCTTGAAGTGTTTGTGCTGAGCGCATTTCCCTTGGAAGACTGTTCCAAAGACGTGGGGGAACTACAAGCAGTGTGTTGTCTGAACCGGACCGAAGGCCAGGTCGTCTGGGGTGATACACGTCAATGAGAGTGGTGAGATATGAAGGGGCGTTGTTATGGAGACATGTGTAGACTATGATGAGGATCGTGAAGACGATTCGGTGGTGGGCCGGGAGCCAGTGAAGTTGATGGAGGAGAGGTGTAACGTGTTCAAACTTCCTACATTTGTGGATTAATTTGGCAGCACGGTTTTGAACCTGTTGCAGCCGCTGGACATCCGAGGACGAAATTCCTTTGAGCAAGGCGTTAGCGTAGTCAAGCCTAATTGAAGTGACGACAGCCCGACCCTTGTCTCTCTCAGTATACCCCAACACCAATTTCATTGCACTGTAGATGGGGTAATCTTTCAGGTGGCTGTGGAACTGGACCATTGTCAAACTGAAATCTTCTCCAGTGATCAGTTCATACACATTATCTGTTTAGGTTGATGGCTTTGAGGAGCATCCCCCATCAATTAGAAAAATGCGGTCTACTCGAATATTGAAACCAACGTACACAGTGAAAAAAAACATCAAGTCTCATTATTTCACACAGTTCAGAGGAATGGGTTTGCACACAATGTTTTATTGCCAGTTTCATTTCACGGAGTCTTTCAAAATGGACTGGTCAGTTTCAGATTCCATGTATGTTGGAGACACAACACAATGTGCCATCACTCCATCATCGGGAATATACCCGAGTATTAACCCTGACCATCCTCAATCCTCCAAAATCCTCCTTGTGGTTTTGGAGGATTGAGGCTGAATGATATTTTTCAGAAAAGGATTTTGGAGGATTGAGGCTGAATGGTATTTTTTTAGAAAAGGATTTTGGAGGATTGAGGCTGAATAGTATTTTGAGGCAGGACTCAATGACTATTTTGAACGATTGAGGGGCTGATGGGTACCCTTCATTTGAACATAAGTGCAACATTTTTGGATGAGGATTTTGGAGGATTGAGGATGAATGCATTTTGAGGCAGGACTGTCTGAAAATTTTGAAGAATTAAGGTGCGGTTGTAAAATTTTGGAGGATTTTGGAGGATTGAGGATGGTTCTTAGCAAAAAGGCCTAGAGGGTTAGGGTTCAAATCGTCACCGACACCACGAACTGACACCTGGTGGTCAGAGTTGCAGAAATACAAATCGGAGAAAAACGCTTTTAAAGGTTTGACACAAATTTGCTCAGTAAAATAATCCATCTATCTTAGAGGTTTTAGTATCACTTAGCGTGAAAATGCTTTAACTACTCATTTATAAACATTATATTGTGAAAATATGCTTAGTTAATTAGTAATTAAATGATTAAGACGGGTGTCAGTTCGTGAAAACGAAAATGTATGTGTTCTCGGAGAGTGCGCGCAAGCAATAGCGTTAGGGAGTGTCAGTTCGTGAAAAAAAAATTGACGTGTTTTGGGAGAGTGCGCGCACACACTGCGCATGCGTGCGCGCGCACTCTCCAAAAGCACGTCAATTTTGGTTTTCACGAACTGACACTCTCTAACGCTATTGCATGCGCGCACTCTCCGAAAACACATAAATTTTTGTTTTCACGAATTGACACCCTGTGCAGTGTTACTTTGTGGTAACAGAAAACACCAGAATTGACCAATTTCTTGAAAATTCATTGTAAAATTTGCTTATGTTAGATGATTTCAGCAATTTTAACTTCGTCATGTTAAACTTCGGCAAAAAAAGAAAATTTGAATTTTCAAATTTTTTTGTACACATGTGATGCAGAGGGTGTCAGTTCGTGGTGTCGGTGACGAAATATGCATATAGATGGAGACCAAATCACACTTTAATTTTATTAAACAACTATTCTGAGCATACATATATTAAAAATATCTATCTAGTCGCTTGTTGAGGGATGGTAATAATGAAAAGTCCTATCTGTCAGCAGGACTAGGAGCTTTAGATGAATCCAAGCTGCAGTGTCTGCGTGTACATGTGGATGTATTTGGTTCTCCCATGATGTCAGATCCAATTCTTGCAGAATTTCAGACCATCACACAATGTGAGTCTCCCTTGTCTCTCTGTGTTTCATTATCCATTATTATTTTGTCATGAGCATCCCACCTTTCCACAGAGTTTTGTTCTTCTATCTCCCCGGATTGATGATTTCCAGAACTCTGTGATGATGATGAACATGACCTCTGATGACTTAATGAAGTATCAATCTAACATAAATTTAAGAGCCTTTGTGAAACTGTGAATGCTTCTTATCCTATATCTTGAAGAATTTTGTTCCTTTCCTCAGCTGTAGGAAGTGGTGGTTTGATCCCAAGTTTCCGCCTCTCTTTTGATATTTTCAGCTGTATACAAAAATATACACAGACATTTAAAATGGTAATCAAGGTGTATCTGTATGCTATCCACAAAAAAATAAATTATAAAATAGAATTGCAACACATAAGTTTACAATTTTTCCAAACGATTTTTGTGGTGAAAAGTTTTTTAAAATGCAGATTTTGAGATTATCTTATAACATTCAAACGTTCCAAATGTATGGAATAATTTTGCAAAAGGGCAAACAGTGCAAAAGCTTTAAATGCAGTTTTGATGCAAGGTTAAGGAATCTTATTATAAGCATGCAATTTCCATCACATGTACGTTTGTGTTATAAACAGTGCCCCCTAGTGCACCATGTTATCTCCCCCCCCCCCCTTTGAATTTCCACAGCCAGGAATTTATTGGATTTTGTGGTATGGTCATCCACCACACCCCCTACTTGCCAATACACCACTGTTTCCAGGGCATATGGTTCAAAGTAACCATTTTTTATCATCTTACCCAAAATCGCTGACAGTTTTGGTAATTCACAAAATAGGTCTGGCAGGACTTTCTGTCAAAGTTAGTTTCATGAAGACACTTGTATGATGCATTGGCTTCCTGAAACAACAGAAATGGAAAAATACATTTATAACATCTGATATGGGATGTGATGAAGTTACAACCGAAACTATGTTCATGTGTTTGATAAAGTACAGATTCCCTGCTTTACTCTGTGCCACTAAAACAAAGGAATTAAGTGTGGGTCAAGTGCAAGGATAAACATTGCCCCACTGCAAACAATGTAATAAAAATAAATACAAACACTTTTTTTTAATGTGGATTTTTCAAATAAAATTTGGAATTTTTTATGCATGTACAAATAAGAGTCTAAAATGAATTGCGTAAGTAACATGCACATGAAGATCAAGATTTCCCTTGGTATCTATCTAGGGTAAGCTGAACTCCCTTGGTATCTATCTAGGGTAGGCTGAACTCCCTTAGTATCTATCTATGGCAAGCTGAACTCCCTCAGTATCTATCTAGGGTAGGCTGAACTCCCTTGGTGTCTATCTAGGGTCAGCTGAACTCCCTCAGTATCTATCTAGGGTAGGCTGAACTCCCTTGGTGTCTATCTAGGGTCAGCTGAACTCCCTTAGTCTCTATCTAGGGTAGGCTGAACTCCCTTGGTATCTATCTAGGGTCAGCTGAACTCCCTTAGTATCTATATATGGGAAGCTGAACTCCCTCAGTACCGGTATCTATCTAGGGTAACTGAACTCCCTTGGTATCTATCTAGGGTAAGCTGAACGCCCTTGGTATCTATCTGGGGTAAGCTGAACTCCCTTAGTATCTATCCAGGGTAAACTGAACTCACTTGGTACCTATCTTGGGTAAGCTGAATTCCATTAGTATCTATCTAGGGTAAGCTGAACTCCCTTAGTATCCATCTAGGGTAGGCTGAACTCACTTGGTATCTATCTTGGGTAGGCTGAACTCCCTTAGTATCTATCTAGGGTAAGCTGAACTCCCTTGGTATCTATCTACAGTAAGCTGAACTCCCTTGGTATCTTTCTAGGGTAAGCTGAATTCCCTTGTTATCTATCTAGGGTAAGCTAAACTCCCTTAGTATCTATCTAGGGTAAACTGAACTCACTTGGTATCTATCTAGAGTAAGCTGAACTCCCTTAGTATCTATCTAGGGTAAGCTGAATTCCCTTAGTATCTATCTAGGGTAAACTGAACTCACTCGGTATCTATCTTGGGTAAGCTGAACTCCCTTAGTATCTATCTAGGGTAAGCTGAATTCCCTTAGTATCTATCTAGGGTAAGCTGAACTCCCTTAAGGCCTTTTCACACTGTCCAAAATTTCCGGTTGGAACTAGTTCCAACCCCCGAGATTTTTTTCAACCCTTTTCCCACTTCTAAAATTTTAACCCGGTTCTGACCCGGGTAGCATGCTCTAACCGGATCGAAATCAACCCTGGGAGGGACCAGGGTTGAAAATCCAGGGTTGATATCTTTCTAGGGTCAGCTGAACTCCCTTGATATCTATCTAGGGTAAGCTGAACTCCCTTAGTATATATCTAGGGTAAGCTGAACTCCCTTAGTATCTATCTAGGGTAAGCTGAACTCCCTTAGTATCTATCTAGGGTCAGCTGACCTCGCTTAGTAACTCCCTTAGTATCTATCCAAGGTAAGCTGAACTCCCTTGGAATCTATCTAGGGTCAGCTGAACTCCCTTGATAGCTATCTAGGGTAAGCTGAACTCCCTTAGTATATATCTAGGGTAAGCTGAACTGCTGAACTCACTTGGTATTTATCTAGGGTAATTTGAATTCCATAGGTATCTAACTAGGGTAAGCTGAATTCCCTTGGTATCTAGGGGTAGTTGAATCCCTTGATATCTATCTAGGGTAAGCTGAACTTCCTTTGTACATGTATTTATCTAGGGTAAGCGGAATTCCTTGGTACATTGTATATATCTAGGGTAAGGGGACCTGACTTGGTATCTATCTAGAGTAAGCTGAACTCCCTTGGCATCTATGTAGGGTAAGCTGATCTCCCTTGGTATCTGTCTAGGGTAAGCTGAACTCCCTTGGTATCCAGTCTTTAATTCCCAGCACATAATCCATAATCTAGTGTAAGCTGAACTCCCTTGTTATCTATGTAGAGTAAGTTGAACTCCCTTGGTTTCTATCTAGGATAAAGTGAAATCCCTTGGTTGCCATGTAGGGTAGGCTGAACTCCCTTGGTATCCTATTCATAAGATCCCTTGGTATCCATTGCTACTCCCTTGGTATCCTTTCTTCAATTTCAAGCGCATAATCCTTCAATGTCCTAGCATATATCACAAACCAAACTGCAACTTACTGCTACACATGGATTGTTATCCTTATCAGTCCATTTCTTGGCATTTGTCTTGGGACCATGTTCACGATGATGCTGCTTCCAGAATGTGCCATCACTGTCTCCTTCTCCCATCATGTTTGCTGACCTTTCACCAACTTGCACACAGCAGCCTGTTTATATCGAAAGGTAATTAGTTAATCAAATGTCTCACCAAACTGTCATTCAGGTTGGGGGAAATACAAAATAGTGGCTTTGTACATGTTGGAGACAAATGTCAGTTGGGGGAAACAAGAGTTTACAAGAGTTTACAATAATGGTTTCCAGAGTGGTGTGTCATTTTTATTAGCGTGGGGGAAATTCTCATTGGTTTTTCGTCAGCATATGGGGGCTGCTTATAAATACAGCTGTTGTCAATATAAAATATTTAGACTCCACCAACAAAACTTTATACGATCTCCATACACAGTTCTATCTGAGACCACATGTATGAGAAAAACAATCACAAACGTGCATAGTTGGGGTTCCAAGCCATGACCCTGTGTGTGCCATTAAATAGTGATTCGCCACATGTAATAACAGTAACACATCAAAATGAAAACAAACCTTTAAGGTTACTCTGGGTCCCTAATACTACAGGTGTAGTGACTAGCAGTACTTTCCTCGCCTTCCACGGTATGACCTTAGTTCAATACCTGCCTGGGCCAATATGTGGATGGGGTTTTCAGTCCCTGCCTGATTCAATGGGTTTTCCCTAGAATATGATTCTGGGGTTTTCCTCTCACCACTAAAACTGTAACTTCCTTCCACATCTTCTACCAATCCTTCCAAGGGACCCCACTGGAAGCAAGTTGAGAGAATTTCGTGGGCTATCCTGGCATATTGCTGAATAATAAACAAACAAACAAACAAACAACCCAACAAACATGGAAAACCCAAACAGATTTCACGTTAAGGCTCGTGTGCATTTTAACGCATGACAGATGATGCTGGCAAAAATTACAATTTACACCGTAAAACTATAAAGCCCTTCAGAAAACTATAAAGCCCTTCAAAAAACTATAAAGCCCTTCAGAAATTATAAAGCCCATCAGAAAACTATAAAGCCTGTCAGAAAACTATAAAGCCCTTCAGAAAACTATAAAGCCCTTCAGAAAACTATAAAGCCCTTCAGAAATTATAAAGCCCTTCAGAAAACTATAAAGCCTGTCAGAAAACTATAAAGCCCTTCAGAAAACTATAAAGCCCTTCAGAAAACTATAAAGCCCTTCAGAAATTATAAAGCCCATCAGAAAACTATAAAGCCTGTCAGAAAACTATAAAGCCCATCAGAAAACTATAAAGCCTGTCAGAAAACTATAAAGCCCTTCAGAAAACTATAAAGCCCTTCAAAAAACTATCAAGCCCTTCAGAAATTATAAAGCCCATCAGAAAACTATAAAGCCTGTCAGAAAACTATAAAGCCCTTCAGAAAACTATAAAGCCCTTCAGAAAACTATAAAGCCCCTCAGAAATTATAAAGCCCATCAGAAAACTATAAAGCCTGTCAGAAAACTATAAAGCCCTTCAGAAAACTATAAAGCCCTTCAAAAAGCTATAAAGCCCTTCAGAAACGATCATACCCTGGACTCCCTCCGTAACGTAGGGAGGAAAGGGAGTCCACCTGGGCTAGCTAGGACCCTATATTGTTGCTGTACCCTAACGTGGCTCGGCCCCCAACGTGGCGCACTTTGATTTTTCACCTGTAGCGCCTACCTACAGCAAAAGTTTTCACTGAAATTTCACAGAAAGTTAAATTTCATCAAGTTCTAAACACTCCTGTTCATCAGGCATGCAACTGGGAAATCACAAAAAAAAGAGGAAATTCAAATTTTTCCCAGACTTTGTACAGTATTTTTCTATTTTCAATGGCACACATGGGAAGTAAAAAAAGAGGAAATCAGCTGATTCGAGGAAAAGTTGCATGCCTGGTTCATAAATTGCGAGTTTATTTACCCGTAACAAATTTAGAAGAAAAATTTATTTTGGCATGATTTTCCGATATTATTGTGAACCCCTTGTGAATGCCCCGAAAAATAAGTCCGAGTAACTAGGACTCTACAGATCGCTTTTTTAACATTTGGACATGGTCGGGCGATAGTAGAGTCCGAGATCGATGGCCCTTATGCGGTTACTATTTATTATTTTTTTACCATTTTCACTCGTACCCCCAATCAAAATCGTCAGATTTCACCCCAAAACGGTCTTCAAACTGCCTTATGCGCCCCTGTAGGCTTCAGTGGGAAGTGAAAATACAAAATGGTGGTGGTTAGGTTTACATACCTTAGAGAAGAAAAGAGAAATTTCACCTTCAATTCGGAAACCGAGCCTCACCGAGCTGTCGTGTCAGTAACCTCCATCTTGAATGTTGTTGTTGTGTACGATTCATTCAAATTGTGAGGTCAAACTGATGACGTACGACGCGCCGGCCAAGCACACGCCCGCAATCACAGTCGGGCATATCGTGTGTGCATGCGTACACCGGCGACTGTTTCCTGAACAGCGCAGCCTGCACATATCGCATAGCCGTGTATACCATATGTATAGCCGTGTATGCGATATGTGCAGGCTGCGCTGGTGTACGCGTGCACACACGTGATTGGACAATAACGACGTTGGGTTCAATGGACGTACCGATCATGTACATTACGTACGGGCGTGTACATACTCATACAAGACCAGATCTTGCAGGATTTTTGTGTGACATATACGCGCAGGAACAACTTTATCACTTCACAAAACCCATACGTGTGAAGATCTTGACAGTTCGATGTAAAATGGAAATGGAATGATCTTATCCAAAGAATATCACAATGATTTGTTGGACATTTGTGCATAAAGCAGTTAGAAATGGAAGAATTACTTCTTTCTTTAGGTTTTTTTTTATGCATCTAAATTTATTAATTTTATATACATATTCACGTTTGCGTATAAAATTTGATCCTTGGTTTCTTTTTAAGTATTGTTTTGATTTTAAAATAAATCAACCCCTTTCTTTACTTCATTCATTCATTCATTCATTTTATTTTGCCAATATAAAAACAATACATGATATACGCACGTCGTACTCGCATACGTTGGACTTATTAAACTGCGAACAACCGGACGTCGTTAATCGTCCAATCACAAAATGGCAACAAGGCTACGGCTATTGCGCAGTGGCACGACAGCTCGGTGAGGCTCGGTTTCCAAATTGAAGGTGAAATTTCTCTTTTCTTCTCTAAGGTATATGAACCTAACCACCACCATTTGTATTTCTAATTCCCACTGAAGCCTACAGGGGCGCATAAGGTAGTTTGAAGACCGTTTTGGGTACTCCTAGAACTATAAGGCTCCATGTAGTGGAGCCTCATAGACAACTTACACCGCAAAATTGTTTGCCTCTACAAAACACCAACCAAGTACAAAAACGTCCATCACAACCAAGCTATTTCCAACAGAACCGCTGCACAGTTTGCCCCTAAACTCCGTACAATACCACATGACATACGCTATGTGCACCAAACAAACATCGGTGGATTCTGTCGGTTTTTAGGCCAAAATGATGAAAAATATGCCCTTTCCGCACTGAGCCAACCTGACACTTGGAACGTGCACACAGATATGATCGAACGATAATTTTCGGTTCGCTCGGAGCGCGCCGCGGGGGATACGGTAGCAACCTCGTGCCCCGTGGGTAAGATCTTGCAGCGCCATGTTGTTTCCCATCATGCCTTGCGCAATCGTAACCCCTGGAATTGTGTAATTTAAATGTGCCAAAATACGGTACATTATAATTAGGGCTGCAGTTTATCTGTTTTACGTGCCGACGCCATCTTTAAAATGTTATGATATTGAAGAATCAATCCTTTCAAACACAACGTTTGGACGTTGTGTTAATTAGCAAAGATTTGTATTAAATGTACGTACCCCTTTCGTGCCTTTGTAACCACAGATACAGGGTTTTTTTTAGCGAAAAATGCGGCTGACATAATCCATATCGTACAGGCATCGCGACTTTTTGAATCATAATTTTTTTTTCGTACGTGACGTTACGTGCAAAGCACGCGAGCGCATTATGGGCGCGCCCGGCATGCAATCTTCGAAATGCGCGCGCAGTACGCTGCGAATAGCCATTCAGCGTCATTTACATCATCACCACAGCCAGGGGTTAGTGTAAGGAACGAGCACGCACCCCTGGAGTCGAGGCTGGTACGGTAGGTGCGGAATGATAGTATGCGCATGCGTACAAGTGCAAGCACGTACTCCCCGCGGCGCACGCGCTCCGAGCGATCGAACCGAAAATGACCGCGATCATTCTGTGTTCACGTTTCGTCTGGTGCATTGCCGTGGAGGGCATTCTCGTTGTCTTGCTTTCCGCGACAACGCACCAGACGAAAATTGAACTCACTTGCGGTGCTAGAAAGCGGTGTGGTACTCACATACATCGCGCGCGCAGATTTTTTTTTATGTCATCATGTGATGCATACATTTACATAATTAGTAAAACAAAATGGAAGACAGCCGTTGGAACTGGCGTATTTTTACGGACAAGCCACCAAAATCGTCAAGATTTTTCACTTTTTTTTTGTGTGGTCTGTTTCAAGTCGATCATTAGGCTTCGTAAATGACTGCTGAATGTATGAGGTATGTAAATGAACTCTGGGGTGGGATATTAGAGATGAAAATGTACAATTTTTGAGAGGCCATTTTTTTAGGGTCTCCTGATACCACATTCTAACGAACAGGTTTTGCCTCCAGCGTTACATGTGAATGAATATGGAGCATGTCAGCTGGAGTTACTCAAGCTAGTTTTGGGGGTAAAATCTGAAGATTTTGATTGGGGTACGAATGAAAATGGTCCAAAAAAATTGGTAGTAACCGCAATAGGGCCATCGATCTCGGACTCTACTATCTTACTTACTTACAGGTACTTACAGGTCCTCTTCTGATGAAAGGCCTTGGCCTCTAGGATCAGATCTTCATAAAAACTAGATTTGAATTCTGTTGTGCCCGACCTACTCCTAGAACTATGAGGCTCCACTACTAGGAGTACGCCCGACCATGTCCAAATGTTAAAAAAGCGATCCGTAGAGTCCAGTGTGGCCACTGCTTGAAAAAATTTTCAAGATCTTGAAAAATTGAGACCCAACTTGAAAACTTGAAAAAAAAATGAAAAAGCAAGAAATCTTGAAAATTTTCAACTAAAAGTACAAAACCACATGCTTTGTAGAAACTTTGACAACTTTTTCCACTGAACACCTGAGCTTTTTAGCGACTTTTATTTTTACTTTGTAATTCTTTTAGCATTGGCGCGCTACACTTACGGTCAGACCCTGTAGTGTATGTAGCTTAGGCTAGGCACTGCATGCATGACGCACGCTTCATATTAGATGCCCTCTCCGGGAGAGGCCACGGTGACCGTTTTAGCCGATTTTCGGCTTACTTTGACAGAATTTTTGTTAAAAAAAGAGTTTGACAGAAAATTTGACAGAATGGATTTTTTGGGCAGATTTCTGGCAGGATTCTGCAAAAATAGTATTTTGACAGAAAATTAACAGCAAATTTGAAAAAAAAAGGCACATTTGTTGAAAAGAGCTTCAATCCTTTCAAAAAAAACTTTGCATAAATGGGACAGGTTGGCTGGTCTAGTAGCCCAGGTTGGACGAAGTCTTCATTGCAATACGACTACCTCCGTTACGTAGGGAGGAAAGGGATGGTCCACCTGGGCTAGAAAAATCTTGAAAAATTGTAGATGGCGATCTTGAAAAAAAAACAGAGTGGCCACACTGGTAGAGTCCTCCTAGTTACTCAGACCATGGAGGAAGGAATTAATTTCTATCCTCCATGCTCTGACTAATCGCCAGACCATATGTCCGAATGTTAAAAAGGCGATAAGTTGGGTCCAAGTTACTCGGACTTGAGTTACTCAAGCTATAGCAATAGCATGACTAGGCTTTTTTTTAGTCCAAAAGCATAAACACGGGTAATCCTTACTTTTAGGACCCCGTTCCTATATAGGAAGGGAAAGACTCACCAAAACAGTTGACTAAATGACACTCAAAATTGACATTCTGATACTTCTTGGCACATCTAAACAATTGGCAATGACACCTTCTTGACTTCTAAAGACTGCTTTAGCCTAGCTGGAGTTACCCAGCCCTGAGTTTTATCATTGGGTTGTCTATTAGGGCTGGAGCGCATTTTTCTCAAAACTTGTAGTATTTGCAAAAAAAAATTGGAAAATGTTCAATTTTGTCCCCGTTACACACTAATTGCAACTGCAACTCACCCCAAACTTGCCTGGAATAACCATTACACAGGTCCTTGAAGTAAAAAACGATCCACGATGAAGATTCAGCCTACAATTGCAGTGAAAACAGGAGGAATAACCGCTAACTTGACAACCTTGCTGGATTGGCCAGGACCGCTATTGGTTTGTGCACAAAAAAATTGTGTACAATGAATGGCGGTCGATTAACAGGCACAGAGAGCGATCGCTGTCAACTACTCGTTTTACCGGCTGCGCTGGCTGTTGGCGTATGACGTCACGCGGAAGCGTAACACCCGATGACTGTTTCATGCACTATTGGTTGCGGTTCCAGTACCAAAGCTGTGATGCGAGTGGTAAACCTTATACTAGTGCATGAAACAGTCATCGGGTGTTACGCTTCCGCGTGACGTCATGCGCCAACAGCCAGCGCAGCCGGCAAAAACGAGTAGTTGACAGCGATCGCTCTCTGTGCCTGTTAATCGACCGCCATTCATTGTACACAATTTTTTTTGTGCACAAACCAATAGCGGTCCTGGCCAATCCAGCAAGGTTGTCAAGTTAGCGGTTATTCCTCCTGTTTTCACTGCAATTGTAGGCTGAATCTTCATCGTGGATCGTTTTTTACTTCAAGGACCTGTGTAATGGTTATTCCAGGCAAGTTTGGGGTGAGTTGCAGTTGCAATTAGTGTGTAACGGGGACAAAATTGAACATTTTCCAATTTTTTTTTGCAAATATTACAAGTTTTGAGAAAAATGCGCTCCAGCCCTAATAGACAACCCAATGATAAAACTCGGGGCTGGGAGACAACCCAATGATAAAACTCAGGGCTGGGTGACAACCCAATGATAAAACTCAGGGCTGGGTGACAACCCAATGATAAAACTCAGGGCTGGGAGACAACCCAATGATAAAACTCAGGGCTGGGTGACAACCCAATGATAAAACTCAGGGCTGGGTGACAACCCAATGATAAAACTCAGGGCTGGGTAACTCTCGTAACTCCAGCTAGCTTTAGCCTGCAAAAGTCACTTTGGAACTGGACAGACATCTGCAAAAGTCAGTTTTGAACAGAACTCGTAAAAAATAGAGGTGTCCTAAAAGTAAGGATTACCTAAACACGGTTGCCACTAAGGTCCCAAGGAATACCTGGTTAGGGTGGGTACTAAGGTTAACGCCTTCGCTTCGGGCAGTTGCTGTCTCTGCCGATTGAAATTTGAAGTACATCATCAAGTGACCAGGTGACATGAGTGATTGTTGACCACTGCATGCTGCATGCTGCCTGCATTAAAGATCTAGGGCCTAACGCCGTACGCGTAGGCGCGCGCCTGCACGTTTATGATTGATGTGCGGTGCTGCTTATCAATTGTAGAGGGCGCTATTGTTCTTTCTACTTATTTGGGAAAACGCAACAAAACCAAAACAGAACAACACTACATTTCTAGTTCTGCGTAACAGTTAAGTTTGTGTAGCAACAGTTCGTATAAAGCATCCGATTCCGAGAGGAACATCACACCAACTAGTTGTGCATCTCGTGTTGGACACTTGGACTACATACAACCCACCAGTTCAACTTAGTTCCAGTAGTCAATACAAACGAAATGGAGGTTTCAGGCGGTCGAAGTTCCAACTTCAAATTAAAGGTGGTTACTCCTAGAACTAGTATGAGGCTCCACGTAAATCCCGGGAGTACATACCGTTATTTCGTTTTACCGTTTTGGATTTCCTCAAAAACAAAAATGGTAAACGAACCATTGACCGTTTTGTCGTTTTACAGTTTTGTAAAACGACAAGCGGTATTAAGATAAATACAGTTATTCCGTTTTATCAGTTTCATAAATTTCATTACAGCATGAGGATTGACGATCAATGATTTTTGTTTTACAGTTTTACACAAACAACTTTGAAAGACAGCAAAACGGTCAGTATTCAATACAGGCTGTTTTTTCTTTTACTTCAGTGTCATAGTTAACAGTCCGTAGTGCATTTTGTGGCGGTACTTATAGTGGGCAAGGGGTGGAGGGGGGCCATGCCGTGCACGAAGAAGTGTTACCTCGGCATAATTCGTGCGTGGTGTGATTCCTGGCGTGACCCTGACCCCCATCTACTGCGATTTAGTTGGTGGGGCTTGAAGAGTTGCAAGCAAAAATGGCGCTGGGAAATTTCAAGGGGGACATTATTGGTTACAGGATGGTAAGACATATGAAGAAGTTGCAGATATGTTGGAGGAAATTGGAGTCCAGCGCGGCTCTTCAATAGCCAATATTCTCAAATTCTGTCATGAGAACTAGAACGACATAAATGTAAGGAGGGCAATTTCACAGGCAGTGACCGTCCCAAGGACACATTAACATTCCAAGGTGCATTGCTATAATTGCCAACTTAAACCTGAATAAATAAAAAATGGTCGACAAGACTATTGACTGTTTTGGCATTGTCATGTTTTAGTAAACAACACTCTAAAAATAAAGCAACTAACCGTTTATCGCTTTTTACAATTTACAAAAACAATAAAAAGGTAATTGTTTTTTGTGACTTAATACCGTGTGACCGTTTTACAAAACTGTAAAACGACAAAACGGTCAATGGTCCGTTTACTGTTTTTGTTTTTGAGGAAATCCAAAATGGTAAAACGAAATAACGGTATGTCCCGGGATTCACATAGCCGTGGAGCCTCATACTCATAGTTCTAGGAGTATTAAACATTAGCTTAATTGAGTAACTCCAGCTCTAATGCCTATCGCATTAGAGCTGGAGTTACTCAAGCTAGTCTAACATCATTAACATGTTTAACCAGTCACTACATAAAGGAGCAACTATAGAATGCAGGGTCACGCTGGAAAAGGTTTTTTTTGTAGTTGGATGCGATGTGATGTGAGGTGGGGTCGTTGAGTAGAATGGCACTCTTTTGAGAACGAAGCAACATTGTTATATGAGACTCAGGCATACCGTATATGCGTACGTACGCGGGTGCGGTATGAATGTAGATGTATCAAAAAATAGAGGGCGGTATAAAGAGTGAATGAGCATGAAGTAAATTGTGATAAATAGAGGGCGCTATAGAGAGTGAATTATTGACAAGTACGTAGTATATATACCGAGTGAGACGGCTTGGGATGTCTTGGATGCGCGGTGGATGAGCATGAAATCATCAATAGAGGGCGCTTTATTTACCCCAGGACCCTCTACTGTATTTACCCTATAGGACCCACTACTTTATTTCCCTATCTAAAACCAAACCCAACCTACCCACTCATTCCGTCTTGGATGCATGGATGCGCGGATGCGGGGTGGGCATGAAGTAAATTTCAATCAATAGAGGGCGCGTTATTGGAAGCCTGGATGCGCGGATGGGCATGAAGTAAATTTTAATCAATAGAGGGTGCTTTATTGGATGCCTGGATGCCCGGATGCGCGGATGCGGAGTGGGCATGAAGTAAATTTTAATCAAAAGAGGGCGCTATAGAAATGCGCGGATGGCATGAAATTAATTTTAATCAATGAAGGGCGCTTTATTGGATGCGTGGATGGGGAGTGGGCATGATGTAAATTTTAATCAACAGAGGGCGCTATAGAAAACCGACTGGGCATCCACGCAGCCATGGATGCGCAGATATTGAATGGAGTGGCCCTGTATTCTACAGTTGTGCCCAAAAAAATAACTGGCGTCTATGGGCCCGGTTCCTATACCTCCATGCTATAACTAAGGGAACAAAATCCACTTTTAAATTATTTTTTTATTTTAAAAACTGTTCAAAAATTACAAAAAATGTGACATTCTGCTTAATGTTGAAAAGGTCATTTTTGAGTGATACAAAACACCCTTCACGCCCTTGACTCTAATTTGATCGAAACTAAACAGGGGCCCTACACTACATGATCGCCAAATAACTTGGCCTACACTCTACAGGCCCATTTCATGGCTCTGCTCTGCATGCTATTAAAAACCACAGAATTCTGTGCTTATGATCACCATTTTGTGCTAACCTTGCTAGCAGAAAAATTCTGTGCTAACCCTGTAAGCACAGACCTTAGTTATGGGATGGCATGCGTAGAAACCAAAATTCCTCACTAAACCCGTAAAATATGCTTTCCTTTTTATAGCTTCATGGTTAGTCCCGTAAACGTGGCGTCAATAACAACGCCAGTTCCTAAGTCCTAAGAAATTTGAGGGGGGAAAAACTACCTCAACACAGCAAACAACTATACCAATGACAATGTATGTGGTCAGGGTTGGAACAGCGGAAAACATGTCTTCATATCACACAGTGCTGGTGTCTCCATCTGTTTATACCACTGCGGCTATGCAATCAGGATGGGAAGGGAATGCAATGCATTTGCCTCAGTAAAATTAGATTCTACCCAATGATCCATTTTTCAAACAGATATTTCTTGGCCATACAATTCATCTAACAGGCATGCAACTTTTCCTCGGATCCGCAGATGTCCTCGTTTTTTAGTTCTCATGAATGCCAGTACAAATTGAAAAATTGTCTTGTCTTCTGTGGATTGGAGTTTCCTCGTTTCTTCTGTATTCTCAGTTGCATGCCTGATCTAAACATGTTTTCAATTATGCTAGAGTGTAGGCCACCCTTAATGAACATAAGTAGTCCTGCATATGTCTATGGGAGTACAAAAAAAGGTAGGAGGATGCCTTCACTTTGTTAAACTGTGAAAAGAATACATATTGTTGATTTTAATATTTATTCATAAATACCTAAGACAGTTTACCCATTCCTATTGGTCGAGAGTCTGTCACGTGGCCGGTCTTAAACGGATGATAAAGACATGGCTAGCTGGTCTTAAACACTTTTCCAGTGTCACAAGAAATTTGGACTCCTAAAAATCCAGTGCCTCTTACCGTTTTATTGGTTGAACGTTCACAATCCTCATGAAGGCATGCGCAACTCTTCTTTTGCTCGGGTAATTATCAGCACCCAGACTCCAAGCGGTCTTAAAGTAAACAGAGTGATTAAAACCTCCAAAGCTCACAATTTATTCCCTTATTTGCTTTTAATATTTCCACAGGTAAATACTTTAATTGAAGCTGAGTCGGACAGAGACAAGCTGTATCAGTGTTTGAGGGACTACCAGCTGTAAGTGCATGTACATATGTATATTTACGTGTAAACGTAAACATGTATCTGCAATAAGCATCCAGTTGTTTACGTTTTTTGTTTTGTTTTTTTAATAGGTTTTTGTACTGTTGTGCATGTAACATGAACAAGAGAGATGCAATTTGCTATTGCTACATTTATCACTCAGAATTAGTAATTAGAAGAATTGCAAAGAAAAACCTGACATTCCATATGTGTAGCACAACTGAGAAGATTGTTCAAATAATTCAATTTTGCATAAATGTACGGTAGGATTAGGCCCCCAAAAAATACTTCTGCTTCCGGTTACCAGACGACCCTATTTTTAGGCTGTGACCCTAAAAATTTTAATGGCAATTCAGAAGACATGATGAAAATGCGGTAACCAGTCTGTGCATGGCTATGCGCTAGCATGGTTATGCATGGCAGGCGGTGCTGTCAACTGGTCGATTTCGACATCGTAAAAATCATAAAATGCCAAGAAAACACTGATGGAGAAAGAACATTTTTGCATTTCACAGAGTCTGATTTCTCTTGTCTGTGTATGTATTTTCTGTGTTCAAGAGTTCATTTTGAGATCACACAACTCGTATTTGGAGTGATACGATGCAGCGTGTTTCCCCCGAAATGTTCTACTAGTGGACTGACCAAAGAGAAATATTACACTTTGGACAGCATATTTGGGTAATAGCTGGCATCCATGCTAGATCAATTCTTTGAACAATAACAAACAAGATGTGGGTGGATGCCATCATTAATTTGGACCCTAAATATACCTAATTTGCATAAATTATAATTATCCCTGCGGCATAATATATTTATTCCCATATTTGGGTATATTCTTTATTTTATATTTTTTGAAAATTTTATTTTAGTGATTCTACTAACACACCCTTACTTAAATAACATTTTCTTAAGCATGTTAGTGCCTGAATAATTATGAGGACATAGCAATGATCCAAAATGGCTACTATTACTATTATACGCACAAATTGCGCGCATTTACCTTGTCTCCAGATATCATCAAGTAGTCTTGCCAAACCTCAGTATTGATGAGCATTAAGTTCATCAGGTTGCTTATTTGCATAAAAATCATGTGAACAATGATACCATTATGATATTTAGCTCAGCAAACAAAAACGGGAAAATGAGCTGGCTGTCTGTAAACTCGGCTTAAATTAGGCGAAGGGTCGCCTAACGTGGGAGACTTGAATAAGTTCAAGGAAACCTCCCCCCCCCCCCAATAAAAAAAAATGCTTCCAGTAATTATGTCAATGTCAGTATGTTTTCTTTCCATTAATTTTCTCTCCAATAATTTTGGGAATTTCCTTAAATTTTTTCAAGTCTCCCACGTTTTAATAGGCAACCCTTCACTAATTAGGCCAATTAACAGACACCTTGTTTTCCCCGTTCTGTTTGCTGGGCTAAATATCACAATGTTATCATTGTTCGTATGCCTTTCAATAAGGTTTTAATAGGGTAACTGTGCCAGTAAGCAACCTGTTGAATTTGAAGCTCATATACTGATGTTTCGCAAGACCATTTGAAGATATCTGGAGACAAGGTAAATGCGCAAAACTTTGGGGTGTAAGAGTAGCCATTTTGGATCGTTACTGTGTCCTCATAATAATATTCAGTCCCTTATATGCTTTAGAAAAGTCAGTGAAGTAAGGATGTGTAAGTAGAATCACCAAAATAAAATTTTCAACAATAAAAAAATTAAAAATATACCCAAATGTGGGGAACAGATATCTTACACAGCAGGGATTAATGATTTATGCAAATTATGTATATTTAGGGTCAAAATTAACAAGAGCATCTTGTTTGTTATGGTTCAAAGAATTGATCTAGCATGGACGCCAGCTATAACCCAGAAAAGCGGTGAAATTATTATCTAGAGAACTTTTCCACATTTGGCTGGCCTACTTTACCGTAAAAACAAGGTCTGTGGCCACCGTACATGCACACAGTGCATGCATCACACACAGAGTTTTGGCCATTTTCCCGTCTTGACTAGCATTGTGCATATGGTGCGCACGACCTGAATTTTCCATTATTTTTTAAGAATTATCAAACGTAAATACATTGACAATAATTAAGGTAGGTTTTATTCACTTTTTGTGGCCATTTTTTTGTATAGCTTACGTAGTGCAATGGAAATAGTTCAGGCTCAAACTTCGCATATAATTGAATACCCCATTCAATCAACATAAAAAAAATGGCAAAAAAAACCAAATTTCCGACCGACCCTATTTTTGAAAGGCATGTAATCGGAAGCAGAAGTGTGTGGTTTTTTTTGGCCTGAGATACATGTATCCAGTCCTCTCTCAGCCACTATGTTCATCACATAGTGGCTCATCAAAGAAACACACCACAACGCAATGAAACCACTCACTATTGGACAGTGACATTGTACATAACTTTATGTTGGCTATTTTGTATTTTACAGGAACCATGAGATACATGATTTTGTGGACACCCTTAAATCAGTGATCATTCATCCAGACCATCTGGTTTTGTTAGATGAAGTGCGTACATTCATCCAGCCTTCTCAGCAAATGCTGTATAACCAGCTTATTCCTCAATCACCTAGGTAACTTCAACTCTGCTAATTATCTTTGTTTGAAATGTTATTATCTGGATAAACTGTCATGACCAGATCATCACCATGTCAATTATAATCAAGGAAGGGAGTGGCAACTTGGTTAGGTCCTTTAGCCCCCCCCCCCCCATCCTTCTTTGGTAATGATCATTAACCCTAACTCCCTAGGCCTTTTTGCTAGGATGTAGCCTCAATCCTGCAAAATCCTCCAATTGGCCTCGTGGAAATATAGCATATAGCCTCAATCCTGCAAATTCCTCCATTATTTCTTGAATATGGTCTTTCGAGGGGTGACCACTTCCTGAATCCTGCAAAATCCTGTGGCAGTGAATTTCAGTATGTTGAGGCTTGGCCAGTGACATCCTGGAGCAGTACGGAGGATTTCAAGCATAATCCAGGCCTATATTTATGCATGGTTGAGCAAAAACAACACAAGGTCTGGCCCAAGACCTTGACAAAGTGCATCCTACGAAATGTAACCTCAATACTCCAAATTCTTCCTCTTTGGCAAAGAGGATTTTGAAGGATTCAGGGCGGTTAGGGTTAACAGTTAACATTATACCTGGAATGTTACCACAATTATATTCATTTAAACTAAAAACAGACCTCTCCATCCAATGATGAACTTGTTTATGTAGTTAGGAATATAATCAAACTGCCACACATTTCCCAAAGTAGTCAGGAGTTGCAAAAGTTTGGCTGATATTTTTGTGAATGAAATTTTCTTTGTGTATTAAATAGCAAGCAACTTTAAAAAAAATCTTCTTCTGTGAATATGCAAGGACGTTTACCTCGCCAGCTACGCAAGGGAGTTGGCTTCGTCGCCTGTCGCAAGCACGGCTGTGCCGCCTGTCGTCCGCTTCAAGGGCAATCAACTCATGAACGATCAACTCGGGAACACACACACACGCATACACCTTTTGTACTTTATAGTATAATTAACGATTTGTTAATTTTTGTCATTTAAACAGCAAGAAATTGAGGACCGTCAGACTTGTTGGACATGCAAATGAAAACCTTGGTTTTGCATTACGCGGAGGTGTTGAGTTTGGAGTGGGAATGCTTGTATCTCAAGTCATTGCAGACTCGCTGGCTGCTCAAAAAGGACTCAAGGTATCTCAGCGTGTCTTATCTTCATTTTGAAAATCCCAAAAATATAAGCCATAAGTTTGTTTTTACAACATTTAAAAATCCTCATTGATGAGCATTTCTGTGAGAGTTTGATAGCTTTTATGGGAATTAGGGATGGGGTTTATTGGCTGCTTGCTATGCACTCCTTGTATTCCTCTTTTTCAGGATTTCCCGTTAGTATTCTTTGACCAATCATTGATCTCTTTGCTTACTCCTAAAAACTAAGTGTACAGTTTTAAGCTTCCACATTGGAACTATACATGCCTGTTAATAGGATATGTATTTCTTAATGTAAATTGATTCTCGTATCAAATCTTAAACTATCTGGAATTATGTTTTTATAGGTCTCTCTCAAAAAAAGACGGCATCTCTGTGCTCTGTAGGAGAACTGCAACTGCGTATATTACGCAATCAAGCAGGCAGTGTTGAAAATGTTCCAAACACGCGCTTGTTGCTCGAAATGTGTTCGAAAGTTGACGCTCAAAATGCCGATGTACGTAGCTGGTCTGTAGAAAATGATGTGATTTGAGAGAGTCCTATTGTTGGTCTTGAACCTAAGCTGAATTTTAGAGTGAAGTATTGTTCTTTTTTTAAGGTGGGAGATGAAATTGTTCGTTTGAATGGATACAACATCAGCCAAGCCACAAATAATGAAGTGATATCCACTATTGGAATGAGCAAAACACTCACATTGAAAGTTCGAAGTAAGTAGAGCTTAACACAGATGTCAGATTTGCTGAAGAGTTTTCCTTACATGCTAGTATTTCCTAGACATTTCTTTAAGATAATGGGGTTTCTTGGCAGGCTTCCTCTTTATTTTGACACAACCAAACAATGTCTTATTCTGCTGCAGTCATCCTAACCATCTCAATCCATTCCTTCCGTGCATTGCAACATGCCTGTTATGTTTGCGTCTTTTCCAGGCCCATAGCTAGCCTTGTACACATGTAGGTTTGAAGTCCGAGTATGGACTGCAAGTATGACGGGTAGATGGTGCAGTATGACCACATATGATGGGCCTTCTCCTTGCTTGAAATACTGATGTTAACTTGTTTTTGTTGTTTAAAAAAATCAACACAACATGGATTCCCATAATAAATTAATAAGAAGTGATAGGAAATGTGGAGGCATCACCAAAAAGTAGTGAAATTCAAACTGTGTTAAACCCTCTGAAAGCCTATTGAAGTCTGATGCATGCAAATTACAATAGAATTGCTTGTAAGGTCTGCATTTTATACAAATATTGAGTGGAATGGGAGGAATATTATCGAAAGGTAATATCTGGACTTTTCTAGCCGAGTGAAATGGAAAAGTCCAGATTTTACCGAGCGGTAACATTCCTCCCATTTCACAATTTAAAGCCACTCAATATCTGTGACATCCTTGTCATTTGATTTACAGTTAAAATGAACTTCTATTTCAATACAAAATTGGTGGGAAATGTATTCTCTCTTCCAGACCACCTTTTGATGAAATGTTTGACTCATTTGCACCGCGTCATGGAACAAGGATGATCCTAACTGTTAAATAGTAAATCCCATTCCCCGTGGGTGAATGGGGCTTTTCGGGCCCCGGCGTGAATGGGAGCAATAACGGATGTTACGTGATGTGCGTTCCACCAATCAAATGACAAGGATCTGTTGGTCAGTTGTATAATACAGAATAGTTATGTCTCCAGTTTTAGTATGTCAAGATATGTGTTCAACATTGTCCCCCAAATGTTTTGTATGTATGTCTTCAGATACTGGCATGCTTCCAATGAAGAATGACAGATCAGATCCTGTTACCTGGAAGTTCATCAACGAGGGACAGTCAGGTTTTCAGGTATATTTACCTCAACATTCCTCAGAATCTTTTCATGGTGCAATCATTGCCTGTGATTTGTTTCTTCTTGGCAACTCTTGCCGTGCTTCATGTCCAAGTACTATAAATAACTTATGGAGCACTTTCTTGGACAAAGTGTGACAACTCTTCAGTTTGAAGTAATGATTCTGATTCACCGTCTTCGTAAAAGTGTGTAGATTCAGGATTAAATATAGGATTGCAAATTCTGCCTTAGCATAAAAATTGGAATAGTGGGAGGTGCAAGAGTTCAGGGAGGAGTTAAATATGCCTTCAAACGTTGTCACTTGTGTTCCACCCAATGTGGTTGCTGCTGAAAAATATGACCATTGCTCACAATAACTTGAGAAAAAAACATTCACAGACACACACAAAGTTAGATCAGTAAAATGCAACTGCCTTTGCAAGCTGGCCTGGTTTGGTGCAATATATGCCCATGCATTTATAAATCTAGCACTGTATCTGGCTGTCGATACCAAAGGTCGGTGCAGAAGTCTACATGATCACATATGACGTGAGAATTAGTCGAGGGGTATGTTCAGACGAGGGGCTACTCTGGAGCTAGCTTTAAGCCTATTAGGATCATGAAATGTTGGTTATAAAACTGACAATCAGCTTACGTTCAAATGGAGATGTAAACTCCAGAGCTGGAGCTAAAGTTGGGGGTTGGAGATCTCAAAATGTTTAATCGTTGACCACTGGACTGATCTCAGGAATACTACTTTTGCCGTGATTTGAAAGTGCTGTGATATAATTGAAGCTATTGAGTCTTATTAAAGGAATAGATATGGGATTGGCTAACCGGTCAGGGGCCTGGACGCCATTATCGGCAACCAGGCCCCTGACCGGTATTTATTTCCATTCATAATAGACTTTCCATCTTTGTCTATCTTCACATTTGGATAACACTACATGTGTATTAAATACATGTATGGCTAGTGTTCTAACCATTTATATTTGTTTGATATGTAGGTTGATTCAGGAACAGGGAATGATGGAGAAACGAAGACAGAACGCAAGGTGTTTGTTAATCTACAGTCAGGCAAGAAATTGGGCTGTGGAATTGGCACCGGACACAAAAATGAGCCCGGCATTTTCATCTTGAAAATAAATCCTGGCTCATTGGCTGATACACTCAATTTTAAGGTAATTAGGAAAATTGCAATTTTTTTAGTAGGTGGCATATAAACGGCTTTCAGATATACGGCTAGTTCCCTTATTGAATAAACCACAACAAATCCTTTGCACCAAGGCAAGCCCAAGCAGCATCTCATCCACCCGTCTTTTGGATGGGCAGTTTGTGATTTTGGACAGGCACTTTGCGAAATGGACAATAAAACATGACGGTTGGCAAATGAACATTTAAAATGACAGGTGGGTTTTGTTTGCAAAAAATTACATAAAAACAAAGCGAGTAAGTTGTATTTTTGTTTAGAAAGAAAACACAAACTTACCCAAAATACCTCTTAATCTACGCGAACAATTGGCCGGCAGTCAGCCATGTGCTCTGTGCAGCATTTATAGCTCCATACAACTGCATAAACACACGCACATGACGGACGTTTGCACTGCATGCACACGTTCACGATGTCTTCAATTTGCCTGGGCTGGTGCCTGTAACCATTTAACGCATTTGTGCTCAGCACCACGGACACCAGTGTGTAATGGGGGCCCTCTGTCGATTTGCTTGCGTGATAGCCCGATCGTGCAGCAAAATATGTCTTTTTGTTGTGCGATCGATCAATCACAACAAAAAGTGGATGTGTTGGTGAGCAATCTATCTATCTTTTGTGCAGCTAGCTATCAGTCGATCACGCAATAATATTACACAGAATGCGCCCAAGACATGCTCGTACATGTACACTCATCATCGGATCGCACGAGAATGAAGCGCCGACAGTCCCGACGGGTATTTTTGAAATGTCCCCTTTTTGTTCACCAAAGTTTGGCATGTTTTGAAATAAATGGCTGTCAAACCTTGACACTGACACAACAGAAACAGCACTGGAGTGCTTTCATGCTACGTATGCATTTCTAGCACTAGAGAATGTAGCTATAAATGCACCATAATGTATCATAGGTGCATGTGTTCATATACCTCCATCAGCACTGCAAGGCAAGTTCTCTGACTTTCTGGTTTAAATAGTATATATCAACCCTGTTAAATACTTACATCAAGTTGATACCGTGTCTAAGTTTGTGAATTATTTAAAACATGACCTACAGTAATTTCCTTTTAAACTCGCTGTTTGTTTAGTTGTTTGTGTTTGTTTGGTTGTTTGTTTATTTGCTTTTCTTTTCTGCCTAGATTGGAGATCAAATTCTTGATGTCAACGGCACAAGTTTCTTGAATATTTCCCATGATACAGCTGTCATGGAGCTGAAATCAAGCAGTCAGATGACTATTACCCTCAGATCTAAAGAGGTATGGCTATATTGCATTGGTGCACTTATTCGCTTGGGCATGTGTGGTCTAGAGTAGGACACAGGATTCATGATCGTGAGGTTGTGGGTTCGAGCCCCGCCGCGGCCATGCGTGTTGTGCCCTTGAGTAAGGCGCTTTACCTCAATTACTCCTCTCAACCCAGGTGTTAAATGGGTACCGGCATTATTCAATGCTGGGAAGGTAACAGACTCGCTGTGGAGGTGTGGCGATCCCCCCCCCCACAGCAGCATTTCATGGACTCAAGTCTGGCCCAATCGCTTCAAAAGAAAGATGGGCACTCCGTTCCTGTGAACATGGTTCGTCCCCCTTGTTGGGTTGGTTATCAAGAAGGGGTTCATCCATGGACATTTGCTTGAAACTAAACATACATCAGCACAATGTGTTGAGAAGTACAGAATGACGACTTTAACTCTTTCGCTGCGGAATTTAATTTACCTATTTTGTCCCGTTTGGACGTAATAAATCGCTGGAAATTCCGCCGAGCGTCAATGTGGGCGCCGCCATCTTTAAATGTATCTCCGTAAACAAACTGCTCACAATAACCTGCAGCGCAACCCGGCCAGACGGAGAGCCGCTGGCAGCGGCTCAAACTAGGGTCAGAGGTTATACGATATAAATTATGTAGATAAGGCACACGTCATGGGGATACCCTGTTTATTCATAGCGACGCAACCGAGCCGCTGCCAGCGGCTTGCCGTACGACATGTACAATTTGTGTGAGCCGCTGTCAGCGGCTCGCCGTAGCGAAAGAGTTAAAGCAGTCAATCATTTAATGTAAACTGCCGGGATGGAGAATTTTAAGGCCAAAACTTTGCTGGCAAGAAATTGCATGAAAAACTTCACATGCATACATACATGTATACAGTACAAGTGTGCATGTAAGGCTGCCAGTAGTTTTGTGCTGATTATTGGACTGGCTTTCTGAATTGTCAAAATGTGTTTAGACTTGACAACTGTATTCCTGCATGAATAGTTGGCCTGCTTGCCTTCCCAGCAATATATGCAGGCTTTGATTTCAAACCTGCCTATCCTTGGCGTGATATCCCAACGTGGAATCAACGAAGAAGAAGTAGAAGTAGTAGACATTCAAGATTTCTCTCTGTCCATCATTGTGGCAATTAAGTTCCAGGAAGGCAGAAACAACAACTTTTTTTAATTGAAATGAAACTTCATCAGTAGAGGGTCATTTTTGCACTGCCCATTTGCACTGCATCACCTTCAGATGGCTGGTACCCACTACTGTCTGTGCTTAGTGGGTTGAAGGTAATACAGGAACCAGTGATACATTCACCAGCATCACAGAGTGTGATCCAAAACTAAGCAACATTTAGTGAAACAAATTAAACATCCTTGAAAATTGCTTCATATCACAAAGACAGGATTATATTTGTTCTAAAGCAAAATACACCATTACATAATATCAATCAAGCGTTGAACATGTTGATCAGAATAAACATACGTGAACAAATGCATGTTTAATTTCTGTTGTAAATTCATTGTATGAGTTCTTACAGTGGGATACACTGCATGAACCGACACACAAAGAAAAGACCGCTTGATTATGGGTGTGAAGGGTGGCATGTGTACTTGAATCAGAACACTAGCGAAAATGTTCTTTTTACACAATCAGTGATATTTACCTGTTTTTATGTCCCGCCGTCGAAGCCGAAGGGGCATACTGTTTCCACCTTGTCTGTCCGTGTGTGTGTACGTGAACTATATACACCCCGAGGACAGACAGACAGACAAAGGGAGAACAACAGACTCTTTGTTGTCCTCGAGAGTCATCTTTTGTTGAAATCGGTCCTCGGTCATGCGTTTGTGTGCTTAGTCTATGGGAGAGTGTTATATTACAGGGACATAGGAAAAGACAAAGCATTGTCCTCGAGAGTATAGTAAAACACGACTGTGTGTGTGTGTGTGTGAGTATGTAAAAACCGGCAATCGTGGACGTAGGACAAAAGAATTGGGGCGCAAACAATACGTCCACGATTGACCGAACGCCCACGATCTCAAATCGTGTACAAAACCAATGAGAGCTGTCGCTAAAAAGTGAGTACAAACAAAGGAAAGAGGATAAGGGACAATGGGGGATCCACCATTGCCGGCATTTACACACGTGCGTGTCTGTGTGAGTATGTAAACTCGTATGTAAACGATTGACCGAACGTCCACGCAGAAAACAGTAACTGCCGATCACATTTTCAACCGCCGATACGCACATTCATATTACACATGCCATTTGCATGCACAACATGACACAACATTTCATCTTGACACGCTAAATCTTGACGAAAAACCCTATATTTCTGACGCATTGTGATGCACGACATCAAGGCCATGCTGCTGTACGATGTTCCGTGCGGCAGCAGTGCCATCAGTATTCGTTGGTTCCCATCGCATGCTAACAGAATCAAAGCTTTGATGTAGGACCGGAACCAGTGACTACGGCCTACGTACGGTACCGGACCATGATGCGCCGAGCATGACTACAGTAGCGTAACAGGACGAATGTGGATCGTAGAAAATACCTCGGTGGAGAAAGAGAATTTCTGCAAATTAATTCCCACAATGTGATCTCTCTTTTCTGTGTATGTAATTCTCTGTTGAAATATATTTGTAACGAGATTTTACCACTCGGACTTGATGATACACAGCAGCGTGTTTAATTTTCAGCCACTGCACGTGCAGGTTCGTGCGTTCTCTGTATTCATAACAGGGCGCTCGGGCCGGATGTACGCTTTCCTGAGCTGCTTTTACCGACTCGCACTGTCCGCACTGGACTTATCGTCTCGGGAAAAGTGATCTGGTCAGTTTTCCTGGGCACCCGGTCAATTTTCCTGGGCAGCAGTTGGCCAGTAAAAGTAACCGCTGGACTCAGGAAAAGTAACTGAGAGGAAAACGTCCCAGGCTGTCCGCACTGGACTTAAAATGGGAAAAGTTCCCATAGTCTCGGTTAGTTTGACCAAAAAAAGTCCAGTGCGGACAGGGCTTTAGGGACAATGGGGCGACCACGATTGCCGGCATTTACACACGTGTGTGTGTGTGTTCCTGTCTTGTATTACGCTCGAGGACAGACTGTACAAAGGGAGAACAAAAGATCCTGTCAGTCCTCAAACGACGGTGCTTTTGTTCAAAACTGTCCTCGATCGTACGTTTACGTGCTTAGTCTATGGGAAAGTGTTAAAGTACAGGGACAAAGGGAAACACAATAGGCTGTCCTCAGGCGTATAGTAAAACAGGACTGGGTGTGCGTGTGTGTGTGTGCATTTGGTTCCACAGCGATATCTGGATGGATTGTATGTCCATGTATACCTTGATACAATGAAGGTAGCTTGCTAGTATAATTTACAGAAAATGAATAAGACAAAGGCCAGGATTAAAACAATAGGATTTTATTTGATCTGATTTTTTTTTTTTTTTTTTTACCAAACCAGTATACATGTGCAAATGTAATCACTCAATAAAATATTAGGGGGCCTGTACACTATTTATACATGTTTTTTGTATAATCAATGTGGCTTCTCCACCCTTTTTTTTTGGACAGTCATATTTTTAATTGAAACAACAAAAAAAGTTTTCTCAACACACACATGTACATGTAACACTAAAACTAAAGACTTGCACCGTAGTACATGTACATGAACATGTATGCAGCTCCATGGGTTGTTCTTAGGATTTTGAGTCACTTTCGGACCCCATAGGCCAACTGTTCTCATTAAAAATTAAAAATTAAAAACCAAAGAAATGATGTCATTATGATAACTCAAGCTTATTCAAATAACCATATTTTCTTTTGATTATTTAAAAATTATTATTTCCATGTAGGCCTTGTAGATGCTCAAAAGGATTATGCTCAAAGGATTTGCCTTTGAGAAATGTCTTGCTTAAGACTGAAAATATCCAGTCAGTTTGCTTAAATCACATACAATGACTTCCCAACAGAAAAGCAAAAAACAAAAATTCATTATGGGATCATAGGCATCAATACATTACATATATAACCTAAAGAAAACAATAACAATGTTATTGAACGTTCCATGTGACCCAGGTAAGTTGATGTTAATGGAGTGGTGTTATGTAATGCAAATAGGCATGGTTGCGGGGCATTTGTGTTTTTTAACACTACTTTTCTTGTTTAGGTAAGCTTTCGCTTGCTGCTTCTGCAAGCTTCCTCAGACCGATGGCGGAAGTGTCGATGAACTTCTCGTCGTAGATGGCACTATTATAGTACAACGGTCTCTGAGAGAATGGGGTCGTATGTTGAAGAGAGAGTGTATTGGCCCAAGTCTCGATTAATAGTTCTGTCTTGCTCGGTTTGTATGTGAATGGCGTCCCTCATCTATCTGGTGAATTTAAGCGAAAGCTTACCTGAAAAACAGGTAAACATCACTGATTTGTGTAAAAGAACATTTTCGCTAGTGAAATTTCCAATCAGATGAAACTCTTCAGTGATGAACCTGAACAATACAACTGTAAAGTGAAGTATTACCTCACCATGTGATCATCTGTCAGTGAATAAGAATGACTTAACTCTCTGACATATTTTGGATTCTACTTCATTTAATATTTCTCAGACTTATCGCTTATTATTATCATGTTCAGTAGTTTGCCAAATCATATCCTTCTCATCTTGCTATCACCTATCCACCGTTATCATTCATCAGCAGCATCAGATGTCATTGCCACTCATGAGTTCATGGCCAACATAATCTGCACTCAGTCTGCTTCCACTCCTCAAACAAAAGGTACAATTATACTACATTTCAATTTCAAATGAAATATACTGGGGATTTATCTTGTTTTGCCGATTGTAATATTGTATATTTATTGTAGTTAAAAGAGATTAATACCAAGATTTTAAATGTGATGAATCAATCACTTTACCTTTGAAAAGAACTATGTACAGGTTGGTCAGTCTGGAGCCTCAGTTGATGAGGAAAGGCAACCTCCACCAATAAGCAAACAGGCAAAGCAATCCGATTCTACTCAGCCCAAGGCATGGTGGGACAAGGATCCTTACAGTCTGGTAAGCACTCGGTATATATTTCATAGAATTCAGCCACACATGAACCTCGAAAATCCCCCTTGAATTCAAAAATTAAGGATGACATCCACCCACGTTTCATCTGTTATCCTATAAAAGACGATTCAGCATGGAAGGCTGCTATTACCAAAAAATGCTGTGCAAAAGTTTTCTAAAGGACTTTTTAGTATTGGCTGGTACTATAATATTGATGCGTCTTATTGAGGGAGTGCTATACATATTGTCAGTAAGCAGCGTGGTTTTATGAGGCCAGAAAAATAATACGTCTGCTTCCAGTTGCTCAACTGACTTTAATTTTGTTGACTGGTCCTCCTCCTTTTTTTTTTGTTAAGTGAAAAGAAGCAGATGTGAAGAGCACATTCATATTTGCCCACTCACTCTTACACCTCAGATGCTTTTCAACAAACTTTGGGACATCATAAATGCTTATAAAATTACTGCTGTCTTTATTTCTGTGCTCAATAATTCACATTGATGATAAATGAGGGTGCGGGGAGCATTACCCCCTCTCGTAATAACAATAAACTGGAAATATTATTGGGATGAGAAGCTTGGCAAAACTTGCAAAATTGAACCATGTTGTTATGTTAAGGCTGTATTCAGTTACCAAATAGTAAGACGACACCATAACGCAAATCTTTAATGTTTCTTTATTCTTTAACCCTAACTTCTTAGGCCTTTTTGCTAGGATGAAGCCTCAATCCTGCAAAATCCTCCAATTGGCCTCATGGAAAAATAGCAATCAGCCTCAGTCCTGCAAATTCCTCTATTATTTCACGAATATGGTCTGTGGAGAGGTGACCACTTCCTGAATCTTGCAAAATCCTGCGGCAGTGACTGTCAATATGTTGAGGCTTGGCTAGTGACATCCTGGAGCAGTATGGAGGATTTCAAGCATAATCCAGGCCTTTATTTATGCATGGCTGAGCAAAAACAACACAAGCTCAGGCCCAATACCTTGACAAAGTGCATCCTACGAAATCAGTAACGCACTTTTGCCATGTAACCTCAATCCTCCAAATTCCTCCACTTTGGCAAAGAGGATTTTGAAGGATTCAGGGCGGTTAGGGTTAAAGAAAAGTACAAGGAACAGTTTCTTCCGTGATCATGTTTCTTGCATGTAATCTTTATGTTTTCTGATTTGCTACCATGATAACAGTTTAGCCACCGTCAGATTGATGGGCGCAAGCTTTGTAAGATAGAGATTGTCAAGGATTCCCCATTAGAGATGCTGCTTGAAGGCGGTATAGGTTCTCCATTGTCAGGGAGGGTGGTTATAGCTGAGGTCTACTCAGGAGGGGCAGCTGATCGCAGTGGTAAGCATCATACTAGCCCATCACTACATGTATTATTGCTGTTGATTCTAAACCAGCAGTGCTGTTTTAAAATGTAAGACTTCAAAAGTGATTATTAAAAAGCAAATGCAGTAATTTATATATATTAAAGGGGCACTGCGTTCTGAAATCCCCCAAAATTTTATGTTTTGGATTGTTTACTTATCTTACTTCAAACATCTGGTTGAAAGGAAACCAACCTATTTCTTACCGTTTGTTCCCAAGAAAAGAAAAAAAAATACCCCGATTGTTTACATCGGACACGACGGAGTATGATACGTGTTTCCTGACGTTTTCATAAGATGTAAGATACACGTTGTGTGTGTCTAGTATTACACACGTACACAGCACCGTGCTCACGAACAGCGGTGACCAATCACCAATGCACAAAATGTGATTTCTTACACGTCCGCAAAAGGCGAACCCTTACGGCTGGAATCACAACTAGCACAAACAGCTCAACTTTTTTGGGTCCCAAAAGTGGACCCAGAAAGTCGTTCTCACACGAATGACACAAGAATACTACAAAAGCGCCCAGTTTTTAAAGGATAGTTGTGTGGATGTTTATACTTTGAAATGTTCTTTCGGATTTTTAACAAGATTTTGTTAAACGCATTTTGTAGCCCAATTGGGCGTATTCCAGGACGCAGTGTCCCTTTAATGTTTTTGGGACAAATTTCTTCATTTAAACTATTCTGTACCACTATGAAAGTAGCCAGTTATGAAATTTGTGAGCAATTACTGCCCACACACATTAAGGCATGTAGATACTTGGCATAAAATTGAAAGCTGACAACAACACAGCAAATACGTGTGCTGTGAATTCAACAAGATTGCACACAAACAATTCAGGTGTCATTTTCAATCTTTCAGAATGTCAAATTTGTTTTCATTCACATTCCTGGGCTGTATGAGCTGGTATTTATCCAGGGTCAGGGGTTTTGATCGCATTTTAAAAGTAGACATACAATTTTCTCACAGGCTCTTAAAAATCTTGTGAGTATTGAAATACTGAAATACTTTATGCATGGGCAAAAATAGAAATACATTCCTTTTTTTGCCACTTTTGCCACTTTTGCCACAAAGCTAAGGATGTTAGCCACTCTTCAACTGAAGATAACCGTGTAAACCAATTGAGAGTCGTCATAAAGCACTGATATGTGTTTATATATTTATCTTCAAGTAAACTTGAATCCTCGATCCTGATTGGTTGATCCATGGCAACAAGCTGTGCTACATATAACTGTGTAGCGCGGCCACGCTCCATACTGTACTCCGCATATTGCACTATTCTAAGATGCATGCGCCATTCTGTACAACACGCACAAGTAATAAGATAACCGCTGAAAAGTTTGTGTAGAGCGTGCGTGTTCTATCTTTACTGTGCATCAAGTTTGCTTGAAGATTCGGCTGAGTGGTATGTGGGACGCAGACGCACTACATTATTCCATGAGCACGAGCGGGATAACTAATCAAATATAATGTCTGTACAAGTGTCTGTCATAAAAAGCTCCACATAGCATGCATGAAATGGTGTTTAGTTTGGAACCTGATATTGTATTGTGCATGTAAGTTTTGCAAGGTATTTCTTAAATGCTTTTTTAATTTTTTTGGTTTTTTTGACAGGACAACTTTTTAAAGGAGACCAACTGATGATGGTAGATGGGAAGTGTATGACTGACATCTCCTTGAATGCTGCTCAAGATATTCTGAAAGAGGCTATGACGTCTTTAGATGTAAGAAGTTATATTTTTATTCAAATTCTGTTCAGTTGTGAACAAATCAACTGTCACACCAGCACTGTGTGTGGATAATTCACACTTTGTGATGAAAATGTCAAAAGTAAAATTTTACGATCATATAAGTCAGTCATAACTCTTGATATCAAGAGGAATTTCATTACAAATGTTTGTATGAAATATGAAATTGATGGAGTCTGGATCCCCCATTTAGCCCCCTTCCCCCTCCCCACCCCACCCCAGCTGACAGACAGTGCTACTTTGTGTCAGACGATGTCTAATAACATTCGCAAAATTACATCTTGTCTACAGTGTTGTAGTACTCGTACTCGAGTACTATCGAGTACTTTTTTTAGAGTACTCGTACTCATACTGATACTCGAATGTCAAAGTACTCGTACTCGAAATGATGGTACTCATACTCGGGCAGCAAATTCAAAGTACTCGTACTTGACATTTCGAAATGGTACTCGATCATCAAAGTACTTGTACTCAAATAGCAGTACTCGGGGAAAAATGGTAATAGCTTGACTTACAACGGCCTTGTTTTATCGATACTTTCAGTTTGAAATGGTTGGTTGGCTTGCAGCGAAATCAAAAGTTTCCTGATTTTCCTCTGTCAGGGATGTGATTTCTCCATTTTTTTCCGGAAATCCGTTTTTTGTTTTTTTTAGCCTCAAAAGTCAACCCACGTGAATCGTGTGAATCAGTTGAGAAAATGGGGGGGGGTTAGAATGTACTAATTAATTCTGCCGAAATTGTATTCGGCCGGACGTGAGTTCACTTGTCTTCAGGACCAGACTAAGTATTTTCTTCAATGGCATTTGCACCTCGTGTGTAGGGCTGCGAGATTCATGTACATGTGCTTTTTGCATTCCCTCGCATGCAATTGTCCTTGCTTGAGAACGAGGTTTAAGCAGACTGGAGACAGGAGTTCAGCTTTGTGCATGATCAAAGCCACTTGGCTATGGCCTGAAATTACACACAAGTCTATGGGAAGTGGCTGCAGCCATGTGTGTAGACTCATGTGTAATTGCAAGCCATTGCGGTCCCCCCACGCCGCCGGCCCTAGCCCTGCAAGTATCGATCACTGGTATCAATGCACTTTGAGACTAACGGAGCATGCGCGTGTTGCGGTCGTTCTCGTGTGTGGGTGTGTGTGTTGGTTATTGTGTGCATTCAGTTTACATTGTGGTGTGCGTACGTACGTTGTATGCTGGGCTCGATACTAGCGTCGGGCTTCATGTAGTCTAGTTCCTACAAACGTATAATATGGTGTACATAGTTCACTTGTCTGAGGACCAGATGAAAACATATTTTCAATGGCAAATGCACCTTGTGTACATTTTGGTCTGTGACTGTGTGCAGTTTACGCATAGCGGCGTACATGAGTGAGATAACATGTCGGTCTCGAAGTTCAACAGGACAATTCTATCGAGGGGAGAGTTATCAGTTCGAGAGCTAGATAAACACATCAAAATAAATTTTGTTGGAATTGGCTGGAAGAATATGTGACTGTTGACGAACGTAAAATACAATTGAATCAGTGGCTTTGAAAAGCCATCGATCGCGGGAAAGGTGTTTTGTACCAATATGTACTGTAATGACAACATCAATTGCAGACAAAAAACAGAGAAAGTCAACAGTCCTTAATAAACGATTGTCCTGTGTTAAATTTCATTTGTATTGCTTATGCATTATCCTTGTTTAATGAAAATGCATGGTTTGAATACAGAAGAAACTTCATAAGGACAAGAGTACATTTAACAAATGAATGAAAATTCTTCTTAAAATTTAAACAAATTCTGCTCAAAATTTTCAGAGGAAAGTGCCCAGTAATCGCCTCAGATTGCACCACAGAGCAAAGAGAATCCAAAATATTCCGGGGCCCTTAAGCGGGCCCCGGACCCGACGCCGTAATGGCTTCGCGCTTCATGGTCGCCGGAGTTTGCACTTCAGGCACAAAATTTTAAGGTTTTTTGTCACAGACCAATCACATCCTTGCTATGTGCACGTCCGGTCAAACACATTTAACAGCTAGCCGTGAGTGGGTCTGTATATCGGTCTGACTGGGCCTGGGCCAGTAACGCACAATGAATCATTGCCGTATGGCCGTATGGCCGTATTCGGAAATAGAAGTACTCATACTTGTACTCGAAAGTACAAGTACTCGGAAGTACAAGTACTCATACTCAAAGACCTTTACTGGTACTCGGAAGTACAAGTACTCGTACTCGGCAACCTAAGTACTCAGCAGTACTCGGTACTCGGGAAAAAAGTACTCGACTACAACACTGCTTTTCTATAACGTTTGCATTGAACGGTGACAACAGATTTCATGATGTTACCACCAAAACATGTCTGGCAGTCCATGACTAAATTTCTAACCCCTCACCCCCTACCCATGGAATTGCTGGAAATTAAGCAAGCCTATGCAGTATATTTTAACAGTATATTATATCATGTTAACATCCCTTTAGAGCAGATTTCAAAGAAAGCTAATCCGTGTTTTTTATATGCGCGTTTAGGGCACTGAGGTTTTGAGAGTGATCACTGCTATGTGTCCAGTCAAGAACTATGAAGATGAACTGTAAGTATTTGGTGCTTCTTACTTATGGTTAAAGTTATGGTAATCAGCAACTCTTTTCTAAGCATCATGGTGTCAATCACTGCCTTCTATAGTATAAAGTAATACTGACGTGCTATTTCAGGAAGTGCCTTACAATTTTCATATTAGGCCAAAAAAAAAAATAAGTCGGTCTCTGGTCAGCGCGCGCGTCGATTTTAATCATGCACGTCGATCTTTTTTTTTTCCCAAAATGTTCCGCGGTAGCTCCAACAGCACCCTCTATTTCCGCACCTCAATTTTTTTTACCAAAGAGCACCAAGGAATGGGAAATTGCACCAAGGCAAATGATCGAAAGCACCAAGGCAAATTATGGAGGACACCAATGTACATGAGGACACCAAAAAAGCAAAATAGTACCTACCTTGTCTGTACAATCCAAGCTTGAAGAAAAAAAAAAAGAAAAAAAAAAAAAAAAAGCCGCGTGGCCGCGTCAATTCCGGAACTTTGGTCTGACCAGAGACCGAATATTTTTTTTTTTGGCCTTACAAACCTTTGTAAATATCAGAACTTGTCAATTAATTTCAATCATCTTTATCATTTGTTTCTAATGCATGGTGTATACAACAGTACTTTTGAAGTATTTGTAGACCTGTGCTGCCATTGCTTCATAATAAGTGTACAAAATAAAAGTAGAGAAATTCATGAAATTCTAAAAGTCAATGACATGTTTTCTTGTATTTTGTTCATTGCAGGACCTTCTTCTAGTGACGTGTCCAGTGATTTAATTTTCTAGTCGTGGTTGGCAACAGATTTGCCAAAAATTGAATATTAGAATCCTAATTATGCAAGAAAGAGACATTTTTATTAAAGTCTTTGTTAGCTTTTGTTTGGTGGTTATTAATTTCAACTCTCCAATAATATGTTTAAAACATTTTAAAATACCTGAAACAGTTTACCAATTCCTGTTGGTCGAGAGCCTGCTGCATTCTGCGCCACATTGCGCAGTATGCACCTCGCGCGGGCCAATTTCCATACAAGGAGATTTTTAGAACTACGCATGCGAGGCACATATCATGCGAGGCACATACCATAGACATGGCCTGAGGGGTGTTTCACAAAATATGAAGTCAAATTGTTAAACAAAATTGTTAGAAAGTTGTGATTTGTTTTACTTGTTTTAACTTTTTGACCAAGCGCATATTTATTCCCTTAATTAAATGCCAATCAGGGGTTGGCAAAGAAAGGTCTATATTGACTTTTGTCTCTAGTAGTTGTCATTGCAAGCTGATTTATTAGCTCACCATATTAAATTAATATTTAGATAATTTTGATAGGTTGTATTCAGTACATGTATCATAATTGTATTTGACAATTACAGTAATTTAACTGCAGAAATATCCTACTTGATTATTACATGTTCATGAAATTATGGAGACAATGAGTAAAATGTATAAGTATGTGTACATGTATACAAGAACAATATTCTCATTTAGATATTATTTGGTGAGTTATTTGTTTGTACAAAGGAATTCACAATACAAGAAGAAAGCTATATCCTCTACCCACTTCTATCATGGGGAAAAGTTCCAATCCATTTGTAGACATTGCCTAACTATGTGTCATTTTGACTGGGCCTAAAGCAGTTAGGCACTGCATCATATCTAGTGATTTATGAATTTGTGGTGGTTTTATTTATTAGTGCATTTATTACTTGTGTGTGATAAAGCATGTAATCAATAAAGCAGGGTTGATGCATAGGTTAGAAGTCCACGGTAATTTGGGAAAGTTTTTGGTTGCATAGCTCCATGGTTGCATACTGTATTGCACATTGTAAATCATCAAAATAAACAGATGAACATTTTCAGTAAAGTAAGCTTTCATTGTTTAGCATCCATCACAAAGAGTAAATGGAATTACTGACATCAAAATGTTTGAAAGCGTGTTTATGCTTTAAAAGTTATGTACCCTAGATCTATATTATCGTAGTACATTACTACAAAAGCTACCCTTAGTCAGAGTAGCAAGCATGGTGAAAATGCCTATTTTTGTTTTTATTCGTGTATGTAAAATATATCAATATGGAATAACGATAATTTGACAATACTTAAATTTTCCCCTATATTTACAATGTGTGATCAAACACTTGACAATGTAGTGTTTTAGTTTTCATTTTCCATGTTTATTTTTTTCATACAAGTAGGCCTACATCTAAGTAGTAATTAATATACACGGTGCATTTTGTTATTATGTGCACTGAACTGTTTTCAAAACTGGATATAATTCTAGGATATTTTACAATTGGACTGATGCTCTGCAATTTGTGTACAGTCTGACCACAGTTTTAATGAATCCAGTTCTACGTCCATTACGGAATCAATTAAATTTCCAAAATAGAAAAAAAAAGTACTTCTTCAATTTAAACTAAACAAGCAAATTGAAAATTCCTTATAGGAGAAAAAATATCGAATATGATGAAGAGCAAAAATATATACAAAGTTGAACCAGAATAAACCGCTGGCGATTCGTCCGTTTTATGAATGAAGTTTCAAATCGGTCTCACATGATTGAATAATGGTTTAGTGTGAAGTAAAGGTTCACCTCGATTGTCGCATTGTTTTTCAATTTAAAAGTAAAAACGTAGCCAGCTTCGCAGGGGAGGCTGCCTTTTTCGCCCGCTTCATGTTCAGTGCGGGCAATCACGCCGGCGATGAGAGGCCATCAACTCATGAACACTCCCAAACAGACACACGTTTGTTTATGGTGTAAACATTTTTGGCAACAGCTCCCAGTTGGTTTTGTACACGTTTTCTAATCGAGGTCATCCTCGATTTGACTCCTGTCCTCGATGATGTTTTGCATGTGTGTCCTCGATTTAAACAAACCCACACATATCCACACGTTTTATTTATGAGAGCCCTCATTGTTCCCTTCTTTTTGTTCGTATTGTTTGGACATGTCCCATAAAAGTTTGTACACGGAAAATCGGAAACCTCCCGAGGACTTGTAGCTCAGAACCCCAGGGTTATTGTTATCACAGACGCAGGTAGCCCATTGTCCCAAGTCATCAGACGCAAAAGATGACATCAACCTTACGGATAGGGTACCGTACGTGATGAAGACCGATGTGATTGTTCCCTTTGTGCGTGCACCCCACAAGGTGGCTCCCACCGTAAAAAAAATTACATTTGCACTTGATATTAGCAGTGATTTATTATGTTTTCGTTTGAATCAACAAAATTGTCCCAAACCTTCAGTAGGATGTACCTTGACTCACCAGGGAGAACCTGAACACAAATGATTGGTATCAGTGGATTCAATAGCGCTTCCCACTTCCAATTCAATAGAAACTCTGATTCTTTTCTGAACTCTCTTAGTCAAGTTGAGAAATTATTCCTAAATGGTGTTTCTGCAAAGCATTCATTATCTCCTCCTTGCAAGCTAGGCCTCGCTGAATCTCAATTAATTGCACCCTCTCGTGAACTATTCCTAAATACTCGGGAAGATTCTCATTCAACCGGTGTACATGTATGCCGCCAGCGACATCAGAGGATAAGTACTGTACTAAATAAGTACTATTTTGACGAATATCGTTGAATTATATTTGTTTACAAAAAGAAGTTTGTCCGCTAGGCACGTAGCCAGCAGGGTCTTGTTTGCCACCGTTCCGACTTATACTAGATAATGCTTTTTAAATCGCGATTAAATGTACGTTCGTACATATAAGGCTGCATCCGAATCAACTGTCTAGAGCTAGGTCTAGGTCCGCGCCCATTGAAAATACGCGGGGACGGGCTGACAATAGACGTAGCCGTAGCTCTGGAAGCCTGTTTCGGACACGGCCTAAGTTCCAACCCTTTCCTTTCTCCCCACTCGTATCCCCCTGGCCTTTTTACCCCCCCCCCCCCCCCCCCGCTTGCCATTGTTCCCTTCCCATTTTTGTGCAACAGGTTTTTTGCTATTATACATATAGCTCTATCAATCCAGATATTTTATTTATTTATTTAATTAGGCTAAATTTGTTGTTCTATTTCTGGTTACGTGTACTATTTCTCACATTGTTACGACTATTTGTACATATATATACATATATCCAATGAAATCGTCTTCTATCACAATTCACAGTGCTCGATACATCTCTGTAGAGCTATAATCATGCAATAAATTCAGAATATGAGTTAAACAAACTTTGGCATATCTCTCTTGTGAGGGGTCACAAGAGAGATATGCCAAAGTTTGTTTAACTCATATTCTGAATTTATTGCATGATATATATACATATATGTTTTTATGGTTTTAATGTGAAGTTTTTAATGTGTAGTATATGTGTGCAGAATTGAGGAGACAAGTTTCATGTTTTTACATGGTGAGAATAAAAAAATTGAATTGAATTGAATTGTTCCAAAATAGAATTTTCGTGCCGTTTTCACCATTTTTCACCGTGGACACACTTCTTTTTTGCGTGGAAACTTAACCACCTTCAATTCAATGATTATTTTCTTCCGAAGGATACCATTTCATGCGGAATAATTCCACAGGTTCATGTAAATTTCGTACCCTAAAGTCCGGACAATGTGTTTTTTAAGAGTTGAAAATAATAGTAAATTTTGTGTGGACATTATTTCTTTAAACTTCGTAGGCCTAATGAATATTCTTTTTTTACGGTTTGTATTTTTAGTATGTTTTAACACCTTTTGAATTTTATTTTTGGAACTTACTATTATTTTCAATGATTCCCTAAAACAAATGTGCCGTCTGTTAATCAACGCGCTCCGTGCGCGAGGCGAGAGGGCGCTTTTTTCTTTTTTTTTTACAGCAAGAGCCCCGTGTGTGGTGCGCACGTGGACGTGAACGGTACGCGTTTTGGGTTTTTTTGTGCACAACTTTAACCACCAAACGCATCCCGATCCCCTCGACGCACGTATCTAGCTCGAGGCATGCACGGAATGGCTGTTGACGAAGAGTTATCGCTGTCATGGAGTGTAGAAATGGAAGTGAATTTATTCCATGCAATGAGGGGTCACAAACCAGTTGGTAAATATTTGTAATTTTCTGATCATGCTGATATATAGCTCCATGGTGATACTGACACTTAATACTAATAATATACGCAGTGGCTATTGTTACGGCAGCCCATGGAGGAAGGAACATTCCTTCCTCCATGGGCAGCCGTAACGCATTTCCCATTTTCTATCGTTACGGTAGACTGCAACTTTTATAAAAACATGACAAGAAAATATAAAATTAGAAGGAAAAAAGTGAATTTGAACGTTATGAAATTCGGACTTTATTTCCCTTTTAAAAAAAATCCTCCAAAGCCTCAGGTTAGAAAAGGAAAATAAATTATGTGCAAAACTGAGATTCGAGCCCGCAACCTCGCGGTGCAAAATCCTACCCTCTATCGACTGAGCTGTCGCACTACTCGCTAAAACGTGTGGAAACAAATAATTATATACCTGCGTGCGTATCAAAAAAGTATCGTAGAGGGCGCTAAACAACGACTGTCGTAACGATAGCCACTTCGAATAATATAATAGCCCCATAAAATGTGGCCAATTTACTGGACTACCTCCGTATAAAGGCCACACTTCCACCATATGACCATGTACAAAAACATGTCAAACTTTGTCGAATTTAGATTTTCACATTTAGGCTTAGTCATGTTAGTTGGTAGGCCTAGTTTATTTTTGCTTTAGAAGCATATTCACCCTCTGTATAGGCTAATCAGAAAGTGCTGCCTTTTTCAGATGTCTAATTTTTGTGAATTTTTATTTTGATACGCCAATGTGTGTAAACGAATCTAGCTGGAAGTCTTTACGAAGATAACAATCGGTCCTGTCCAGTATTTACTTAGACATGTTAGAAGATGTAGATGACAAACAGGGCTGTAAATGGCTCTCTTTTGAAATTGTCTTAATCAAAATCAATTTGACATTTACGTTTATTTTCACATTGACATCCTCAGTGACAATTCATACAGAAAAAAATATATGTTTAAACAAAACATTCTTCACACTCGCAGACAGTATGTAATTAAAGGGAATATACATCATTTGCTTTTGCTGTAATTTTCAGAAATGGATGGAATTGGGGGGTTGGAAATATAAAGCAAATATAGTTACACTGACTTTTTGGAGGTTTTGGGTTCGAAAATGCTATAAAAACCAAGAAAAACGATCATTTTCCTGTAGTCTGGTTCCCTGACTCCATATAAGAAGAAACAGAGCAGTTTACATACACTAGGGAATTGTAAGGTCAGGGAACCAGTCTAGCTGGCTCGTACCCGTTCATAGATTTGTAATCGATTGCAAACAAGTGCAATGGTCAATTGGGGCCAGTATTTGAAAAAAAAGCCAGTTGTTTCCAACGCTGATCGGCCGATCAGCGTTGGAAATTGATACAAAAATACCACTTTTCTTGAAAATGACAGTATACCAGGTGCCATAATTTTACAGGATGCTTTAGACTGTCATTTACCAACATCCTATTAAGGTATTTCGTAAAAACTTGGTAATTTTATTTTTCGATGTTTGCAAATGTTGTATATTCCCTTTAAGTGTAAACATTAATTAAACGATGTCAACATAAAGGAAAAAGGTGAAGCACTGCTTTTGTACCTTTCCCGGGACAGGACAAAACTTAAACAACTAACTACACACGGACGAAGACAGAACAATACCTTTATAGGCTTTAAGAGTGAGACCCGATGCAGTATGTAAAATAATGACCAAGTAAATCAGAAAAGAAACAGTTTTAAAGTAGGCCTATTGATGATCGACTTTTTCCAAGTTTTTGGCAAATATAGTCGCCATTATACAGCCCTGCTTTTTTTCAGTGCTTGTTGAGTTGTAAGGCTTTTACATCCAGACTGATTCTGCTGAGTCACAGACTTAAAACGTAAACATATACCCGTACCCGTAGTCATGGTACTTGGTATTGAATTGGAATACCAAGCGCTAGGCTCATTGGCATGGGAGATTCAAATCTCCCATGTCGTGAGCCTAGACATGCTAGAGCTGGGTATTCCAAGCTAGGATTAGGAATACCGGTACCTACTTCTAGAAAGCCCCGTGTGCACACGGGGCGCATAAGTCCGACGCCTCATAGGTCCAATGCCTTACAAGTCCAACAAAATTTCATCCCCAACGAAATAAAGGCCCATAAGTCCGAAGCTAGGATCGGATGCCCCATAGGTCCGACGCCCCACAGGTCCGACGCCTTAGTCCGATGCCTCGTAGTTCCGACAATTAAATTTACTTTTTTTTTGGTTCACTCATCCGACGCCTCACAAGTCCGATGCCGTTTGTCTGACAGCCATACCCCTTGGGCACTTTTACTAGAAAGTATCCTAAATCCGTCAAAATCCACCAATTTTGTCACGCAAAAAATGTTGGTGTCCTGAGTCCATCAGAATCCACCAGTGTAAATACTGGAGGTGTCCTGAATTCATCAAAGTCCAACAGCCAAAGTTTTGATGGATTCTGATGGATTCAGGATACCATGCTGGTATAAAAAAATTGCAGTTTGTTTTTTCATAGAGTCTTCAAAATCCATCACCTGAATTGCTGGTGGATTTTGACGGATTCAGGGTACCATGCTCGCATGAAAATTGTGTGTTGCTGCATAGGATCCATCAAAATACATGTACACCACTTGCATGGTTCAACTGCTGGTGGATACATGTATGATGTGGGGTTACAAGTTTTTCTTTTCAACTTGGGCTGTGTGTATAATTATGTACACCATGATGTGTGCATTGTCTGGAAGGGTTATTTCAATGAGCCATATTGTCCTATATTTCATGTTTACTAAAGCATGACTTATTCAGCATTCATTAGCACAGTGCATGAAATATTTATATATATTCTTTCAATGGATAATTATGTAATCGTACATGTACATGTATGTAAGTATACACACGTTAACCAGTGAATGGAGGTGGGGACCCCAGCATTGCTTTGTCTGGATGGGTCATTTACATAATCCATTGTTTATATGCTGAGGCCTAATAAGCCCCAGTCACAAGCTCCCATCCCCCAGTATGTACATTTTTGTACATCATGTGAAAGACTTGGCGTGGCTTCAAGTAAATACTTGACCACAAACATAGCCAAAGAGTTTTAAAACTGTTGAGATCCTGAATCCATCAAAGTTCCCCAGCAGCTCAATATAGAGGTTTCCTGAATCCATCAAAATCCTGCTGCAGTACAGCTAGGCTTACAATCCTGAATCCATCCCCCAGTTTGTTAAATATGGAGGTATCCCGAGACCACCCAAATCCCCAGGGGTGTGGATTTTGATGGATTTGGGTACGTTAGGGTAATGTTGCCCTTTGATAAAAAAATAACTGATGGTTCTCAGACATCTTCACTCAGAATCTGACATTTTGGTGTGTTCATGTCCTAACAGCAAACAGTCGTTGGTCATCTTAATCCTACATATTTTTACATGAATCTTGATTCCTTTCTAACTATAATCTTTCACAACTGAAACCAAATTTGAACAGATACCTTTTGTCACTAGGATATTCCATTCCTTTGCTCTGTTGTTTCTAGTTGCTGGCCCACACCTTTGAGTGACTACATGTTTGTCCTTGTGTTTGGGCCATAATTCGTTCCAATAAAAAAGTCTCAAGTCAAGTTGGTCCCAACTCAGCTCAGTCCACTCCAAAGCCAATGCAACTTAGTCCCAGGTCAACTCAATCCCAAGTCAACTCGGTCCCAACCTGAATCACTGTGTTCAATAATCAACTAGTAACACTATCATGTCTGTTGGAAAACTTGTTAGACAAGTTGACAGTATTGTGCTTCAAAAGTTTCATGCTTGTTTTGTATTTGCACACTGGACAATTTTTACGTGAAGGCTTTAACCCTAACCACCCTGAATCCTTCAAAATCCTCTGTGCCAAAGTGGAGGAATTTGGAGGATTGAGGTTACATGGCAAAAGTACGTTACTGATTTCGTAGGAAGCACTTTGTCAAGGTCTTGGGCCGGACCTTGTGTTGTTTTTGCTCAGCCATGCATGAATATTGGCCTGGATTATGCTTGAAGTTGAAATCCTCCATACTGCTCCAGGATGTCACTGGCCAAGCCTCAACATATTGACAGTCTGATCGACTGCCGCAGGATTTTGCAGGATTCAGGCAGTGGTCACCCCTCCACAGACCATATTCAAGAAAGAATGGAGGAATTTGCAGGATTGAGGCTTTATATGCTATTTTTCCATGAGGCTATTTGGAGGATTTTGCAGGATTGAGGCTACATCCTAGCAAAAAGGCCTGGGGAGTTAAGGTTAATATGAGATCATCTTTGTCCAACATTCCTTACCAGACATAGTGAAAAAGTGTAAGGGCAAAAGTTCAATGAACACAAACCAAACGATCAAGAAAGTCTAATTTTGGGTTTTGGAGTTTCTCATATGACCAAATAATTTTAAAAGAAAATCTGTGGATTTGACAGATTTGACATGGAATGACGACATGGAATGACCCCATGGCTAAACAAAGACGCTGAGTTTGAGTGTCTAGGGATTTAATACATGTATTTGGTTTTTTTTGGGTTGTGTTTGATTGATCAAGGAGTGAACAAGAACTTCCAAATGATGTGCATTCATGACAAGCTACAGCAATCTACAGGACGCAAAGTAACCTCACAACAGATCTGGCAACATCTCAGCACCATGTATGACATGCAAGCATTGGTATGTGTACATCCAGCAAATGGGAATCAATTCAGTGAACTGAAAACAGAACTAACTTGTTGATATTTTCAGGCTGTTAATACTTTTATTGTAGGTGCAGGTTCCTTAGTGGAACTGTTGACATTTATGAATAGGTTGTGTGCATCAGCCACATAATTTGTTATGGTTGAATCTGAAAATTTACCAAGAAACAAGTCATAGAAAATTGTAAGGATTGCTAAATGCTAAATGGGCAACTACTGTACATGTAAAACACACAAATTAATCCTTCTGCTGCCTGAACAGTTACAGACAGTCAACAAATCAATCCTCTTCCCCTGACATGCCTTTGTACACAGGCTAGTCACCAACAGTCGGATCGTATTTGTAGCAAGCACTGTGACTAGTCAAATTCCATCAACAGACAAAAGCAAGTAATATGAAGGTACAGCTGGCTTATCAATCACCTACTGTCAGGGCAAAGCTGTATCAAGTTACATAAACAGTCACAGCCAGTCATTGACTCAACCCTAACTCCCTTCTGTCTTTGACCCCGTTCCCACTAGATCCACCAATTGGGGGCTCTGATCCATCTTTTGCCAAATTGCTGGATCAGATCCCCCAATTGGTGGATCAGACCCGGCAATTGTGTGTAGTGGGAACGCTAACCGTTATAAGGTGGATCAGGATCAGATCCACCTTTCTTGATCCACCTCTGGACTAGCATACAGATCCCCCAATTGGTGGATCAGATCCCCCAATTGGTGGATCAGATCCTGCAATGGCGGATCACGATCAAATGGGAATGCAAAAGGTGGATCTGATGCGGCAATTTGACCTGTCAACATCCGGCCTGTGCACAAAATAATGCATGCATGCAGCACATGCGTCCATATCCTAAAGGCGGTGTGTCCGAATTGGCTACTGTTTCATATTACACACGAGTCTATGGGAGACTCGCGTGTAATTTCAAGCCTTGGCCAAGTCATCCGGACACAGCCTAATACTACAATAGGCCTTTTACAATTTTCATTACGTATTCGTCCGTTCCAGCATGCAAAACTGCTACAGAGCACACACTCAGCAAGCTAGCGCATGCGTAATACTGAACTGGGTGACCTTTCAGACTCGACATTTCCATTCAAAACGTTGGATCAAGCATAAGTGGGAACGCGACTTGCAGTTTGTTGCGGTAAGATAACGATCACACCAAAATGCCGGATCTTGATCCACCTTTTCCCAATTCAAGTGGGAACACAGTGTTTTACTAAGTATTGGACCAAGTCCGCCAAAATCCATCAATGACACTGCTTCAAGCGCATGCTTTAATTTGGCCTCCAGGCCCAAGTCCATCATACTCCATCAATATTTAGTCAAACCAGGCCTGCAAGACCAAGTCCCCGAAAATCCACCAAACTGGGGGGATGGATTTTGATGGAGTTGGGGAATAAAGGTTAATGTAGGTCGGGAGTTTTAACAGTTAAAAACAGTCACTTGATTGATTTTGACTGCTGGGAAAGCTGTGTTGTATTTGACAGCAAGCAAGGGAGGGTTAAAGAGTTTTTTATAAAACACTCAATGAAATATTGAGCAGCATTGAGCAAGTACCCGGTATGGTACATTTGGCACTAGGAAAGAATGGCTGTGATGATCTGAATATGTTTGTGAGACAAAGTGCTCACTTTTAAATTGATTTTGGGATATTATTCACAATCATTAATCCTAACCCTCAATCCTCCAAACTCCTCCTGTCAGTTTTGGATGATTTTAAAGGATTGAGGATGAATGGCAAAGATGTATTGCTTTTTTTGTTGAGGATGCATTATGTCAAGCCAGCCTGCATTGGTTATGTTCAGTCATGCATAAATCAGCTCTGTGTTTTTCTCGTATTTCATCCGCACTGCTTCTAAGCGCCATTCACAGTGCCTCAAACCATAGTAGTAATTGGCAGAGGATTTTGGAGGATTGAGGCAGTGGTCACCCTCCCCAGACTAAATTCAAGAAATAACGCATGATTTTGGAGGATTGAGTCTGAATCCAATTTTTTTTCTTGGTGGCAATTGGAGGATTTTGCAGGATTGAGGTTGCATTCTAGCCAGAGGGCCTAGGAGGTTAGGGTTAAATGTGGTTTGAGTGTGAGCTTCGACACCTGTTCAAGAGAAGGAAAAAACAACCTTGCTTGATATCAGTGGAGAAATAAATGTGGTGTTTTGTGTGTGTTTTGTTTCCATGGCAGCATGAGTCTGAGATTCTTCCGTTTCCCAATGTGCAGTCAGAGTTTACATTACCAAGTGATGAATATGGCGAGCTTATGACAGGCAAAAGAAAAGGAGTTGCTGCAGTAGTGGAAGAAGGTGAGTTGCATTATTGAATCTCACATGTGTCTCTAACTCCACATGCAATTAAACAAATACTCAACATGTATTGTACCAATCAAATCAAAATTCTTAAATTCATCCCTTTTCCCTACCCTTTTACTTTTTACTGAAATTACAAATTATATAAATGCCCCTTTCCTAAAGCCCCAGTAGAACATTCACGGTTGGAGCTACGAATATCCACGGTTTACCAAGAATCAATCGATCAAGATGAACCGTCGAGATTCGTGGAGAAATTGACTTTCTAAGAATACACTACCCTTACCATTTTTTTTTCTTTACGATCATATGGAGGCATCTGCATGTAGTCAAGGGTAAAAGGTATCAAGTGATGGTTTTAGGTGTGTTTTCCTCATTTTTCTAATAAAAAAATTAGGGTAGGGGCTGTCAGAATAGGGTAGGTAGGGAAACCGGAAGCAGAACTATTATTTTCTTTGGCCATATCCTCATTCCAGGCAAGCCAACAAAGTGGATTGATGCTACATGGATGCATTTTCACGTAAAAATTCAGTGATTTTCTGACAAATTAAGTTCACTAGGATTAGCAGGAGAATGAATGTCCCTGTTGAGTTATTATGCGCGGTTGATGTAAAACTAATAAGTCATAGTGGTTGTAACAAAAAAAACCACTAGCAATCCAATTTATGAAGATTCATTCTTTAAAACTCAAGCAACTGCACCAAAAAAACTGCATGGACAATTAATAGTGTTCTTAATTGTTGAAGCTTTTGAGGTGAACTGGCAATGGGTTTTTTCAGTTGATGGTTGATGTTTGTAACTGTTTAAGCAACTGACAAGCAAGATAAAGGTTCACTGTCACCAGAGCATTCTATAGCTGTAGGTGGCTGGTGCAAAGCTTGCCCTGAATCATGTAATGTCAGCTATCATCACTGTGTCTAATATCCAGGCAATTCAAATTGAACTGTGGATGTGGAAAACAAACAATATTTATACCTCATGGCTTATTATAACGTACATGTTTGTCCTTGAAGGTACCCCAAAGGAGTCACTGAAGACCACCATTCGTCTGCCAACAATGACTTCTCTTGCCTCAGTCACCCCCTCAGAAAAGGACAGCTCACCAAAGAGGAAGAGGACTAGACAAGGGACCAATACACCCAACCCTGATATACTGGCTAACAAGAGACGTAGATGAGATTCATTGCATCAAGACAAGAGATCAATGTCATTGGCCATCGAGCTGAACAGACTGATGCGTAATACCATGCCTGTATGAACCTTAGCAATTGCCAAGCAATACCTAAGGTGCCACATGGTCTGGCATGCCAGTGAAATGCAAGTGGCATTTTACTCATTCCTCCATTTAGTATGAAGTAGAATATCTGCTCCCAGATCTAAAAACATACAGACGTACTAATGTTTGAAGCTGGTTAAAAGGTCAGGAGATACCATTTACATAGATTTCACTTTGGGCCATTCATCATCATTTTTCAGAGCGCCGTCATTAATTTTATGTATATATACTTGACTTTCACAGGAAAATCCTAAATCAGGTATTGTAACAAGTAACTCCGACACCCTTAATCAGAAATATTTAATTGATTTTACACAACCAGCAATCATAATTCAGAAATCTTGATTACATCAAACAGGAATTTATTCAAATTATTCAATTTTCAATGTGTTCATACCCACAATTGATTGTTGCTTAATGAGTACAAATTTTTTCACTCATCCGTGGTTTTATGCCAAATCCAACAAAAAACATTTTGTAATGTACATGTACTCTGCTACAGGGGTGGAAGGTGGTGTTCTGGTTCATCTATCGTCCATAGTATACCGTGAAACTCTTTAAATGATGTAATGACTTTTCCATGAGAAATGTTAAGAAAATGTTTTAAAACTCTGAAAACTATGTAGATACAATGTACATACTAAATGATCTGATAGAAGCTACTGTAGGAAACGCTTTGACCACTGGGTGCAGAGGTTTCAGGGATGAGCATTGATAAGGAACACAGATTGTTACCAAGAAAAATCCTGACGTGCTCAGATTATACAAAAAAAAGCACTTGCCTAGCCCAGTTATTTTTCTCTGTAAGTACCGGTAGGTGTCTTTAAATTGACTAAAAGGAAACTGATACTTTATGACCAGATACATATTCAACATTGTGTTTGTAGATCATGTTGATCGCCGTCGTGAAAACATCAGCCACTGTTGAAAATAACGTCTTTAAAGATGTCAGGATCAAGGGCGGATCCAGAACACAATTTTTTTTGGGGGGGGGGGCCAAAAAAGAAATTTGGTCCCCCAAAAAGTTTAAGGGCCTCCAAAATTTTTTGGATTCTAGATGCTCTGTGGTGCAATCTGAGGCAATTTCTGACCACTTTAACCAATTTTTTTGCGGAAAGATGGTGGTGTACACAGTGCCTGCCTTTATTGCTACATCGATTAAAACCAAACAATGGTTTCAGGGGGTTTTTTTTGGGGGGGGGGCTTGGCCCCCATTGCCCCCCCCCCAGGTTTTGTAAGGTTTTGTACAACTTATACTATACATGTATCTTTTTTTTCATACTAATCATGTTTTGTAAAAAGTTAAAATAACAGTTAATTTTGAACTGATTTTTTTTTTCTCCATTATTTTCATCAATTTGAGACTTCCAATGAATTTTTTGGTGAAAACAAATTAAAAAAGCTTGTAGATGTGTGATATTCTGTAGTTGACATCCATTTTATTGTGGTTTTGTCTTAACCCTTTGGTACAGTGCGCAGATTATTTCTTAGGCGGTCGCTAAGAAAAGGGTTAAACCACATTATTTGCAACTTTTTTTTAGTATGAACCAAACAAATCTAATCACTTTAAACCAAATATATGAAGTTTGCGCTTCAGGAACTGTGAATAACTGTAAAGCGGTCTTGTCGCCTTTGGCTCCCGACAAGCTAACCTAAGCCATCATACCTATTAACCCACCATACTTCCCAAGCGGCCCTGATCTCCCTGCTGATAAACCAAGGCATCCAATGTAGTGGACATGTCCTTTAGGGAGAAAGAAGGCAATTCCTAAGCCATTCTGGTTACCAGCCCTGATGCCACATCAAAGACTGTTCCATGTGAAATTGTTTCTACTGAGCACGTATAGACCTTTATCATGCTGCCACCATTTCAGTAAATAACAGTACTGAATGATGTTTTTTGTGGAAAAAGGAACCAGACTATTTTTCCTTCCAGCCTCGCTTTGGTTACACTGATTTGAATGGGAAAATCAAGATGGCCGCAACATGAAGGGTCTATAGTCTAATTTGGCATGAAGTGTCCAATGCCTAATAGCGTCCCAGCACTGCCATATACATGTAGTTCACCATGGATCTGGTTGGAAGATAACTGCAAAATATGGAATCGCAGTGTCTTGACAACTGCACAGCAAGACACAATAGGATGCATGCTATGTGCGGACATTATTTGGCAAGCAATTATTTGGCAAGCAAATAATGTGTCGTAGAGGCATGACCAATAACATTACAGTATGCAAATGAGCGACCTATTTCACACTGGACAGTTTAGGCAAGATATTGTTTGATCAACAGCTGCAAGGACAGGAGTCTAACCCTGACCGAGTATCACCAGGGAACAGTACCATCACCTAGTAACATTCAGGACTGCAATAATCACTAGACCTGCATTGTAGATATCTCAAGAGGTATTATTTACCGGTATTTTAATTTAGTGACAATGAATGCACACAAGGTTTACTCATACCTATCCCAGTCATACAAAACCACTGCCCTCTAAAAAACCCTAACAATGTTTCTTTTTAGTTGAAACAGTGGAAATGACCTGTTGAGAAAGGTTTCAATTTTCAAAAGCAAAGAAAGTCTTTATTTTATATTATGCATTTGTTGTTCTGTGTTTACTGAAAGACTGGCCAGAATTCATATAAAAATGTATAGTGCACTACATTTTAGTGAGATTTATTAAATTCATATAACACAAAATGCCCCCACTTCAAAAAATCACCTATCAAACTAAAGCTTATTTCATCATCTTTTCACTCTGTGCATTTTTTTGGCGGTTAACCAAAGACTTTGGGGGAAAATTGTACTCGAGCGATGATCATCCCTTAAAGTAGTCATGAGGTCCAGCGCCATTTTGGAAAATGATTCCTCCAGTCCACTGGAAAAAAGAGCAATTTTAGAGCCTAATACAATACAAATTTCACAGAAACAGAAGCCCAAAGTCCTGTGCAGAGCATCCATCCTTTATTTTTACAAATCACAAACTGCATGGGCCATAAAAACCTCTAATTACAGAGAATTTGAGGGCATGAAATTGTGATTTGGCCCGCGCTGGAAGTTTGGGGCAAATTTAATTGCCTGCAACAATAAATACAGCTCTGAGCAGTATTATGAATAATGCAACAAAGTGTCAAATTGTGTCCATTGTCTATTTTGAGGAGTAATTCCTTCCCTCCCGAGTCATCAACATGGATTCACACCATGCTGCTGGAACTAGAAACTCTAAAATGCCTCAGAATGACAGTTAATTTATTCAGTATCATTTCTTTGTGTATACAGCACACAAATGTATGGGGTGACCCCAAAAAACTTGTGCACGCAGACACCTTTAAATTTTTCAAAAACATCAGCATCACAGTGAAAATTTGATGAAAATCCATTCATACAAACCAGAGATACAACAGATTATAAATGGCAATGTGTTTTTCACCTGTTCCGATGGATTTACACAGTTAAATGAAAAGACCCATTGCAGAGTGCCGGTTGAGTGATTTCCAATGCAATGTGTAATTCCCATTGGAATAGTTGAAAAGCACATATCCTTTTATGATCTGTTACAGCTCTGGTTTGCATGAAAGGGTTTCCATGACACTTTCACTGATTATACACAAGAGTATATTCAATATTCTCCATCAAAATGAAATACTCATGTTAGATACTTTTTGAGAAATGCAACGATGTCTGCTTGCACAACTTTTTGGGGGGGTCACCCTGTATCTACTTTAAATTGTTCAAGCTCATACAGTATGAGCTTGAACAATTTAAACTAGGAAAAGTATAGACTTGAGGAAACAGAACATCATCCTTTGGTTCATGTAATGGACTACTAAGCATGTCTGTTACATTCATATTTCTGAACATTCTGATTGATATCAGGTTAAGAGGAATTCAGTGAAGCATGTTCACTAAACTGACTTTAGTAGCTACTGTATCTCTTGGTATGAATTTCTTTAACAAAATCTGGTATATGTCATGTGACATAAATGAACTGTTTATATTGTTAGGTTAAATATTTTCATATTTTTGCTTCCATGAAATGATTGAAATAGCAAGTTTATCATCAAAACAGTTTCAAGAAGTGACAAACTGAACTCTTTCAATCAATTAGCTGACCCAACTTCAAATTAACAGGGAAAATTCAGCGTAATGTCCTTGACATCCAAATTGCAATGTTCATGATGCCAAATTTAAGGGACTACAGATCAAATGCAGAATTGGTTCAACACCATTTGGCCATGAACCTTTTTCAACATGTTCTTATCATAACATTAGTACTTTTTTTCTAAAATATATCCACACATTCACAGAAATTTGCACAGATGTTAAAGTATTAAAAAAAAATCAAAAAAATGTAATCTGTGACAAAGCCAATTAACCACGATATTTAATTAATAATTCAGAGAAATGATCCCAAAATCACAGTGTATAATCTCCTTGACAATGATAAATACATTTTAAGGTTTATTCACTAACTCCAAAAGTAAAAATAAAAATAACAAAAACATTGTCTGATTTGTAATGTCCTTGATGCTGGAATTGCCCTATTTCCTGTTTATTTTGTTCCCAATTAGACCTGAAAGATACTCAACACGTGTGGCCTCTCTTACCACACAAGTGTGCAAAGGGCCCATGGACTACCAACTGTCAACTGTGGCCTTGTATTAGAAGTAGAATACAATTAGGCATTGCTCAGCACAAAGACATTATCATTCTCACATCCAGACCATTGTTGGATTGTAAAAGCTAATTGTCACACACTTGATTACACACTTGTGCAACAAACCTCCTTGTTTTTTCCTCAAATAACCGTCCTTAGCCTTCCTCGTTGGTTTCTACATTATTTCAGAATCCAAAACTGTTTAAAAGTATTTGTTAAAAGCTAAGAAAGATTCTTATGATGAGAAGGCCAGTAGCTAGCTGGTTTGTTGCTGGATGCTTCCCTCATGATGGTAGAACTCATCTGTAGAGTGTTCCAGAGTTGACCAAGATCAACTATACCAGTTCACCACAGTCACAAATGGTCACTTTTTCTTTAGGTTTTCCTGACTTTGTTCCAACATTTTCAATCTTTCTTACAATGTCCATTCCTTCGGTCACATGACCAAACACCACATGTTTTCCATCGAGCCTGTAGAGAAAGCATACCAAGTATTATCTCACAAGATTGCTCCTACACAGTCTACATCTGTAACAAGACATCACTGACGATCGTACTCAAATGTGTAACTATGAGTTCCTGTATTAACATAAAAAATGGCTATGCAACGGGAAGGTGCTTATTAATACATTCGTATTACGTATAAACCATATGGATATATCATGTGCTTGAATACTGTAATTTCATTGATCTCAAACGGCGACATGTTCACTCTGTAAAAATAATCATTTAATTCATACACACTGTGTTCCATATAACTGAACCTCATATACACTGGGCTGCATATAAATTGCGCAAGTTGCACACGTGTGGGGCTTTCCCACGCTCGTGACTGAGAACTGCAACCACTCAGTCTCATGTCTGGCAGAAAAGCCTGCAGTTATCAAAGGTTACACCGCAGTGATTCAATTCATTCTTGCATAGTAAGTTAAAAGTATTTACATGTATCTTTCAACTTATTGGCAAGGCATAACAAAACAAATGTTGACTGTCGTGATATGGGATATGGCGTTTTGAACCCCCTCAGGGCGCATAGCACCCTCGGCCTTTGGGCGTTAGAAACGGAATATCCCACATCACAGCAGTCAACAATTGTTATATGTCGTTGTTCGTTGGTCAAAACTATTTAGGAGCTATTACTCATGTTGAAAAAAAGATTGTACACTAATAATTACACACTTGGAACTTGGATTATGTGTTTATGCACCATGTGCTACAACACTGATAACATGGCAGATTAATTATTGCACTAAAACAAAGCTGACTCACCATTCTGTCTTTGCAGTTATGAGGAAGAACTGTGAGCTATTCGTACCAGGTCCTGAATTCGCCATAGATAATACTCCTGATGGAACATTAAAGAATACTTTTATGATTTGGCCATGTGTAGAATAGGGAGGGGCTAGAGACCAACTGACATGCCAGTAAACTTCAGGTTAGCATTGCCAAGTTGCCTTACAGTGAGCAGCAGACTAGGATAAAACTGCACTGACTTGCCGACAGTCTACCTTATTAGCTCTAATCCTTGCTGTCTAGTGCTGTCATGATGATGCATTCTCAATCCTGCAAAATCATCCAATTGCCATTGTTAAAAAATTGATTCTGCCTCAATTCTCCAAACTCATCCGTAATTTCTTGCCTTCTTCACTGGAAGGGTGACCACTGCCTCAATCATTCAAAATCATCCAACAATCACTGTCAATTATTGAGGCATAGTCAATGATATCCAAAAGCAGTGTTGATGATATCCAGTATAATGTAGGCCTCAAATCAATTATGCAAGACTGGACATAATGCAGGGTACAGCTTAAGACCTAGTCACATTCCATCCTCCAAAATAAAGTGTCACATTTTTGCCTTTCAGCCTCAATCTTCCAAAATCCTCCAAAGGGTTTAGGGGTTAGGGTTAGGGTTAGCGGTTAATACCCATATGACTGTGTTCATGTGTTCCAGAAGTATAGACTTGGTCAACATTCATGATCAAACCAAACTTACCAGGTTGTGTGTGTTTTAAGATGAAGTTTTCATCTTCAAATTTCTTGCCATAGATGGACTTTCCTCCAGTGCCATTGTGGTTTGTAAAATCTCCTCCTTGACACATCTGTTTGCCATCAGCTAAGGAACTCAAACAATCAAAGAGCCACAAAACACAAAAACCCAAGAAAAAAAAAAAATCCCCATAAAAATAACCAATGAAATCAAGAATAAAACTGCACAACAAAATTAAACAAGCTATTCAATCAAACATTGAAATTAAGATAAAATATGTTAAAGTAAACACTTTTACACTTAACCCCATGCGTACGGGAAGCGGTCATGGCCGCGGCCGCTAATCCTCATTGGATTGCCAGCTGTGGTATGCCGTGGCACACGGCTAGTGGGTAGTTCCACAGCTGCTGCTTTTGTGCAGTCCCGCTACCACACAAAGGCTGTGCAGTCATGCGGGCCACTTGCTCTATGTGTGGAGGAATGTCCCCATTACACCCCGTCCTTAAGGGGTTGAAATTAGACGGTCAAACATGGAAATATGAGTTCATTTGCTAATTTCTATTACAGAAACTGCTTACAGGGGACTTTGTTTTTAAAGCAAAATTTGGATATTAATGTTGCGATGCATTGGCTTTCAACATAAACTTGTATAAGAAATAAAATATCAAAACACAATTACCTCTTGGAAGAGGAAAGAATTAAAACAATAGGCTTGTGACTTTAAAATAGAGATCATTCCAATCTATTTAGATGCTTAATAATACCAGTGAAGCCACCCTCAGGTCGACCTTGCGATGACACAGAAGAGTCCGTGACTGACTTTTCAGGATCCAGCTGCGCCTGAGCTACGACCATTGGGAACATTTCAGTCACCAATTTTGTTTTGTGACCCGAGTGCAACTCTGACATATTAAGACAATTGTCATAAGTCAGCACTAAAAAAAAAAATCAAAAAAATCACAAAAGTAGAAAAAATTCAACCTTTGTGCCTTGACAGGACGTGGTCCCGACACTCCCAGTCAACCTGTGTGAAGTTACAACGTGTGCACCTGGATTATCAAATTGTATTGTGTAGTCACTGTGGGGTGCTGTGTAGTCACTGTGGGGTGCTGTGTAGTCACTGTGGGGTGCTGTGTAGTCATCGTGGGGTGCTGTGTAGTTATTGTGGGGTGCTGTGTAGTCACTGTGGGGTGCTGTGTAGTCATTGTGGGGTGCTGTGTAGTCATTGTGGGGTGCTGTGTAGTCATTGTGGGGTGCTGTGTAGTCATTGTGGGGTGCTGTGTAGTCACTGTGGGGTGCTGTGTAGTCACTGTGGGGTGCTGTGTAGTCACTGTGGGGTGCTGTGTAGTCACTGTGGGGTGCTGTGTAGTCATTGTGGGGTGCTGCGTAGTCACTGTGGGGTGCTGTGTAGTCACTGTGGGGTGCTGTGTAGTCACTGTGGGGTGCTGTGTAATCACTGTGGGGTGCTGTGTAGTCACTGTGGGGTGCTGTGTAGTCATTGTGGGGTGCTGTGTAGTCAATGTGGGGGGCTGTGTAGTCAATGTGGGGGGCTGTGTAGTCACTGTGGGGTGCTGTGTAGTCACTGTGGGGTGCTGTGTAGTCACTGTGGGGTGCTGTGTAGTCATTGTGGGGTGCTGTGTAGTCACTGTGGGGTGCTATGTAGTCATTGTGGGGTGCTGTGTAGTCACTGTGGGGTGCTGTGTAGTCATTGTGGGGTGCTGTGTAGTCACTGTGGGGTGCTGTGTAGTCACTGTGGGGTGCTGTGTAGTCACTGTGGGGTGCTGTGTATAGTCATTGTGGGGTGCTGTGTAGTCATTGTGGGGTGCTGTGTAGTCATTGTTGGGTGTTCGACTCGTGTGCCGTGGTACATGGGTTCGAATCCTGACGTGGGAACATGGTGCTTGTGCTCTTGAGCAAGGCACTTTACCATTATTGCTTCATCCTTCGGATGGGACGTAAAGCCATAGGTCCCGTGTGTTGTGAATTAGACTCTGGTATTATTGTGTAGATAGTTTGACTGTGTTATGGGAGGATAAAAATTGTTTGTACTTATGTGTCAAAAAAAATTGTCCTACTTTTGATCCTAAATAACTCTGTTCTTTACCAATGGAATTAAACCAAAATTTCAGATCATGTAAACAAGGCATGACACCAGCTTTGTGCAAGAGGGTGAGATTTAAACGCCATACGAAAAAATCCCCCCCCCCCCCCCACAGAAGTGTGGTTGGGGTCTACGAACGAATACTTACCTGTAGAGCAATTACTACTTATGCATATTCCCCCTACCGGCAGGTATTTTCGCTAAGAGTTATATACAATAGCGCCCTCTGGCGCCCTACCCATAATACCCCGCGGCATGCGTGCCTCGTGAGCGTCCTCTTTTCTCGAGCGCTAAGTCGGAATACAACAAAGTACCCAAGGCATCGAGAAGAGTGGGGTAGGGGGGAGGGATGCTCTACAGGTAAGTATCCGTTCGTAGACCCCAACCACACTTTTGTGGGGGGGGGGGGGGGGAGTCTACTTCACTCTACTTACCTGTAGAGCAATACTACTTATGCATAGACTAGCACCGTCAAGGAGGTGGGTCACTATGCGAGATGCTATTGCTTACTCACAGGGGCACGAAACATGGAAATGTAACCCCAGATGGCTCCCACTGTTCTGTCCAAAGGCGGACAGGGGAAAAAAACAATAAATCTACATGTAAAGGATATTAATTACCCTCGCATGTTAACCGAGACGTCAGCCCTTGTAAGGGGGGACGCCTCATAATGTAAAGTATTATGATATAATACAGTTGAATCCTGCAAAGAAGAGCACTGTTAGTACACAACACTTCTTAAAGCAAGTTCTAAAACACTTCAAACCAAGCCCATGCACAAGGTAAACTGATACAAAAAAGGTAACTTGTCCAAGACCAATGACCTTGCTACAAGAGTGTTTAGCTATACATTTATATTCAATACAGTGTAATGTATTAATGTAAATAGACAGGATGAGGAGACTCACCTATTCTAGGGAAGTCCCGGGTAGGAGAGGATCCTGTGGACCCGATGATGCTCGGCTCGCCGCCTTCAGCACCACTCTCCCGGCTCTGCCTTCCGTCTGGAGGACATCCTTCAAATAGCACTCTGTGAAGGTGTTGGGGGTTTTCCAACACGCTGCCTGTGTAATATCTTTAACAGAAACACCCTTAAAAAAGGCCCAGGAAGTAGAAGTTGCCCTGACCTCATGTGCATGGACTGACCCAACGGAATCTGTTGTTGGTGAGTCTATTGCTGATTTGATGGCCGTAACCAACCAGCGGGAAATTGTATCACGCGAGGCCGGTCGGTATGGTGGAGTCGTTGTTAAAAACAGCTGTGAGTGGCCGCTTCGGAGCGTTTTAGTTCTATCAACGTACCACTTCAGGGCCCTGACCGGACACCAAAGTTTGTCACGAGAGACAGACGAAAAGGATTTGATGTCCGGCACAAAAATGTCAGGAGGTGAAAATGATTCCGACTGATTTTTGGTCAGAAAACCTGTTTAAGGAACCGGGCGTACACCCCCTGGTTCCCACCGGATATGACCTGTCTCCACCGTAAGCGAATGCAGCTCGCTACGTCGTCTAGACGTAGCCACTGCTAACAGAAATGACACTTTAACCGACAGCTGCAACAAGGTTGAGCTGCCCATTGGTTCAAACGGGGGTCTCGATAAGGTTGATAAAACGGCAAAGAGATCCCACGATGGTAATAGCCTACGTGTCGGGGGGCGTGACACAAACATCCCCTTGATAAGTTGGCTAAGATTCTGATTATCTGACACCGAGGAACCGTCAGAGAAGCCTCCATGAATAGCCGCTATAGCCGAACGATAATTTTTAACTGTGGCTGTAGCAAGATCACTGTCAAAGAGGCCTACTAGGAAGTCTGCAATCTCTCCTATAGAAGTATCGGAGGGACGCAGAGACCTGGCTCTACACCATTTGTAAAAATGGTGTAATATACTGCTATAAATTTTCCTGGTAGATTCCCGCCGGCTGCAGGCTGCAATGGCCGCAGCTCGTTCAGAAAGGCCCGCCGTGCGGAAGGATTGCTTGATAATACCCAGCACGTCAGGTGGAGATCCTCCGGGGCCGGGTGAAGAAAACCCGAGCTGGGCTGGAACAGTATGTCTGCCCTCTTCGGAAGATCACCGGGCGGTGAACCAAGAGCCTGATGAGTCTCGGGAACCAAGGCTGGCGTGGCCAAAAGGGAGCTATGAGGAGGATCTTGCAGTCCTCCTGTTCCACTTTGGTCAGTACTCGAGGTATGAGGGAGAAGGGGGAAAGGCGTACGCAAGTAGTCTGTCCCACCGTATCGCCAGTGCATCTGTCTGCCATGCGCAAGGGTCGTTGTGTCTTGCGCAATATACCGGTAACTGGTGGTTGTTTCGAGAGGCAAACAGGTCGACATGAGGCCGATCGATCAGAAGAAAAAGTGACTGGACAACCTGCGGACGCAGTGTCCATTCCGTCGGAACGACCCACCCCCTGGAGAGAGCGTCGGCTGTGACGTTCTCCTCGCCCGGGAGATGACTTGCCAAGAGTGTTACTCTGTGGCTCATACACCAATGGAAGAGATTCCACGTGAGCGCGCATAGTTGGGCGGATCGCGTGCCTCCTTGTCCATTGATGTAGGCCACTACTGTGGCATTGTCGCATCGAATGTTGACTACCTGGTTCGTCACTGATGCTTGAAAACGTTGGAGAGCATTGATGACTGCCAACATCTCCAGCACGTTTATGTGCTTTGAGCAATCTTTGGGCCCCCACCGACCCGCTACTTGGCGCGGGTGGAGGGTGGCCCCCCAGCCAAAAAGTGACGCATCTGTCGTGATGGTCACTGACAGCTTGGGATTGTGAAACGCGCGCCCCTCCGTGAGATTGGCATTGTCGAGCCACCAATGGAGGTGCGGTATCAGCCAAGGTGTGGTCGGCACCAGATGACGTATGTGGTGACGACTGGGCCGATAGAAGGACAGCAGATGTAATTGGATGGGACGCATCCTTAGTCTGCAAAAGTTCACCACATCTACCATACTGGCCATGAGACCGAGCAACCTTAGCCAGGCTTGTGCTGGGGCCATGGTCATCGGGAGAAACAGAGACACACACTGTTGGAGATTTACAACTCGTTCCTCCGTAGGCCGAACCAATCCCTTCTGGAGATCGAGAGACGCTCCCAGAAAGATTGGGAATTGGGATGGATGTGGATGGGATTTCTCGGCGTTGATAATAAACCAGAGATCCGCCGCTAGACGCCAAGTCAGATTGAGTGCCGCCGACGCGGCCGCCTGAGACTGAGCAATAATGATCCAATCGTCCAGATACATGAAGATCATCACACCTTGTTTTCTTAATGCGGCCCCGATTGTCTTCACCACATGCGTGAAGACTCGGGGTGAGGTGGCTAGACCAAACGGAAGAACCATGAACTCGTACTGGACGTTCTCGTACTGAAAACGAAGAAACTTCCAGTGGTCTGGTCTGACAGGAACGTGTAGATATGCATCTTTCAGATCTAGACTGGCCCCCCACGCAGGTGTATGAATCGATTGGAGTATGATGTTGAGCGTATCCATGCGAAAACGTCTTGGCCGAATAAATTTGTTGAGGGGTTTTAGATTTAAAATCGGGCACCACATGCCGGCCTCCTTCTTGGGTACCAGGAAGAAGGTCGACATGAAGCCCGACCGCGTCTCCCCCGGAGGGAGCGGGCGAATTGCCCGTTTCCCGAGGAGGGAATTGATCTCCCCTTCGAGGGAGAGACGTTTGGTAGGATCGGACGGAACTACCGTCGGTCGAACGATCATGTCCGACGGGGGGGTGCTGGAGAACTCGAGTGCGTAGCCGCACCCGATCGTGTCGAGCACCCACCGGTCGGACGTAACTAAACCCCAGGACCCCGCAAAGTCTCGGAGACGGCCTGCCACGGGTCCGACGGCGGGAGGCCGCCACGAGTCTACTAAGTCACTTGCGCCAGCCCCCGGGATAGCGGGGGGCCGGTGCCCGGAAACCACGACCGGATTGGGGCCGTTGTTGTCCAGAGAACGTGCGGGCCTGCGTGGTGCGCGCACCGGAAGTATTGTCCGTGCGGCCACGAAAACCACCGCGACCAGATTTCAGAGGTTTGCAGCGGGGAATCACAAATGTTTTGCCCCTACCCCGCTGTTGTTTGGGCGCCGGTGCTGGAGGCTTCTTGAAGTTGATTTTCTCCGTAGCCTTCAGACGTTTGGCCTCATCTCGCATCTGATCTTCGAATTTACCGTCAAATAGATCCGTGCCCATCAAGGGGAGATCGTCAAGTCTTTTTCGAGCACCCTGCGACGGGAGGAAAAGTGCATCGAGCACATTACCCCGGCGGGTGGACGTTGATAGGGCCGACACACGTGCGAATTGATCAAGCACTGAGCGCAGACCATGGTCAAGGCAATGAAGGGCCGCAGTCAGCATATCCGCTGGAATCGGCGAGTCCTCTTCATAGCCCACGGCCAAATATTCTGTGAGAAGAAGTAAGAAAGACGTTGATCGCAAACCGAAACGTGAAGCTGTGTCTATCTTCTTCAAAACGTCCTCAAGTTTACAACGCGATTTGTCCACAAAGGGTCGCTTGGAAGACGAACCACTCTCATCGGCCGCAAGTTTATCTTTTGCTGCGTCGGGGAGAGTAGGCGGAGTGAAAAACTTCGCAAAATCTTCAGACGGGAAACGAAAATAATCTCGTTCCCGTCTGAGAAACGGACGCCATTTATCCGTTGACATGATGTTGTCGATATGTTCCACGCAAACTTGATCTACAGGAAGTATGGGGAATATTTTATCGCTGCTAGATGTGGAGCCCGTCCTTCGCTTGAAAGATTTATGATTGGGCGGAGGGGGCTCATCAGCGGAGGGTAGATTAAGTACTCTTATCATATCCCTCTGTACTAAACGGAGCTCCGTTTCAGAGATAGACAGCCGTTGTAATCGGTCTGGTTCCTCGTCGTCATCGGATGACTCAGCCGATTGTGGGGGCCGAGTTGACTCTGGGATCCCCCCGGGCGATCGGCTCCGTATCGCTCATAATGCACCTGGCCGACAGCGCCTCAGGCCCCGTGGGCTGAGCGAGCGCTGAACGGACCGGTAGCCCATGCAATAGCCCATCCCGACAACCAGTGGTGTTCGGCACTGTGTCGGGAGGACACGGGTGACTAGCGCCCACCGAAGTGTGACGGCTAGTCCCCTCGGGCTGCCCCGTGATCGGGGGAGGGCCAGGTGCCACAGCGGCGCTCGTTGCCGAGCCACGCTTGCCCTGACGGCCCTTCTTAGGCTTTGCTCCGGCACAGGAGATATGTTTTGGAGGAACCTTGCCGGAGTGTGCCTTTAGTTTGGATGTTCCGCCTGAGTTGACCGGAGAAGGTGACCGAGGTCCCCTTAACTGATCGGCAGAACTGCCAACTCCCCCAGCCGACTGTGGCTGAGGGTGCCGGACGAGAGACTGCTGCCGCGGTAACGACGTAGCGTTAACGGCAGAGTCCCCCGAGAACTCGGTCCGTCCCATGGGAGAGGAATTCCCCCCGGTTTGTGACAGATCGGCCCTCCCCAAACGCTTCATATTTATGAAATAAATGAAAACCAGAAGATGATGAAACTCTACAAACTAATGATTACTAAATATTTTATTAAATACTTCTCTTAAACGCAAAAAAGGGTAGTAAATGACGAGGCAAACAGCGAGCTATTTCACGCACGTCCTACCCGACCTGCCGCTAAGAGAAAAGAGGACGCTCACGAGGCATGCATGCCGCGGGGTATTATGGGTAGGGCGCCAGAGGGCGCTATTGTATATAACTCTTAGCGGAAAATACCTGCCGGTAGGGGGAATATGCATAAGTAGTATTGCTCTACAGGTAAGTAGAGTGAAGTAGACACTCACTTTCAGAATGTCGATACAGCGCTGGAGACGGTAGCGGAAGGAGCGTGCTGCGGCCGAAAGCTTCTGAAGGAATGCAGGATCACCCCTGATGTCATTGCACATCTCCTCGTTCGTATGTTGTGCCAAACGGTCGAGGTGTGCAATAACATCAGGGGTGATCCTGCATTCCTTAAGAAGCTTCCGGCCGCAGCATGTGCCTTCTGCTACCGTCTCCAGCACTGTATCAACATTGGAGGACACCAATTTAGATTCTGACAGCGAGTATTTTGTCTGTATGGTGTTTAAATCTCACCCTCTTGCACAAAGCTGATGAAATTTGCTCAATAAAATTTGTCATGCCTCGTTTACATAATCTGAAATTTTGGTTTAATTCCATTAATCAACAACAGTCTTATTTAGGATCAAAAGTAGGACCTTTTTTGATACGTAGTATAATACAGGACACCAAAGTTTTTCGAAATACCAAAAGAAATCGTTTAGCGGAGTTCACTAAGGCACTTAATAAAATAAAGTAAAACTAAAACCCTACTCATCTTTGTGGTTGACTATCCAGTATCTTATTTCCAACAGCAAACGTTACAATTTACAATCCTTAAGATACAAAAAAAACTTGGTTAAATACACAGTTCAAAACACCTTCTGTCATCAGCATGTGCGCCGCCATTTTGAACAAGTCACGTGATCACATCTATGCCACTGAACTGTCGTCTGGTTGTGGGTGACATGAGCATGGTTGTGATTATTCTGTGTTGAGATGCTGCTTGTTCCACAATAATCACACAACTTCTCAGTTTTCTGCCGATGGTTTCGTCGCAATGCAAGCAAATCACAAGTTGACTTGGGAGTGGCTTTATATATCAAGTAGTTTTTTAAGCTAACTTGTCCTCTAACAAGCATCATTTGTTGAATGATGAAATCCATTCAGCCAATCGGTCTGGATGCATTCGTCAGGGACGGCATCTGTTTACAGTAGATGCATTAATGGTATCCGCAATGGGAGGAAGTTTGACATAAGATATTTGCCAGGGAAGACTTTATCAGGGATCTGTTTGCTTGAGACAAGCTGTCTTGAAATCCTACTAAATGAGAGCAATGACAGCTCGTCTTTCCAAGGAAGGCTTCAACTTTCAACCACAGATGGCAACTGACTGGTAATAAGGTTAATGTATTGGCTTAACTCCAGTTGGACAAGCCTTCAACAGTTTTGGATTTACAAAGGATACAAATGTTGGAATGATTCTGTGAAATGTGCTGCCTTTCATGCCAAAGCCCTTCTCATGTGTGCAAAGACACCTGAAATTCTCTGTGGAATAAAGGAAAGGTTAGATTGCATATTAGGCCCCAATATAAATCATATAAAAGAGTTATGTCTGCCTTCAAGTGATATATTATGCACATCTGTTGGTAATGCTATAGATTAATAGATTATGTACATGTATGTACATTATGGATGCAGATGACCCTAATATACATGCATGTGAACCATTCTTTGGCTGAACTGCTGAACCAAACCAAAATTCTCATAGCACTTCCTCACTTAAAGCTATAGTCCATCATTTGCAGCCATCCGAAAAAGTAACTGGTGTATTATTGTTGAAAAACATACTTGGTTGAAAGATAGTAAGTGACTAAACTCCCTGTGAAATTAATCTTTCTGGCAAGCTATCATTTTGAAGTAATCAACGAAAGAAGGCCTTTCCAACGGTGCGTCTTAAGACGGAAAATTTAAATTAGTAGTTCGTTTTGTTATTCGGCGCAGCGCGCGCAAGCATTGGCACGATGCACAGGCGCGCGCGGTTGCTATAATTCGTCGGATCAGTACGCGACATCGCGTATAGCTGCAATTCAAAACATGATTCTGCAACTTTTGATTTGAAATTGAGATGCTAGAATGCTGTTTTTCTCGGAATATACAGCTGAAGCTGAGCTGAAACTTCATCAGGTTAGTTGTTCAGTATCCTTCATTAGATTTTGAACACTTTTGTTGCTTCAAACGAACAAAATGCACAAATTACAAATGATGAACTATATCTTTAACCAAACTGAATTCATTGCCAAGTTCAGCACGTTTAGAAACCCATATTTGATCACCATGTATTTCTATTTGCTCAACAAAAATTATCAAAACTTGCACCACAAAAATCATCAAATTGTCCTTTTGAATTGAAAAAGAATGATATGTAAGGCTGACAATACTGACCGCATTTAAGCTATGTACATGCAGTCACAAATTTAACGCTGTCATTGTCAAGTAGGCTATAGCTGGTTCCCAGTCCTTCATTACCATTCCAGCTATCATTTTTATTTTGGCAGGGAACCAGTCCACCTGCTGCAAACCTTCTACATGACAACTTCAAAGCAATATGCTTAAAGGTCACATCAGCAAAGAAAATAACAGCGTTGCTGTTGAAACCCCTCAGCCAGAGTCAAGTTATCATCCGGAAACCATTAACCTTTAACTCAACATGGTGACCTTGACCTTTGGCCTTTGGACCCCAGAACCAGTCCCAACATGCCTGTACCGATGGAAAAACCCCTACCGAAGTTAGACACCAACATTTCATTTCTAACTCAAGTTATCATTCGGAACCATTTACATTTAACTCACCACGGTGACCTTGACCTTTGGACCCCAAAACCAATCCCAGCTTGCCTGTACCCAAGGACAACCCCCTACCCAATCAGACACCAAAATCTCATTTCTTACTCAAGTTATCATCCGGAAACCATTTACATTTAACTCACCACGGTGACCTTGACCTTTGACCTTTGGACCCCAAAACCAATCCCAACTTGCCTACTCCCAAGGGTAACCCTCTACCAAAGTTAGACACCAAAATATCATTTCTAACTCAAGTTATCATCCGGAAACTATTTACCTTTAACTCACCACGGTGACCTTGACCTTTGACCTTTTGACCCCAAAACCAATCCCAACTTGCCTACTCTCAAGGGCAACCCCCTACCAAAGTTAGACATCAAAATCTCATTTCTAACCCAAGTTATCATCCGGAAACCATTTACCTTTAACTCACCATGGTGACCTTGACCTTTGACCTTTTGACCCCAAAACCAATCCCAACTTGCCTACTCCCAAGGGCAACCCTCTACCAAAGTTAGACACCAAAATATCATTTCTAACTCAAGTTATCATCCGGAAACCATTTACCTTTAACTCACCACGGTGACCTTGACCTTTGACCTTTTGACCTCAAAACCAATCCCAACTTGCCTACTCCCAAGGGCAACCCCCTACCGAAGTTACAACCCCAAACAACATTTCTAACTCAAGTTATCATCCGGAAACCAAGCTACCCGGACGTACAGACGGACGGACGCCCTAGGCGATGACAATACCCCTCGAGCCTCTCGGCTGAGGGGTAAAAATGACCAAATTTTAAGTTGGTTTGTCAAAGCGTCACATGTTCTCAATCACAATTGATGTGAAAGAAGAACTATGAAAGTGGTAATTTGTAAGCATTTTTGATGTCCAAAGGTTGCCGGGAAGCATGTTGGTTAAGACAAATTGAGCACTATGGAGATGTTTTCCATATACGTCACTCAACTTTCATTTTGAATTCTGCACTTTAAAGGGACGATACAACATTTGCAAACATCAAAAAACGACATGTCCAAATTATCACGAAATACCTACTGGATTGTTAGGGAATGGCAGTCCAAAGCATCCTGTAAAATCATGGCTCTTGATGTGCTAACATTTTCAAGAAAACTTGTATTTTTCTAACGCTGGTCGACCAGCGTTGGAGAAAACTGGCTTTTTTCCAAAAACTGCTTCCAACTTGTCATATTTAGTTATTTCGCATTTTCTTTGCAAATTATTACACGCCTGTGAAGGAGTACAAGCCTGCTATAGACTGATTCTCTGATCTTACAATTCCCCCAAAGTCTAAAATTGCTCTGTTTCATCTTAAGTGGGGTCAGGGAGCCAGGCTACAAGAACATGATTGGTTTTCTTGGTTTTTCCAGCATCTACAAGCCCAAAACATGAAACAAGTCAGTTTAACAATATTTTCTATAACACACTAACCCTGCAAATCCATTTATGTTGGAAAATTGCAGCAAAAGCAAATGTTGTACATGTACATTCCCTTTAAAGTGTGTAAAATATGGACTTTTTTTGTTCATGCTAGAAAGCAGTGGCAGTGTGGTGTGGTTGGGTTCATTAATACTAGTATAGTAGTACCACATTATTGGAGCTAACATTTCTCCTGGGAATCAAAAAAAATTGACATTTGGATCTTAACAAGATCTTCAGAGGCAAAGTAATTTCTCCTGGGAGACACTTCCTACATGGAATGCTGGATTCCCCAATGCCTCTTCATCATTCCTTCTTACATACATGTACGAGTCTGTTTTAAACAATTTGAAAAAATACCTTCACATGCCGACTGTTTTGGTCTTAGCTCTTTAAATAGATTCACTGGGATTGAATACAAACTCACATCTTTAAGGACAATACTGGCTCTTATATTTTAACACTTGGTGAGTGCTTGTATGAGACTGCTTCCTGTTTTTACTGAACACTGATCATTTAAAACAATATCATGAACAACCCTACGGCTATACCCTTGTGTTTACTGGGGATCCAAACCTGAATGCGCGTCAGCTATTTACATGTGTACCACTGAAGATCCCCAGGCAACCACAGAACCAGATTGAAAGCAGCTTCCAACATGCAATATTCATAACGTCTAACCAGTCTTTTATGACAATGGAATGGCTGCCCATTCACTTGGATATGGTTTGATATCTTCAAACATTTGAGTTCATGGGAAGTGAGAGAAACTGATCAGCTTGAAGTGTGTCGTGAAGTGTGCCAACAAATTTAGCTGAAACTTTTGGGGGAAAAAGGTTTTTGTCTGGCTCTGTACTTCAGCTTGTAGACTTGATTTTTGATTCCAAACTATTTGTTAAATTCCACCTAATCTCAGCAAGCCTATCCAGGTCAAGTCCAGATGTGAGTGAGTCTAAAGCTGCTCATACTATAAGTGTCAAGTCAGGCTGAAGCCAGGGCCAAGTCATGATTGTAACAAACCAATTTATCTCTTTGGAATTAATATGACAATCCCTCTTACTTGTTGCATTTATTTGAGTGTTAACTCTAATTGTGAACCCTTAATTTTAACACAATATTGTCCATGTGTTACTACCTGCTGTCATAGGAACGATGTCTGCCCGGAGAACCATGACAATACGACCCACTTGCTTGGTTCCAATCTTGATGTCAAAGTACACATGAGGATTGCCTTTTGACCTCTTGAGAGGTGGAGCACCTGCCTAATTTCAAGATTCACAAAAATAAAGAACAAAGTTTGATCAACCAAATAATTTTCTCTGCAAATTTGTCAGCAATGTTTGCAATGCAACATATTCATTTTATGGAGGTTTTGTAAAGAGACAGGTACATGCAGGTCTGTATTTTTTTCCAAGGAAACATGTAGTGACAGTGCCTACAATATAGCACACTGAATTACAATTTTGCAAAGACCTATCAAAATTTACATGTAATTAAAAAAAAAAATAATGGCATGATCATGATGTATCATCTTATTTCATATTTTCATTATATTTTCCTTAGTTTCAGACTCATCTGGGGTATGTTTTGGTGAACATTACATGACGAAAAACTGGTTCTGTTGTTTCTCTTTGGGTAATTGTTTTGGGATTTGAGTATTGCATTATCGTGCGAGATTCTCGCCCATTTACAATTGCCAAAGAAATTCACTGACAAGAAACAACCAAACCAATTCTTAGTTACGACAGTTTATGACCGCCAAAACACACCCCAGATGTCTGGTTCTGCAGATGGTCAAATAAGAAACGATGTAACTTTTATTTGATGTAATGTGATACAGTGACATCACCACATCATTAATCACTACACATCTCCGGGTACGTTCCATTAGCTTCCTCATCTACACAAGGTTTACACTTGTGAAAGCCATGACATGAGGCTAAGTGAACACTGCCCTGTATTCATGGTATTCGCCTGGCATTCTGGGAAAATTAAAGGTATAGTCCATCATTTGGAATTTGTGCATTTTGTTCATTTGAAGCAACAAAAGTGCTCACTGACAAGATCCAAAGAAAGGTGCTGAACAACTAACCTGATGAGGTTTCAGCTCAGCTTTAGCTGCATATTTCATGTAAAACAACATTCTAGGATCTCGATTTCAAATCAAAACTTGCTGAATCATGTTTTGAATTGGGCCTGAATTCAGCGTCAGAGACAGTTCTCACAGTCAAGTCTTTACCCTGTCAGGATGGGTACAGTACCCCTAAACTGACAGTCTTTACATTGGGTTGGCACACCTCCAGAATCAATGTCATAAATATGTGTGCACAGTTTCCCATGTGGGTGTTGGAATTTGCCAGGATGGGTATGGTTCCTAGTAAATCATGCTAGGGAGTTAGGGCTAATTACAGGTTTGCTGTACAACTGTAAAGCTAAATGACTCCTATTTTAACTCAGCAAGTGTTTTTATAATTGTCAAGGAGTGCATTGTATTTACCTCATTTGAATCTGTTTCTGCTGATCTTTTGCCCGTTTCCTCATCACCTTGTCCGCCTTTCCCATCCTTATCTTCCTGTGCTTTCAATGTTGCTCCTGCATACTTCTTCAGCCAATTATCATCAGACCAAACTGAGACCAATACAAATACAAAATTACAGAAAAGAGATCTATATATTAAGTGTATTACACATTAAAAAGGGGAAATTCCAGCGATACAAACCACATACAATATTTATAAAAGAACACCATGAATCATGGAGGAAGCTACTAGTTTTTGTGGTAAATCCCCTCAACGCATCAGTACTGAGAAACTCTATTGCAACAAGAGTCAGTAGTCCCTTCATCTTTAGTGGCCTCCCACTGCCAATGACTATCTATGCCATGCAGGGTGTGGGTCTGAATACGACTCAGATCCATCAGCAACAATTACAAGCACCACTGCATACCTGTATATCACCATAGGATGTAGCCCTCACACCAACTGTCATTTCAAACTAATATTAGAAGTGAACAACACATTTTATAAAGTATGCAAAAGTGAAACCACAAATACTTTTCCTAAAAACTTCTATCAAATATAAGAGTTTAAAAATATCGGCTCCTTGCTGATTTATCTGAAATGTAGTGAAAATGCTGCTTATTGTATGGAAATTGTTTTTAAAGATAATAGTAGATAGATGATAGTCAACTGTTAATGAGACATGCCTGGTAGCATGTCTGTCCATTAATTTAGGTAGCATCTATAGCTTTAAATAGCGCCTGTGACTATGGGTTGAGAGGTGACCACTTTTTGCAGTGGACAAAGAAATATATCACTTGCAATGTAAAGAGGACTGGGCTTGTCATGTCACAAAGTATTGAAATAAACAGGGCGATTGTCCGTCCCATAAGCCAGAATACTGGAGGTACCTTCAACTCCTTCAGTTGACTGCTATATTATTATTATTTCAACCTTACTTGAAAAAGATGGTGTAAAGTTGCTTCCATTTGTACATGTGCTCATCATCTATTATAGGCAAGTGAGCAGCCAATTTAATTTTCGTGCGTTCGAATTCAAGCTATTTTGCCTCTCCAGTTGTTACTGCGTTTCAAATTCAGAATTCGGCCATTCAATTTCGTTTTGAGGCATTCAAATTCCTTTAGCACTGTGTTCAATTTAGCATATCGTCATTCTTTTTCGTGACACACAATCATCATTCAATTTAGCAAAGCTTGTTCGACTGGAGATTTTACTGATTTAATTTTTTTCAATTTTGTAAAGAGGCAATCAATTTCGCTTAAAGAGAATTCAAATAAGTACGACTAAAGAAATACGAATAAACAGATAAACTGTACTAGGCAACTGTTTTGTATCTTCACTTTAATTCAGGCAAACCTTGTTTTCTTTATTTATGCTTCCAGTAGACTTTACATGGGGCCAATGAGGTTTTTTCTTCTTCTTTGTTTTCTTCTTCATTCTTTTTTTTTGGGGGGGATCTTTATTGGTTAACTGACCAAGACCTAATTTTGTATTGTGTTTGAATGGGGTGTTTCTTTATGTTTTTCCTGGTTTTTTATTGCTTATGTTGTTTCTTCCTCAACCATCAATCTGTTGGCGTGCCAGACATCTTGGCATATATGTTTGGGTATGGTTGTACCACTGCATGCACTTCACTTGGGTGATGACATCAACGCTCTGGATGGCTGCTTGTTGAAGGAGATCGCACCTCCACTGCTGCATGTTCATTCCTGCTTGCTGGGCAGCCTGTCTGTCTCCGACACGTTGTTGCCACTCAGGTAACCCAAGGATGCGTTTAACTGCAGCCTTGAATGCAGAGTGTGCCATCTCCGTGCTGTCCAGGAATGGGGAGTAGCGAGGGAGGCGCTTCAGCTGGATCATTGGGTTGGCACCTTCAGGGAGTTGGGCTCGCACGTGAGGCCTCGCATTGTCGTATATGAGGTAAATGGGTTCGTCGTCTGGGAAAACTGCGTCACACTCTTGAATTGTGTCCGCAAGAAACTCCTCGAATCTCTCTCGCGTCACAGTTTCGAATGCGATTCGGCGGTGCACCAAGCCTACTTCACTAGAAACAGCGAAGGTGACATTGCAATTTCTCCCTCGTTGTCTGTTGACGACTCGTCTTGCAGCGATCCCTCATTGGAGCTCTACCCTGGGAGCGTCGAGTCCAGACGTTATAACCTGTCTCGTCAATGAAGACTAGATGCGCCAGAACATGCTGCAGGAACCACTCACCATACTGGACGCGTTGATCAAGAACTTCAGGGGAATTGCATCAGGGACGTCCTCCACTAGTTTCAGTGTAATCATCATCCCATCCAAGGCCCTGGCTTTGGTGGCAGTAGAAACCTGGGGCTTCTCTGGCAGATGCTCACTCAAACTAGCCTTCATTTGTTGAAGTGTCAAGACGGGATTAGCGTCAAGGATGCCTTGCAGATGGTTTCGCATGTCATCATCCATCTTGCTGTGGATTGCTCCTCCTCTTGCCAGCGTCTCTCGCCTTCCAGTCCTCAAATATGTTGCAACAATTGATCTGGCTGTGGACTTGTTGATGTTCAAATTGACCGCAAGCTCAAGGTAGTCTTGCTCGTTTCCCTCGAAGGCCTCAATCAACCTTTCTCGATCTACCTGGGCCACTCTAGCGTAGCGACCATGAGCTGCCATTTCTAGAAATATGCGTGTAAAACTGTAGCGAAAGCTCGTCTTCGAAGTACATGTACATCGGCAAAGTGACTCAAGTGCCAAAAAGTGAACCGTATTTATGCCTTCAACATTCTTAAGGAAACAAAAATTTAACAAAGCGTTTTTTAGATTGCACAAATTCCAGAAATGACTGCCCAAAAATGAATTGAATGACTAAACACACGCCTCAAAAAGCTCCTGCGAATTTGAATGCTGCTTTGTTGAATTGTTAAATTGCATGATTATTTTGTTAAATCGAATGACGCAACAGTACATTTGACTGGTCATAAAACGAAATCAAATTACCCTTTTCAGTAGCATTTGATTTCGCGCGAAATAGAATAGCGTAGTGGTTAAATTGGCTCCTCATTTGCCGAAATTGACCGAGAAAACCTATATTACAACAAATGTACAATAATATTCTAAAATCTGTCCAACTTCTTAAAGACAATGTAAAGTATAATACAGTACCTGGTTTGGAATGTCCCTCTTTGATTTTCATTGGCTTGGCAAGGTTGACTCGTATTGTCCTTCCAAACAGCTCAGAGTCATTCTGAAGAAACAAAAATGGACGTCTGCTAATTCCTATAGGTGTCATGTTTACACACTTAAACATTACGGGCATGAAAGAATATTGCTACACTTTTTCACACACAAAATATTGTAAAACTGTTTATGCCTTTTTTGTCTGTTTTTCCAAAATGTGTACAGGGTGAGTAAAAAAAACGAAACCCAGATGTTGTGACTTTTTTTTAGTGAAGTTCTCCATGTAGCACTTTCAAAATCTAGAACATGAAAGCCCAATTCATAAGCTTTCTTTTAGTACAAGAATCATTCAAATCACTCAAGTACTTTTCAAGTTACAGAATTTTCAACACAACACCGTTATGAAGTTCTGTCCACGGATCACAACATAGGTAAGTGTTCTTTTAGCAAAACAAGAACAATTCACATACATCCATCTCGACCAATGGGAATGGGTAAACTGTCTTGGGTATTTATGAATGATGCTTTATGAGCACCCTTGCAGACATGGATCCAACCATACTGACGTTTTCAAGTTCATGATTTTAACATACAATTACCAACCCATTTCTTTTTTTTGTTATCTTCTCTTTATGCACCCTGGACATATGTAATATATTTCAAGTACACACTTAAATATCACACGAGACTTGTAAACCAGACAGAAAAATAGTTTGTGCCCAAAAGTGAGACATAAATGATTGAATGATAGTGACTCACCATATTATCAATTGAAGCAGCAGCATCCTAGAAAAGAAAAATATTGCAAAACATTTTTGAATTAAATGAAAGTGTGAGACACATACAAACTGAAATAATCAATGTCATCTAGGAACTTAGCAAGGGTGCAAAAGTGATAAGGATTCCTCTCTTAAAAGAGCTTCCAGATTCAAAAAGCTTTTCTTAATCTAAATAAACAAGACGGCAAATATTGTGGTGTGGTCATTGTTTTGTTTGCGTTAACTCTTCTTTCCTTTTATCAGCAATATTTGTTGATTGCAGTTCTGTTACTCCCTAAAATGCCCAAATCTGCCCCAGCACTGCATGGGTTGATGGATTGATCAGGGTATATTATACAAGTACTTATGGTTTAATAAGAAGCCTTTCAACAAAGGATATCCCCATACATGTTAAGTTGATAATATAGGTTTTCCCGGCTATTTTAAAATGTTTATCATTCAAATTCATTGTTTCTAATATTCAAATTCGTCTATAAACATCAGTTTATAGTGCCCTCCCATTGTTTAATTTCGTCCTTTGTCAGACAATTTCAAATTCAGTTCAAGCAAGTTCAAACAATGAGCACAAGTTTTCGTCCCCAAATATTCCATTTCTTCTTGTCTCCGCCAAATCTTGTTATTCAGAAATCAAATTCGTCTAACTGATTTATATAAGATAAGATGAATCAATCTTTGAATGCTTCCATTGGGCAACAGCCTAGACGAATTTGATCTGTAATGACACTATTCTCGACCCGGTGACTAAAGAGGGTGACCAAACTTTCAAATTGAATGGTTCATGACTAAATTGGTTTTGTTAAAAGTATGTGACATTTTTTTCGTTGATGAAATTGAAAATAGAGTTGATGAATTTAAATGCCAAATCTTTTAAAATAGCCTGGAAAACCTATAGTTGGTTCAAAAATCAAATTTGATAAGAACATGTAGAAAACATTAGGGCATCCCTTTTTCATTCCTTGGTTCTCATTTCTGACAGACCCTAGTTTGAGCTTCCAAAGGAAAAAAAAACACCTTTTTTGTCACCGCTGACACTGTCTGGAACCCCCACTATCACAAAATAAATTAATAAAAACATAAAAAATATGAAATTCAGGAAATCAGGCCTTGTGATATATGACAGCTATGGAAAATAATAGAGGTTTGTGGCTTTATACCTGTACTACAGGCTGTAGTTCTACTGTTATATGCTGCCACTACAGCCAAAAGGATAGTGAACTTCATGGTGCAGATCTAAAGATGGCTTTATTTTTTCAGTGATATCGAATGATGCAGGGGTGTGAGTGACCACTGATAAAAAAGATCTGAAAATACCTGAAAAAAGGTGTAAAAAAAAGGTGAACTTTGGAAATCTCCAATACTTTTTACACAGCAAGTGAGGGGAAAAAGCTAAGTCCAAAACAAAAAAAGCTGAAATCAGCTTCAAAGCTGAGATTTCACACCCCTGATGATGAAAATCTCATTGCTATTAACAAAACAAGAGTCTATACGCACTTGACACCATTTAATTTAGCCATCTATATGGTTGCAACTGCAATTGATTTTCCTTCAGATGTTTATTTTTCGCCGACCGACTGACCCTTCTTCAGAGGCAAAAAAATATGAAAACCATTGAAATAAAAAGGGGCACCAAAGAGGAGTCCTTCCTGAGGACTGTACAGGACAAGATGATGTCATCAAATCAATGACTAGGCACCGACAAGCAGTTCCTGTATCCACAGTCTACAGTTTGCATCTTAACAGTTGAGGTGGTCCAAAATGTGTGATCAAACTGTACTGCATTTCATTTTGAAATGTTTGAGGTGAATACTGTTTAACAAATGGTAAAAAAAATGCAAGTAAAACTTGCGCGATCCCCTCGGCATCCTGGCAGTTTGTATACACGCACAGGCTGTTAGTATGGACAAGTTTCAGTGACGGCCTTAATGGTCCACCCGGCAGGCACCAGTTCTCAGTTGAATGGGGAGTTTGGGTTGAATGGAGATTTTTTATGAGATACCGGACTAACATATGTTGGAGTCATTTGTATTTCTCCAGAGACCGTGTAAATATCCATATTGGAAAGGATTTTTTTGACGCCAGCCTTCTCTCCACAGACCACCTTTCAAGTATGGTTGAAATTGATGACTGAACTTTGCAGTGAACCATACTGTACGTGTACCTAGTGTGGATATTACTTTGTTTTCGTGTAGTTAAGAAAAACCTGTGAAAAAAACTCATTTTGCTCACACTGTGAAAACTCTTTGAACCCAGTTTTTTTTGCTATGATTCCATTTAGTGTTTCTCTTCAGTTTGCAACGGATAAACCTAACCCCAAAATGCCTCTAAACCTGTTTTCCACAGCATTGTGTGGACGTGGGGAGGTCCACACAACGTCGCTGCTACCTGGTTTATGTGGACCTCTTTTGTTCTTAAGTCCACACAGTGAATGTAATGCTTGGACACACAGAAGGAATAACATATCGGGATAAGCCAGGGGGGTAACAGGTCCACAAAGGTAAAAGTAACAATCATAATTCATTCCAACAGACGGAGAACAAACTGAGTACATGTACATGTACATATAATGACCACCGTGGTTACTACACTATATTGCCTTCAATACCTCTGCAAACTCAAATTCAACAAATGCAAAGCCTCGGTGCTTTTCCGTTTCATAATCCAAGGGAATGTTGATATCCAGAATATCCCCAAATGGAATGAGGGCAGCATGCAGGACCTTCTCATCAACTTCTTCAGCAAGCCCTCCTGAAAAAAACACACAAAACACAAGGGCAAAATGAATGAAAGCTTAACCCTTACTCTCTGAGGGTAGTTTACTGCATGTCAGTTGGTTATGCCAATGCCCTCCAGCTGCAGTTATTTGGCAGATAACAAGTCTTAACAGTGAAGGCTCCAATTGGCAGGAGTTGGAGGCCCTGGAGGGTGCCTGATACTGACCAGCTGGGGGCACTTGATTGTTATCAGAGGACTCTCATTGTTCTCTGTGGCATGTATTGGAGTGCCTGTCCAGTTACCCTTGAAATGACATGGCAGATATTGGAGGGCCATGCAAAAAACATAGGAGATTTTCTTGAGGCACAATTGGCATGCATTGGAGGGTCAAGTAGGGTAAGGGTTAATTAATAACACCTGGGCAAATTCCATGAGAAAGCGGACACTTGAACATTAATGAAGTCTTCAAAACTGCAAGCATCACAACCTCCAATGTGGTATCAAGTTAAAGGGGACAAGGTCTTTCATTTGAGTGATGTGGCAGCGAGTTGGAATATGGTTTAAGGGCCCGGGCGATGTAATTTTTAACCCTAACGTCCTAGCCATTACTTTGGGATAAAGAACTGAGTACTACAGAATACTACAGTGTACGAGAGTTGTGCACACTTACAGTGAAGTATTTCATACTACAGTTTACTACTACATGTAGTAGTATTGTGTAGCTTCAGGTGAGGTAAGGTTTAATGTAGTCATTGCAAATGCACCTTTGTGTCCCATTCAAATTTCAACCTTATTTTTAGTTTTGCCATTTACAGAAAATGTTGGTGCCTTTTTGGTATATGCTAATTCCAATTTCTATATTCATGAGCAAAAGAGGCTGGCAACAACTGTGGCCGACACTTTTTGCCTAAATTGTAGATTGACACCCTTTTTAATTAAAGGGAATATACATCATTTGCTTTTGCTGTAATTTTCAGAAATGGATGGAATTGGGGGGTTGGAAATATATAGCAAATATAGTTACACTGACTTTTTTGAGGTTTTGGGTTCGAAAATGCTATAAAAACCAAGAAAACGATCATTTTCCTGTAGTCTGGTTCCCTGACTCCATATAAGAAGAAACAGATCAGTTTACATACATTGGGGAATTGTAAGGTCAGGGAACCAGTCTAGCTGGCTCGTACCCGTTCATAGGTTTGTAATCGATTGCAAACAAGTGCGATGGTCAATTGGGGCCAGTATTTGAAAAAAAAAGCCAGTTGTTTCCAACGCTGATCGGCCGATCAGCGTTGGAAATTGATACAAAAATACCACTTTTCTTGAAAATGACAGTATACCAGGTGCCATGATTTTACAGGATGCTTTACACTGTCATTCACTAACAGTCCAGCAAGGTATTTCCAAATGATTTGGTAGTTTTATTTTTTGATGTTTGCAAATGTTGTATTTTCCCTTTAAAACTAAAAGGGGGTATCATTCGTATGGTTTTGGTAGTTATTATTATTCACTTTAGGTAGTTGGATATCTATGAAATATTTGTGCAATATTCTTTTGTTTTGCAATAATGGCTAACTACACTTTGTTTATAAATTATTATCGGTAAAAAGGGTGCATGACATGCCCAATGGTAAAATTAGGTTGCTCTTGAAATAAGGATTATTTATTTCGAAGGCCATCAACATTCAACTTGGACCATATATTCTAGACCATGTCATGCATGTCCAACCGATGAGTCCGTATTTCATTATGAAACCTAAATTCTTGCTACAGTCACCGTCATGACCGTAACGATAGCACTGAGTTGAAAACTGGGAAAAAATCTATACTGGGCCACCACTCATATTCCTTAATAATAATAATATGACCTGAAAAGTACCAAAAGTTGTAAATCTAATGAAGAAACACTGTTTAACGAGAGCACAAATTCTTTGATAATACTTTAAAATGTTCTGACATGGCCCATAGACTTTGTGCAGGAGCTCCGAGTGGTGGCCTAGCCCCATAAATGTGGCCAATTTAATACTGGACTACCTCCGTAATAAAGGCCGCACTTCCACCATGTACTCCTAGAACTATGAGGCTCCACGTAGTGGAGCCTCATAGGCAGATTACCCCGCTAAACTGTTTGCTATACAAAACACCAACTAAGTACAAAAACGTCCATCCCAACCAAGCTTTTTCCCAATATGGCGTCAAATTCATTCATTGTGCGGCTCTTTATTAGCTATCCAGTCTTTATATAGAGATCAGTGGTTCCGCTCCTACCATACCCCCCGCGGCGCGCTCCGAGCGATCGAACCGAAAATGACTGCGATCATTCTGCGCGTGTCCACGTTTCAAGTGTCAGGTTGGCTCAGTGCGGAAAGGGCATACTTTTCATCATTTTTGCCGAAAAACCAACAGAATCCACCGATGTTTGTTGGGTGCACATAACGTGAGTATGTCATGAGGTATTGTACGGAGTTTAGGGGCAAACTGTGCAGCAGTTCTGTGGGAAAAAGCTTGGTTGGGATGGACGTTTTTGTACTTAGTTGGTGTTTTGTATAGCAAACAGTTTAGCGGGGTAATCTGCCTATGAGGCTCCACGTAGGAGAATCCACCATGTACAAAAACATGTCGAACTTTGTCAAATTTTCGTGAAATTTCATGTTGAAATTTTGATACGCAAATGTGTGCAAACGAATCTGGAAATGTCACGAAAAATAGACATCTGAAAAAGGCTGCACTTTCTGATTAGCCTATAACATTATAAAGAGGGTGGGTATGCTTCTAAAGCAAAAAAACCTACAAACTAAGCCTAAATGTGAAAATCTAAATTTGACAAAGTTTGACATATGTTTTACTTTTAGCCCCACTAGTGTGGCCGCGGTATGCTGCGCTGAGGTTTGGCGCAGCATACCGCGGCCACACTAGTGGGGCTAGACATGTTTTTGTACATGGTGGAAGTGTGGCCTTTATTTACGGAGGTACATGTAGTCCAGTAAATTGGCCACATTTATGGGGCCAAGTGGTGGCCCAGTATCATGGAATTTTTTCCAAGAAGTTCTTTCAGAAAAAAATAATGCAACCTGATGCCACTTTTTTCTTTATATACCATCTCAATGAAGGTCAGTCATTGCAGAAATTATGATAAGAAAGACCAAGAGGCTTTTTATAAGACATGAATCTGGGACTGAGTTAGCCCCATAAATGTGGCCTATTTACTGGACTGCCTCCGTAAACATAGGCCACACATCCACATGTACAAAAATCGTGTCGACGGAGCCAAATTTTGATTTTCACATTTAGGCTTAGTTTGTAGGGTTTTTTTGCTTTAGAAGCATACTCACCCTCTTTATAGGCTAATCAGAAAGTGCTGCCTTTTTCAGATGTATATTTTTAGTGAAATTTCCGGATTCATTTTTACACGTTTGCGTATCAAAATTTCAACATGAAATTTTACAAAAATTAGACATCTGAAAAAGGCAGCACTTTCTGATTAGCCTGTAAAGAGGGTGAGTATGCTTCTAAAGCAAAAAAACCCTACAAACTAAGCCTAAATGTGAAAATCAAAATTTGGCTCCGTCGACACGATTTTTGTACATGTGGATGTGTGGCCTATGTTTACGGAGGCAGTCCAGTAAATAGGCCACATTTATGGGGCTAGGACTGAGTGAGAAACATTTCCAATTTTGTTAGGAAATACTTAAAAAAATTCTTGACTCTCCATAGACTTTGTACACGACCGCTGAAGTGGCGTCAGGTTGCAACATTCTTTCATTTCTGTTCCTTCTCACCTACCCACATAAACCATTCGTTTGTTATTCGCCATGGTCTAAAAGTTAATGTATTTTGACATTCAGAAAGACAGCTCCCATGCCATACTCGCACCGACTGAACTTGTTGGTTGAAAAGTAAGTGGACTTGTTGTGACTTGCGACGTACGTACGCATATCGCATACACACGTGCGCATCGATACCATCATCGATAATAATAGACTGATCTATTTGTCTGGTTCCCTGACCATTCTTAACTGTGTCGCTACAGACAGGGTGTTGTAGAACCAGACTGAATTCGCAAAAGTATGGTGATCTGATAAGACCATAGAGTTATATATTTGTTTTAAATTAAAACTGGAGAGCGCCCTCTTTTACTGCGGCGGTGTCACGCTCACGCGCTTCGCTCGTCCCCCCGCCCTGCAAACAGGACGCTGGGATACTCTGATGAGCTTCACAGAATCTTGTGAAGAAAGTGGCCTATGACCTATGTATGAAGCATCTGGCTGCAACTGTTCAAGACTGCAGTTAGACAATGTGCGCAAATGCTAGCCGAAAACTTCCTATAGAATTGCGCACATTCCATACCGGATGTGATTTCTGTTTCATTGCGGACCATGTGGACAAAATTTTGAGCGTCGCATAATGCATTCCCACCGTTCGTGATTCGAAACGGAGCCTGAGCGAGTGACGGGAATTGTAACTTTACAACACATATAAGTTTTACAGAATTTTCTACATTATTATGATTTTCAACGAGAAAAAAACATCTCTAAACTGGAATAAAAGAGTAATGAATCAGTTTCAACAGCCGTTTCAATCCTTGCAGAGTCATGACCTTGATGACGCCCAGGTCACTGGTCACGCAAAATCCAACCAATCAGAGCATGAATTCATTAGAGTATCCCAGCGTCCTGTTTGCAGGGCGGGGGTACGAGCGAAGCTCACGCGCATGCTGCACGAAATCTTAAAGATGCGGCACGCACGCATTTTGGTGTTCTTATTGGCTGAAGGAGCCCGAAGCGCGTGCCCCTACCTGAAGCATGACTCACGCAAGTCTTGCGCCACCGCAGATTATTATTATTATTCTATTATTATTAATCATTTCTGGTAATGAAACCAAGGATTCCTCAAAAGCGCCCTAGGGCTGTAGCTCGCAAGCCTGAAAAAAAAAACGTGGAGATAAGATAATGAGAAGAAGTTACAGTTTTAGAGGTGGGAGGAAAAGTCCAGAAGAATATTCTGGGAAAAACCCACGGAATCAGGCAGGGACTGAAATCCTAATCAACATATTGGCCCAGGCGGGATTCGAACCCGGGTCACAGCGGTGGAAGGCGAGGAAAGTACCGCTACGCTAACCTGACTACGCCAACCTGACTAAAGGGACACTATACGTCCTGGAATATGGCGTGTCAAACGTTGCAATATTCAATATTTTGCAATATATATGTTGGATGTTTAATATGTGTTTGTTATCTTTTACATTTATGTGCGATGTTCAATATAAGTGTGCGATGTTTTTCATTATTTGCGCGATGTTTAATATATTTGTGCGATGTTTTACAATATATGTGCGAGGTTCAATATATGTGTGCGATGTTTTACATTCATGCGATTTTCAATTTATATGTGCGATGTTTTTTGACGATATATGATGTGCGATGTTTTCAATATTATGTTCGATTTTTTGCATTAAATGTGCGATGTTTTTCGACACAATTGTGTGTGTTGTTCTACAATATATTTGCGATATTCTCTCTCTGAGCTCCAAGGCCGATGTGCACCTGTCCCGTTTAATGATCCAGTTACCTGATAATTTGTTAGCATAAGCTGATGTAAAATTCGGCAAAATTAGATGTTTATGAAAAAAAAATCAAATTGTAAGGGGTTGACCTTGCATTTTTTTTCTGCAAAATCGGGAAAAATCAGATGTTTCTGGAAAATTGCAGATTGTATGGGGTTAGATGTTTATGAAACATTTCGAATTGTAAGGGGTGAACATTGCATATTTTAGCGAAATTGGGAAAAATCAGATGTTTCCGAAAAATTTCAGATGTAAGGGATTAAGGCCAAAAAAAAAAGTCTCCGGTTTCTGGTATGCGCGCGCGTCGCCGTAGCCATGCGCGTGCAAAATGAAAAAAGTTTTTATTTTCAATGAACGATGATGTCTCAAAACCGCCCGTGAAACTCACTGCTTTGACTGGAATCCTGCTGCTGCAAAATTTTAACGTGTTTTTAGATGGGGTTATGATCGAGAATAAGCTTTATGTGGCCTCTCTGGTCTCCCATAAAATTTGCACTAATTTTAGTCGGGCACCATTTGCAGTCATCAGCCGACATTTGAAGCAAAAAAAACAGGTAAAAAAAAAAAAAAGCCGCGTCGCCGCACCACTTTTTGGGCAAGCTCCATACCAGAAACCGGAGACTTTTTTTTTGGCCTAACCTTGCTTTTTTTAGTGAAATTTTGCAAAGTTAGATGTTACGAAAAAATTTCAAATTGAAAGGGGTTAACCTCGCATTTTCTTTAAAGCGAAAATCGGAAAAAATCAAATGTTTCTGGAAAATTGAAGATTGTAAGGGGTTAACCTTGTTTTTTGAATAAGATTGGGGAAAATTAGATGTTCATGAAAAAAAAATCAAATTGTAAGGGGTTAACTTGCATTTTTTTTGCAAAATAGGACACAATCAGATGATTCTGGAAAATTGTAGATTGTTAGGGCGTAACCTTGTATTTCTAGCAAAATTGGGCAAATAGAAATGTTTATGAAAAATTTTAAAGGGAATATACATCATTTGCTTTTGCTGTAATTTTCAGAAATGGATGGAATTGGGGGGTTGGAAATATATAGCAAATATAGTTACACTGACTTTTTTGAGGTTTTGGGTTCAAAAATGCTATAAAAACCAAGAAAAACAATAATTTTCCTGTAGTCTGGTTCCCTGACTCCATTTAAGAAGAAACAGAGCAGTTTACATACATTGGGGAATTGTAAGGTCAGGGAACCAGTCTAGATGGCTTGTACCCGTTCATAGGTGTGTAATCGATTGCAAACAAGTGCGATGGTCAATTGGAGCCAGTATTTGAAAAAAAGCCAGTTTTTTCCAACGCTGATCGGCCGATCAGCGTTGGAAATTGATACAAAAATACCACTTTTCTTGAAAATGACAGTATACCAGGTGCCATGATTTTACAGGATGCTTTACACTGTCATTCACTAACAGTCCAGCAAGGTATTTCAAAATGATTTGGTAGTTTTATTTTTTGATGTTTGCAAATGTTGTATTTTCCCTTTAAATTGTATTCCTTGTATATTTAGTAAAATTTGGCAAAATCAGATTTGTATGAAAAATCTAAGATGGTAAGGGGTTAACCTTGCTTTTTTAGCAAAATTTGGAGCACATTTTACTAAAATTGGGCAAAATCAGATGCTTCTAAAAAATCCAGATGTAAAGTTTCCTCAAAAACAGCTGTTGAAAAAGAGCCCAATGTTGAACTTTACTGAGTCTGAGGCAGGCGCGGTTCAACGGGGGGCTACTAGCCCCCCAAAAATATTGGTTCTAGAACCGCGCCTGGTCTGAGGTCTATCGAGGGGACGATCCTTATTTCAACTCCCGGAGATTCGCTGACAGTCTCTATTTTTCTTTTTAAGAAAGTCGAAATAGCTCAAGAGGGAGGTGAGAATCTATATGTGCCCAGATACAAAGAGTAGAAATCTACGCGTCTGCCTTTTGAAAATACACAATTGCGGTGTTCATTGTTGCGTAATGATCCGCCTAGCACACAACTGTTTTGCACATTAGGCTGTGTTATGCAGCTTCCTAACAAACCAAACACACTGGGCTCATTATATCGACTTGTTTTTACCCATTAAGGTAAAGCAAATGGACCCAGTAATCTTCCTGGCGCGTTTGCTCACCTATAAAGACAACTTTTCTCAGTTTAAGGAAAATTCTAAGGTAACGAAATGGCCCAGTGGTTACGATTCGTCGTCCACGGTTAGCGGGATCCCGGGTTCGAATCCCGCTGGTGTCTTTTTGGTTTTTAACATATGAGTTCAATTATTCACTATAAGAGATTTAATTTCCCGTCGTAAAGTACCAACAGTACCTTAGCTTAATCGGTAAGCACTGCTGCTGGTACTGTCCGCGAGTTCCAGGTTGGCGCCTTCGTACAGGTTCAGGGCATGTGGTCCACTCGGAGGATCAGGGCTTAGGGGCCGCCCTGTTCCTCCCTTAGCTCTTTGCTTTTACATGGTGCCTGGCCCCCCGGGGTTATATGGATGGATAGGGAAGGAAGTGTGTATTGGTCGGGGACGCCGAGACCCCGGAAGAGAACTAAGGGATCGGCTGGGGCATTGTTATGGCTCAGACCGATCCCTGAAAGCTTGACTAGCACATAACTTTTTGATTTTTTTACCCTCTATCTTTTATACTTTGGTTTAGTTTGATATCTACAGCTGATCGGCAGGTCTACGGGTAGTATTAAAGTTGAAACAAAGGTGTATGTCATAAATCAATGAATATTTCATAATTGACTATAATCAAAACGGAGTTTCGTTTGATCAATTTGACTATCATTATATAATGACGCGATTGCCAATTGACGTAAGAAACGCCATAAATTATACCGGGAAAGAATAAAGATGTACATTGTAATATAAATATTATTTATACATCTTTCAAATAACGTGTCGTTAATTGTGAGCATTCCAAACAATACAGTAATTCGCAATGGTATTATAATGGTATATGATAGCATGATCAATGCGTCTCTATTAAATTTAAAAAAAAAAATTTTTAGGCGCCTATGTGTGAAATATTCTTTGATTGACTATGAGCATTCCATATGAATGAGTTAATTCGCAAAATATAGCAACAACAAAAGAGAAAGGAAAAAGAGAAAATTCCTTTACCCTAAAAACTGGAAAAATAATTTGTTTTAAAAAAGTCAAATGGGACACTTCATGTATTGATTTAACAGTTTGCAGTTAACCTTACATTTTAGCAAAATTGGGAAAAATCAGATGTTTCTGGAAAAGTGCAGCTTGTAGGGGTTAACCTTGCATTTTTAGTAAAATTTAGATGTTTATGAAACATTTCAAATTGTAAGGGGTGAACCTTGCATTTTTTAGCGAAATTGGGAAAAATCAGATCTTTCTGGAAAATGTCAGATTGTAAGGGGTTAACCTTGCTTTTGTAGTAAAATTTGGCAAAATAAGATGTG